GGATCAATTTATAATGAAGAACAGCAAGCTAAAAATGTCATAGATGAGTAAAAATATTGATTTGTAGAAATCTATATTTTAACAAGTTGAAAAATGACAAAGATGAAATACTGAGAAAACAGAAGCTCATTAGTCCGATGTGTACGTCTGGCCATAAAATGAGAAAGGGTTATGGGGGCACACATGCCAGCCCTCTCCTAAGTGTTCCTGCAAGCTCCACCCCACCTACCCACATTAATTAGACTTGTTGAGTAGCTGGGTTCAGACAACACAATAACCCACACTCATGGACTGAGTATGAGTTGAGTGTAGGTCGCTGTTGAACTATGGGGTCTTCTATTGTCTGAACCCAGCTGCATTGACAACCCATATGCAACCCATGAAGAAAACAAATGATTTGTTGTTGGATTGTGAATGATGAGCTGTTAGCTCCACTGTGAGATTATCCACATTTCAAAACAACCCATACTCAATCCTTGAGCATAATTACCTTTTCTGAACCCAGTGAATTTGTTCATCTGGGATTGCTTTGAATTCTCACTATGATTGGGGTGCCCCCATACTGCAAGGTTTAGTTCACAAGGAGAATTCCAAGAACATTTAGCATAGTGCATGCAGAATCCCCTTTGGACTTTCCCATTCAAAACAGAAAGGTTGGGGGGTGGGGAGGGGGACAGCACATGCCAGAACTTTGGGATGGGGTTGGCAAGTGCACCGCTTCTCTACCCTATATGAGCACTTCATTCTTTGAATGCCTGCATTGGGCTAAACACAACTATCAGAAATGATGAAGCAGAATCTCTCTTGATTCTCTCTTCACCATCTCGATCATGTCCCATTCCCAGCTGTGCAGATTCATACAGTCAAACTTTTCCAAAGCCATTAGCTGAATAGTCTAGGCATAATCTAGTAGCCTTGGCTTTACAAATGTTTGCGTTGTCCATCACAATAGAGTATCTATGCAGTCAAAAGAATGTGTCTTAGGAATTATCTCTCTTAATCACAGTATTATCTACCCCATGCAGCTAACATATTTAGTTCAGCTCAGATGAACCAAGTGAATTATCCAAGGCGCTTGGAAGCAGCATTACTTAAAAACAAAACAAAAACAGACAAAAAAATGAAGACAAAACCAACGATTGGCTTGTTGCCAGAGTCAACATATTCAGGTTCATGCGTCTTCAGGTTTGCACTGTTCCTAACACAAATAAATAAAAATAACAAATTCTGTATTCATATGCATGCACGTAATCCAAGTTGAGGTACAGAGCTACTGCTACAGAAAAGACCTTTATTGTGGTGGCACCTAAATTATGGCATTTCCTCCATGGATATATTTGCCTGAGGTCTTCTCAGTTATCTTTTGCTGCCAAGCAAATCTACCTTATCCACTTAGGATTTTACATGATTTTTCTAAATCTAATTGCTCCATTTGGTTGTCTAATCTGCTGCAGCTGATCAATTGTTTTATTCTGTTATATGTTATGGGAGCATCACTCCACTCCTCAGCCAAGAAACCTCCCAGGACAGCTTCCATAAAGTGATATAAAAACAGCGTATCACTGAAACAACAGATTATTAAAAGGGGCAGCAATGATGTCCATTCATGGCATCTTCCTCTCTTTCTCGCTGGCAGTTGGTTCTAATGGCCTCTGTGAAGGGAGAAGGACTTAGAGTCAGTTGGTGAAGCAGCTAACAGATGTTCATCTCACTGGTTTCTTCCTCTCATGCAATCTGCTGCAAGCTAAAGTCCCACTAAATTCAAAGAGACTTGTTCTCAAGTAGGAGTCTCGCCTCCCCCTGCTTTGCATTTGATGGTACTTCGACCGTCTCCCTCTATTTTCAGGCAGAGCACAGACCTACTGCGCAAAGGTTCTAGGCTGTTCTATTAGCCAGCTGAGTTCTGGTGTGCTGTTATGACAGACTTGAAACTCTTCAAGTTTTATAAGTGGGAAGAGAAACATTGGATATAAAATGCATTGAGAGGGCACTGTGAAAGAGCTTCGGGTTGTCTCAACTCATGAAGTCAGCAAAAAAGCATGAATATATATTGCACCAACAATGATCATGTCTTGTTCATTACTAGACAAGCTAGATTTTTTAATCTATGCAAAGGCCAAATTTCCTAGCCATTGTTCATTGTGAGTAGCTACTTCCTGCCAGGAATTTCAGTCTAAAAGGGTGAAACTTGACACAAACACAGAAACTTAATGCTGAGCATAATTAAAGCCAATTTGAAATGAAACTGTACTGAAAAGGTGTGCTTTCCTACTGTGGCCTTCCAGGTGTTATTGGAATGCAGGTTCCCTCAGGGTCAGATCCATCAGTTTTAGCCAGTGTGGTCAATGGTGAGTGGTGAGAAGAACTGCAGTCCAGTAACATCTGGAGGACCATGTATTTTCCATCCCTACTGTACTGCCCATCAGAGAACAGAAGAGGAGAGATGCTGTATGAGTGTAATGTCCAATCTGGTTCAGAATTCTGTTTCTACAATGGACAGCCAGATACATCTGGGAAGCCCATAAGCAGGGCACAAGGCCAACGACCCTCTAGTCCTCTTCCCACTCATGTACCCCAGCAACCAGTACTGAGCAGAATAGTGCCTGTAATTCTGGAAATAAGATGCATCCTTCAGGACTATTGACAGCTTTATCCTCCATTAATTTGTCAAATTGTCCTTTAAAAGCCATCCAGGTTGGTGGCCATCGTTACGTCCTTTGATGGCAACTGCCGCAGTGCAATTAAGTCCTGTGTGATAAAGCAGTTTCTAAGAAGCAGCATGTGCCATGAAATGTTTTCTGGACCACTTTGTTTGGCAGCGACTAAACAACAAGGGTCAGTTACTTAGAATTCTACCAGAGAAACTCAAAAGGGTTGAAAATATAAAATAAACCTCTGTCAAGAAGTTCAGAATTTGTATAGATAAGCCTGGAGGCAAATGTTTCGACATCAAATGTCCCCAAAAGACTTGCAGTTGGTGATGACTATGTACAGAAGTAACTATGCACAAAAGTAACTGAATGTTTTCTGCGATTACATTTTCTGTTACTAATCATTGCAAAATGCTAATGTACAAGTCTACTATGTACGATGGCTGTTGTAGCTGGTTTTGGCTGGAGATGGACACACTCTCTATTGCTAGTGTGCATCTACAATAAAGATTTTTTATACAAAATTGCTTGGTGGTGGTGTCCCTCTCAGGGTCCGACAAGGAACAAGAGGGACTTCTTTCTGTGCCCAACAGCAGCATCCTCTGCCACCTCCCGAGATCTTTATCAAATCCCATCAGCTTCATTGGATGGCTCCACTTTCTTCACATCATGCACACTTCCATAAGCTTAACCAGGTTTTGCTCAGCTAGAAAGCCTTGGAATCGTTCTTCATGTGGGATTTGACCAGGCCCTTGATCATTTTCATTGCCCTTTTCTGGTTCTGCAGTATCATCATTTAAACAGAATTATGCCCAGTATTCCCAGCATGGTCACACCAAGAGCATTCAGATTTCGGCAGTTTTGTTTTCAATTTCATTCCTCATCCCAAGATGTGATTTACCTTTTTTACAGCAGCTGCACATTGAGTAGATATTTTCATCAAACTATCAGCCACAACCCCAGCATCCCTTTCCTGGTCAGTCAGTACCAGATTAGACCCTATCAGCCTATTATGCATAATTAGGGTATTTTTTGTCCAATGTGCATCCCTTTCCAGTTGCTGACACTAAAGTACATTTGTTATTCATGTGCTCATTCTCACCCCTTGGAGAAACCATTTTTGCAGCTCTTTTTTGCAGCTCTTTGCTGTCCTTTTCGTTTAAGCACCCTAAACAACTCAGTGTCATCACCACGTCTTCTTATTGCTCCTCCTAATTCCAGCTTGTTTTATGAACAAGTGAGAAAGCACCAGCCTTGGAGGTCTGCCTGCCCTCTGTTTACATCCCCCATTGTGAGAAATTCTCTTGGGCCATCAGGATCACTCCTGTACCGGATGATGAACTAAACCTACCTTTGTCCTGCTCTTGCAAGGCTCTCCTCACATCTCTCTTAACACCCAGTTCTAATCATGTCTATCACTTAAAATCTTTAATTGTATCTACTTCATACACTCGTATGGTCACATACTAGCCTTGTGATGAGACATTTACCTTTTATATAACTGTACATATTAATCTTACCTTAAATTCATAAATGCAGGTAAAGTTTCTTCCAGATATATCATACACTGCTTATGCATTCTTTGATATTGGGGTGTGGGGGGATCAAATAGTTGAGATTCAACTGGGTTAAATCTAAGGTACATTGGTCAAGCTTGATTTCAACTGAAATCAATGAGCCTAGTTTCATCATAACCAAAGGCACTTAATTGATCCCATTTATTTGAATGCAATTCAAGCATTACTAACTTAATCTGGATCCACTCCATTAATTTAGCTTTGGCTAGCTGCATATCACAACCTGGCACCGTAATATGTTTGCCAATAATCCACAATCTGAGCCACATTTTCATCTTCAGAATCACGCTTAGCCACAATTTAAAAACACAGTTCAACTTTTATTTCAGTGGGCTGCACTGGATTGAAGCCCTTCTGTCTTTCAAAATTTTCAAGAACAGTAGACTAATATTTTGGGTTTAACTGGCTTTTTAAGATTTATTCTCCTAAATTTAGGGTATCTTAAAAGACACAGGGATCATGCTGGATTAGTAGCAGTAGGAAAATATTTACACAAAATATTTTGTTTAAACAATAAATAGCGAATGAATGAATAAAAAAGAACAGAATATAAACCAGGCAGAATTGCTTCAAAAATAATAGCAGTCACAAAATGTTAGCTTCTGAAGTGGCATCTTCAATCCCACCATTGAAGACTTTTGATTTCTATCTAGTGCTGCTGTGTGTGGTGCACATGTTTCACAAACGAAAATGGTCCAGTATAAGACACAAGGATGTGGTCATTTTCCTCACACAGTCAGGGATCTTCAGAGGATCCAATGAACATCCAGAGTCAGCAGAAGTACTCGGACCTTGAACCTTCACTTTTGAATGTCATCTGAGAGTCCATACTTGACCTAGAACAAAGAAGCAGACGTTCTGACTCGTCAGTATTCCGACGGGCCCAAAGTTCTCCACCTGTCCCCACTGAACGTGGTTTCAGGGAAAGAGTTTCAAATTTGACATAAGTTTCTTTTGCAAGGTCTGCTTCCCTGGTAGATTTGGGTTTTCTGTGAAGCATTAAGACTTTATATAGTAAAAAAAATATTAATGGCAGAACAACTGCACAGGCAACCCCACTGGCCACCAGCAAAATGGAAACCTGAAAATCATCTTCCATTCTAACTCCATCTGTAGAGAAAATGATGCATTGGTCTTTTGTAGGAGGAATCCCTTTGGGACAGACGCAGGCCATGTACTGGGTACTGGGCTCCAAACCATCTATTGTAACTTTGTTTTTTGTGGGGTCTGTGCTCAGTGGCAACATGTCCTTCTCCCCATACTTTGAGTACAACACTGTCAGAGGAGAATTACTGGAGGCATTGACAGTTTTCCACATTAAAGTAACTCTTTCATCCGTTTCAGGAATTACTCTTAGATTTTTTACTGAAACCGTCTGTACTGCTGCTGTTGCTGGGCCAAGTGATACGCCACCATCTTTCTTATTAGTATCACCAGGCTGCTTTTTGCTTCCATTGGTAACTGCTTTGGGAATCTTTTTTCCATCAGGCATGGACTTGATTTGCTTTTTGTCAGGGGCTCGTTCAGTTGTGGTCCTTTCAGTGGCAGCTACTGTTGTAGAAGTAGTAGTAGTTATAGGCAATGCTACGGAAGAAGAGGTAGTCACATTTAAGGGTTCTTCCTTGATCTCTTCTTGGGTGGTGTTTTGCTGGTCTGTGCTGGTCTTTTTTCCATACTTTTGTGGTGACACTGTTGTGGTGACAACACCAACAACAGTGACAGTAACAGAAGCTTCTGACATTCCAGCCAAATTTTTGGCTTTACACCTGTAGTCTCCTGCATCCTTGTAGGAAATGCCTGTCAAGCTAATGATAGACCATCTTACACCCTCTCCTGGGCTTTCTTGAATAACTGGAAAAGAAGCAAATGCAAATAAGAATTTGGACACAGAGAAGCAGCTGTTGTACGTTAGTCATGCTTTTTGTGGCATTTGAAGAAACATTTCAAAAGAAAAGCATCTTTTTCAATATGGCTTAATTAGTTCAATTAAGTTTTTAATTCAATTAAAGTTAATTTAATTTTAAAGACTGTATCTTAGAAGGTGCATTTCTCCTTCTTCCTTGCAGGATAAAATAAAAGATGGGATTTCCATGGTACATCATCCCCTGCTTGTACATTACATACAATGGTAGCATTTGTGGGTGGGTGAACACAAAGGAATTTCCAAGGGGGATTACAATGTAGACCTACTGTAGCTGATAAACTGGTTCAATTCTATATCCTGTCATTTACATTAGGATAAAGGTTTCTCTGTCATATTGCATCTGTTTTAAAGGGTTTGCCAGTGCCAGAACTCTGTTATCACTATTTCTATGAATGGCCAATATTAACCATGTAATTATCACTTTCTGTATTTTCTGCATTTCATATTCCTCTAAATATAGATATACACACATCGTATTTGCGTGCGTGTGTGCACATACATGCGTGCACCTGCAACTGAGGCCAAGGCTTCCTGCATCTGATTCAAGGGCCTGGTGTTAATGTAGAAAGCCCATCAGCTTGGGGTCACTGAATCTGAAGGACTACCTCTTCCCGTATGTTCATTCCCAGATGTTCTCTGGCATCATCAGCAGAGATCTTCCTCCAAATGCCCCCACACATTCTCAGATTCAGCACATGGGTGTTCATTAACAGGCCTTTTCTGTGGTGGCTCCCAAATGCAAGAAAGTGCTCCCTAGGGAGATCTGCCTAAAAACCTACTTTTCAGCTCCAGAAAATCGCCATTTAATTCACTCAGGCTTTTTAATTTTTGGCTAATGCCTGTTTCTCATTTAATGATATAAAACTGCACTTTAAAATTGTCCTTCTTTGTATTTTATCCATAATGACATTTATCCCTCCTTTTAAAATTATTTTAAAATTACCACTACTGAAGCTTTTAAACTCGTTTTGTTTTACATTAGTTCATTTGTGTTTGTTTTCACCTTGCATATCACCCTGCAAGCCTTAGCTTTATTCAACTCAAAATGGGAATATATGAATAAAGTGGACTGCAGTCTTGTACGAATACTATATTTTTCCAAGATAGGGTTAAACACACTCATGTTATGCTTAGGGACAGGGGCTGATACAAGTGGTTAAATGTGGAACAGAAAATCTCGCTTCTGCCTCTTGGATAGTCTACATGGAATGCCAGAACCCGACCAGCTGATCATTGAACTGATGTTGCTTCTGATTTGTCAAGGAGACACCAGGCTTAGGGGAGATAGCTGCCTTTTGAGAAACGTGGCCTCTTCTGACTGGTCAGCGTCTGGACATTCATGTTCTTTCGTTCTTTATGCATTTGTTAGATCAGAACTCTGTCTGTCTATCAAGAATAATGGCACCCAAGGTAGCTTACAATCATTAGTGAAACGTGATTAAAACAATAATGAAAAGGATGAGGAGAGATGGAAGAACTGGGCATGTTCAGCCTTGAGAAGAAAGACTGAGGGGGGACATGATATCCCTCTATAAGTACCTCAAAGGCTCTCACAAAGAGGAAGGTCAGAATCTCTTCTTGCTGATGCCAGAGTGTAGGATATGGAATGATCAATTCAAGTTGTGACAACCCAGATACAGGCTGGACATCAGGAAAAGCTTCCTCACTGTCAGAACAATATGGCAGTGGAACCAGCTGCCTAGAGAGGTGGTGGGCTCTCCCACACTAGAGACATTCAAAAGAACCTAGGCATCCATCTGAGTGGGATGGTATAACATGGTATCCTGCAACAGCAGGGGGTTGGACTCAATAGCCTTCATGGTCCCTTCCAACTCTACTGTTCTATGATTCTATATATTAAAACACAATAGAAAACACAGCAATTACAAAATAAAAGCAGCATCCAACCCAGCAGACCTGTTTTCTCATGAAAGGCCTGCATGAGTAAATCAGTCTTTGCCTGCTGGTGGAAGATCAGAGTGAGGACAAATCTAGCCTCCTGCAGCTGAAGGTTCCAGAAAATGCAAGCGGCCACCAAGAAAGCCCTCTTTTTGCATCACGATCAAATACACTTGCAGTCTTGCAAGAAGGGCCTCTTCTGAAGATTTCAAGGTGCACGCATGGCATGGAAGCTAGTCCCAAGCCATACAGAGCTTTATAGATTATAACCAGCACTTTGAATTCTGCCCCAAGACAGACCAGTAGTCATGGAAGCTCCTGCGGCAAAGGAGTTGCATGGTCCCTGTCACTGGCTCCAGCAAACAGTTGAGCTGCAATCCTGTGGACCAGCTCAAGCTTCTGAACAGTTTTCAAAGGCAGCCCTACGTCAACTGAGGAGTCCAAATTGGATGCAGCTAACTCACATGGCCAGATCAACACCTCTAGGAATGGCCTGTGGTGGGCAAAATACACTCCTGGCCACCACCAAAACCTGAGTTTCAAGGCTAAGCCTTGGAATGCACCCAACTTGTGAGCCTGAGTCTTTGGGAGGAGTGTCATTCCAGCCAGCACAGGTTGAATCTCTAGGACCTGATCTGCCATTCACTGAGCAGGAGCGCCTCTGTCTTATCTGGATGACTTATTTATGTATGTAAAGCTTTTATATACTGTTCTTCGCTAAAAGTCCCAGGACAGCAGTACAATGAAATAGAAGTACAGCATCAGAGGACAAAATTCAGATAAACTTCATGCAGTCTGCTAACTTTTGAGGTCAGTGTGTTTGTGTGTGTGCATATGCCCCCCCCCCTCAAACACAGAAAAAGAGATAGAGAAAGAGATATATATCTTTCATTTATTCCAGAGGTATTGCTGTGTTGTTTCACTACCTCTGGCCATATCCTCTAGATGAAGCTGCCCGAGCAACCCAGTGCAATTCATGCCTGAGTAGGGGTATGAGCCTGGGTCTACCACTCCAACTGCTGAGGCGCAATGACTCTCAGTTATCTGACAGAGCATTTCTGCCTTTGTGAGAGCAGATACCTGTGTAGTTCACGGGGATGTTGTCTGACCTAACCCACGTGAGCTGTGGGGTCGGATAGCCCGTTGCGTCACAACGCAGTAGCACGTTGCTTCCAAGAGGCGAGGTGATTTTTGTGGCTGAGGTCATCACGGATGGTTTCAAGCACTGTTCCAGCTCCGCTCTCTGAAATGTGATCCCAGCCAGGCTTTCAGGTCCACTGCAAGCCACAAAGGGGTCCAGAAGCACAACAACCGTATCCACAATTTTGGACAATTCAATCAGCTTGGATATCCGACAATCGCAATACCATGGATTGTCCTGCAAACCTTAAAGTAGAAAAATTGCATACTTGTAAGCCTTGCCAGCATTTCAACTCTGCAGTTAGACTAGGGTAGCACCATTTGTCCATCTTTACCCTTTCAGTGTTGATAAAAAGTTGTAGAAGCAGCTTTCGGCAGCATATGAAGCCAAGCCAATCATACTAGATTTCCAATGCACTTTCCCAATCCGCAATATCTTACTTGAATCTTTTCCCAACATATGCACTACTTCTTTTCTTAGCAGTCTAATAATGAAAAACCATCCAGAACAGCTTCCCCAGGACTGAGCATTCCCAGGGAGAATGGAATGCTGACTGAGTTTGCAGAAGAGAAGGAATGAAAATGGGGGAAAGGAAGGGAATGAGAACCTTGGAAAAAAGCACAGCTGACTGGCTGCATCCGGAGCAGGCACGTACCACCCCCTAATTTTTGGATGCTGGTCATACTTAAATATTTGAAATGCCGAAGTTCATTGCTTTGTGTGTTCTCCCCCATTATGCCTTTCCATGCATGTCTGAAAAATTTCTCAGCCCATTTCAGGGAAAGTCATTAAAAGCAGCTTTCCGTAATCTAGTGTCATCCAATGTGTCAGACTATAACCCCAATCATCCCTGGTCAGATGGCTGGGAATGATGGGGATTGTAGCTGAACACAGCTGGAGGAGACCAGATCGGAGTAGGCTGCTGAAAGGTAACATGTCCCACTGAGAGGTTCTGCTCAAGCTTTGATGTACCACCTCAGTGCATCCCATCTTCAGATGCCATATTGCAATGCTACTGCTCCCATCCAGTCAACATCAGATTAAGAAACATGGGATTAGTCTGGGTGCTGCAATCCATACACCTATACCAGGGTTTACATATTGCTACCCAGATGCTTTTTATTTAGTAAAACCAGAATGAAGGGAAACTCCATTACTGCAACTGTAAGGTCAACCCAGACACAGAGGTGTTCCTCATTGAGGCAAAGGAGTCAGAAACAGCATCCTTCCTGGTCCCGGTATTTATTCAGAGACACCATTGGCTGGCACAGATCAAAGAATGAAATGTAAGATTTTCAGCAGCTTACCTAATATGATCCTCTGTGCTATGGAATCTGTGTTCCTGGGTGAAGCTATTTCAGAAAAAGGAAGCCAGATATCCATGAGGTCTGATGGCAAGGAGGTTAATTTATTGCTAGAAATGTCCAAATAAGTGAGATTTCTCAGATATTTGCCAGCCTCAGCTGGGATACTGGTCACTTTGTTGTTATGTAAGTCAAGGGTTCGGAGGTTAGGCATCTCAGCCAAAGATTCCCAAGGGAAACTCGACAGTAAATTTCCATCAAGGCGCAACTCATGCAGCTGCTTTAAATTGTAAAAGCTGCTGGTGTCAATGTTTGCCACAGAGTTATAGGTGAGCCACAGGTATTTTAGATCCACCAGGTAGTAGAAGGATTCTGTTGGGATCTTTCGGATGACGGTCTTTTCTATCCGGAGTTTTACAGTGTCCACAGGAACATTTACAGGGACCTCAAACATATCAGGATCATTACACAACACAGACCTAAAATGAAACAAAAATAGTTAGCAATTTTCACATTGTGCTAGCTAACCATTTGTTGTCCAATTCAATTAACATGAAAATTGGGGAGCAATCAAAATAGAGAGGGGAGCAGAAAATATTGTCCCCCACTACTGCTTTCAATCAGCATAGCAGTGTACCCAATGGATAGCTACACAGAAGGGGCTCCTGAACCTCAGGCTCAGGAGTCACATTCTGGCGCTCCAGGGTCCCTTGGGGGGCCACACCCCCTTTCCTTGGCCCCAGCCATTGGCTGTCTGCGGTTTCACAGGTTTTGTTCAGTATTCCAACAGGCTGCAATCTCCTAAGGCTTAGCTACTGACAATAAGAGCTTTAAGCTGTGCTTAGTTTTGCATGTTGGCTCCACCCACCACTGGGATGCTTCTCCCAAGAGCACCTCCAGAATGGAATCCCACCTTCAACTGAAAGATGGGAAATAGCATCTTAAGAAGATAGCATGGCAGTAAGTTGCACTTGTAATTACACGGTGATGTATGTATGCATGTATGTATGTATGTATGTGAGGTGTATCTATACTGAGAATATATACTTTGTTCTGACACACACATACCTTTCACAGCATTAGTTAACTATGGTGTCTGTTTCACAGGCATAGAACCTGGGAGCTCACAAGGACTAAGGAGAGAATATAATCCAACTCCCTGCCAGGCCTCATGCAAGAACTTTCATGGTGAAGAATTTCATGTGCCAGTAATACACACCAGTATGCACTGAATGAAATGAAAGAAGAATTTTTTACAACCTCCTGTAGAGTGATTCTCCTGGCCCAACCATTAAGAGAATAAAAACAGACTCAGTCTTAAAGTCTGCTCCTCTGTGTCCTTCCTCTTACAAAACATATTCAGAAAGTGGTACTGACAAGACTTGTATTCTATACATTTATGTGTATCCGTTGGCCTATAGCAGCTTTCTCCATCCTGCTACTCTCAAACTCCTCTGGAAAATACTTCTATAAAGTGCTCTTAATAAAGGCTCACCTATACAAATTTTTGTTTTCTAAACTGGTGCAGTCCTGCTGCCATTTATCAAGATTATAGCCCACTTCAACATGAGCAGTAGATTAGGTGGTGACACTCTGCTTGTATCACAGCAGACTGCAGGTTCGGAAGGGAAAGAATCACATCAGTGAATTTCAAACAAAATGACATACAGCCTTCACTGTGCATCAGTGAAGGCTGTATGTCTTCTACCTGACATGCTAGTGTTCTACATGGGAAGCTTATTTCCTCTCTATGCAGTGTGAGTAAGCCAACTGATTTCCCCACCTGGATTCTGAAGCGGCCCAGTCCAGACACAGGGTTAGCACCTCTCCTACCATGTATGAAACCATGTGCCCCAGGCTGAAGCTAAGAACAGCATGCAGAGGAAATTCCAGATGACTCATGTAATATCTCGAACAGTCATCTTTATATCCTTATATACATGTAAACAATGTAACTCAACTGCATTTAAAAATACATATAATTTCTCAATCTAATTTTCATTCAGCTATTTCTCATCTTAAGCAATACACTCATAAATACATATTTAGGGTGGATTCACAGAGGACAAACCTCAGTTGCAAAGCTTCCTGTATCCAAAGGACAACCCATTGTCAGGTCAGCTTCAACCATAAGAGGAGATAACCAGGACCTTGATGTTCCCTATTAACAGTTAGCACCTGACAGCAGACTTGGGCAGGCATACCTGTTCACCTGGTCTTAATCTGCTCTGCTATGACAAGATGTAATTATTCCTAAACTTGTATTTACAGTATGTGTGCAAACCAGCATATGCAAATCTAAAGCAACTCAATTATCTCATTTTTGGCAATGCACAAGTGCTACCCTGGACATATGACCATCAAAAAACATACTTCTGAGCAACAGCTTTTCATTACACTTCCAGTGTTTCCTTCACATGTTGGAATCCCAGGTTGTTCACCCAAATATTTAAAGGGTGCCATTAGTAGACTCTGTGTATAATTCCATGACCTGACTGTAAAATCAGAGAAACTCTTGTAAGGTCAGAATAGGATTATTGCAGAGCAAGTAATGAAAATGAAGCTGCAGCAATAGTTCTGCGTCAACATCAGAGTCTCTGAAAACACTTGGCAATACAAGCACCTTTTTGACATGGGATCCAATGCACAAAAATAAAAAAATATATATAAATTTTATTGTCAAAGGAAACATTTCCAAAACTGCTGAATCACAATTGAGTGGATTTGGCATTTTACTCCTTTCCCGCACCCAATGCATGCAAAAAATTAGAAAAGCATTAACAGTGGAATCCTATACATGTCTACTCAGAAATAAGTCCTATTGAATTCAGAGAGGTTTATCCCAGATAAGAAGAAATAGGATTGCAGCATGAGAAAGAAACTGCACAAGCCACAAAGAAAAAGCCTTTTCATCAATTATGATTATTAGAACTGGCTTTAGAAAACTAGGCATGGCTACCATGTGACAACTTTCAGTAGCAAATAAACAGAGTTTAAAGAATTTGAAACTAACCAGTCCCTCCCAGCTGAGACTGAGGCAGGTTACAAAAAGCAGTTGTATTTCAAGTGCCCTTTGCAGATTTACAAACCTCAATGCAGTTTCTACACAGATAAATTATCCTCTTCTGTTTGTGTTTTACTTTGTTGTGCTATCACTTTCCATTTCCTAGGTGAGACTGACAAAATATAAACTTTTATTTCTTAGGCAGTTTGTAGTGTGTGTCCCAAAGGGACGCAATGATACAACTAAGTGAATGTGCAATTTGCAAAAGTGAACAAAGAAAGAAATATATGTTATCAGGCTACAGATGATAGCAATTTCAAGGATTCCAGATCGTGTCCTTTCTCCAGTGATGGAGGCAGTGGGGAGAGAAGAGACAGGTGCAAAAACAAGCTTCTGGATTGCTCTAAGGAAACAGAAGAGATATCACCAGATTTGAGGAAACCCACAAGAAAAATATTTGGGAGAACAGAGGAAATCCCAAAAAACAGCCCAGTCAGGATATGGAATTCTGAATGCTTGGAGGGGAAAAGAGAAAACCGGAGGGAAGAAGAGAACAAAGTTCCTGGCAAAGACATGGCTGGCTGCCACTCCGAACAAAAGCACTGCCCATGGCAACATTTTATTGCAGGTCTTGTCTGTCTTTTCCTTTTGTCCAGTGAAACTACCCTGCTGAATGGTGTACCATAACTATACGGAAGTGCCATGCTATATGGATTTAAAAACTATTTTCAAAACCCCAGCATTGCATTGCAGTAAAGACTTCACTGCCAAGAAAGCGAGTTCCTTCATTCTTTTCCTCTTGCTATAGTCCCCTAAATGCTACATACAATCCAATTAAACCAGATTTCATGGCCACCTACCCTTGTCATGCATGTAGCTTAGTGCAATAGTGCAGCAAAGCATTCTAGTTTCTTCCCTGGTAAATGAATGCATGACAAGAATAATGTGCAAACCAGATGTAATGCTTGAATTAACATCAACTGCCAGCATAGTTCAAAATGTTATCAGCCCTTCTTCCACTGATCATACTGCACAACATTTGCTTTAAAACGATATAAAGAAGAGGCAAACCTACCTTGTTCCAGTGCCGTCACTCCTGCCATGGTAAATGCAAGTACACTGAGAAGGGCAAAAACTATGCACTTCTTCAAAAACGCTCATCAGCATGCAGACAGCAGTAATCAGATACATGACTTCCTTCAAAACAATTGATATATCCAACTTCTAAATCGTTTATTCCTAGGCACTCATACTGTGTGTCACGGTTGTGAATGTAGGCATCCATTTAGTAAGAGCAGATTACCCTGGATTAGCCAAGATCTGCAGTTACATAACCTTCAAATGTATTCTGAAAAGGATCAGTTGAAAGAGCTTGTTCTTTATTGTGTCAAAGGAGGAATACATTTCCTTTAAATTACATCCACCTTGAAACAGGCCTACTTTAACAGCAACTCAAATACTGATTTAAAAAAAATCTTTGCAATTTAGATAGGCAATGTGAGTAAAGCAGTCCTAAAAACACACACAAGCCATTCTATCATTTAAATAAATATACAGTGCAAGGTATGTATATAATACAGCAAAGATTTTGGATTAGCAGCAGTGCAGCAAGGATCCAAACATGCCTTTTGCATGATTTGCCTAGGTACTATTTTTAAAATCCAGTGGTTGTAAAATAACAGACTAAAACTAGCTATCTGGGTAAGCAGATGAGAGCACAGAAAACAGAAAAGGACTTGTAAGCATTTAATGAAATTCACTGATAATTATTAGCAGATGGCACAAATAATCAGCTAAATGCAGTAATCTTGAAAAGTGCCATGTACAGATTGGGAATTTAAACAGTGTATCCTTTGTTCCATCTTTAAAACAATTAGATATTTGCTTTTTAGAACAAATTAACTATCAGTTTAAATTACTGTACTTTATTTCACAGGATTCTTTCAGTGGAGGTTAAAGTGTTTATTAACAATCATTTTTAAACAAGTGCATATTGAATCACACTATCTTTCTGGTGATATTTGTTTTAAGAGAGTCAATAATTCTTATGATTTTTTAAAATATGTGTTACCATAACACAACTTGTGATAATGTTTCTTCCCACTGTACCTTAACACTGATTTCTTCACTCAGCTAGGACAAAATTTGCTAATAACCATTTAAAAATACACAAGTATAAACTGTTCAAAAGTCCCAATTTTGTTTCATACTGGCAGAATCCAGTGAACCATTCTGCTGGTACGGTCAAGCAGAGGACTAAGCGCAAGGGTTCCTGGGCTGATCCGATGCTGCAGCTGATGCCACAGCATCTGGGCAAAGTATGGGACACGATGCTTTGATCATCACAGATCCAGATATGACATCAAGTGCTCAACAGGCTGCCAAGTTATTGTAGTCAATCCACAGAGTCTACTTTCTTGCCAAGGTATTCCACATGCAAAAGCAAGTCACTGTAGTGATGGCACTTTCAGGCAACCTCTTTATGCGATAGTGCTTTGCGACAAGCTCATTGGCAAAACATTGTTGATGGTGATCTCCTGCCGCGTTTGACATCGGACCATTGCAAAAATAGCCCTTCGAAACCTGCAGGAGGGAGACATCTTTTTAGTGCCAGAGGCTAGAAATCGGTGGTGGTTCCTGGGTTTGCAGGGCCTTTAGGCAGGATGCTTTTGGGGGGACCTTCCCTCTGTGTGCTCCCCTCCTTGCCTTCTTCCTCACTGTTGCTTTTGCCCATTTGCTTGGTTCCCTTGCTGGGCCCAAACCACACCACTTCTCAAAGAGGGGGGCAATAAATGGGAAAATGACTGCCCCTCGCAAAGAGACCATAAGTAGCAACAGCAAAAAGCAGCAGCAGGCCAAGAAGCTCCAGGGATTGTTCTTTTTTTTTTTTAAGTGGGAGGACACCTTGGAGAGTGCTGAGAAATGTGTCATTAACAACTTAAAAACATAAGAAAAGTCGTGCTGGATCAGACCAATGGTCCATTCAGTCCAGCACTCCATTTACATAGTGGCAAGCAAACTGTACACATGATCCCTCAAGCAGGATGGATATGAGACATCCACCTGCCCAAGCTCTTCAAGCAATTCATGCATGCAGTCATGCTGCCTCTGGTAATGGAGGCAGCAGATATCCAGCAAAGCTGGTAGCCACTGGTAGCCTCCTCCATGGATTTCTTCAATCCCCTTTAACGCCATCCATTTTGGTGGTCATACACACTTTTTCGGACAGTGAATTCCACAGTTTGACTAAAAGTATATGAAGTACTTCCTTCTATCTGCCCTAAGCCCCCCACCAACCAGTTTTATGGAATGACCCTGGGCTCAAGTGTTATGCAAGAGGAAGGAAATGTCTCCACTTCCACTTTCCCCAACCCATGCATTATTTTAAATGCCTTTATCACGTCTCCCCTTCCTCAGCATCTTGCTTAGCAGTCCCAGTTGTAACTGCTCCTCGTAGAATTGCTCCAGGGGACGCACTGGTGTCTACAGGCACACATTGCCTATTACTATCCCACTCAGTATCTGAGGTCTTATAGCAATGGTGGTGAACCTATGGCACGCACGCCCCAGTGGGCGCGCAGAGCCCTCTACGTCGGCACGCGAGCCAAGTCGCCCCAGCACCCCAGCAGCCAAACATCAGATAACAGCGCACATAGGGGCCATGCACATGCTTGGAAAGGAGTCGTGGCACCAGGCGATGATGTGACAAGTTGCAACTCATTAGCCAAAACTTGTCTGAGCTTTGGCATGGCCGGTCAGTGGCTGCGACAGATATGTATTTGCTTGGACTGGCTGTGTGTTATTTTTTCTAAACTAAACCTGTTTTCAGGTTTGATTGCAGTGTCAGCACTTTGCAATAAATAGGTGGGTTTTGGGTTGCAGTTTGGCCATTCGGTCTCTAAAAGGTACATGATCACTATGTTAGGGTTAGAAAAATGAGGTGTCTTGGCACGATTGTGATGGTTGGAATGTGTTTAGAATGCGCAGAAATGTTAAGCTGTGCAGAAAAAGCTCCTCAATGACAGCTATTTCAAAATCGTCCTCTTTTCAATGGAACTTTAGCCCTATATTAGGGTTAGGGATGTGCACCAGGGTCGGGTTAGGGTTAGAAAAATGAGGTGTCCTGGCACGATTGTGATGGCTGAAATGTGTTTAGAATGGGCAGAAATGTTGAGCTCTGCAGAAAAAGCTCCTCAAGGACGGCTTTTTCAAAATCATCCTTTTCAGTGGAACTTTAGCCCTTTATTATGGTTAGAAGTGTGCACCAGGGTAGGGTTAGGGTTAGAAAAATGCGGTGTCCTGGCATGATTTTGACGGTTGGCATGCATTTAGAATGGGCAGAAATGATGAGCTGTGCAGAAAAAGCTCCTCAAGGAAGGCTTTTTCAAAATCACCCTCTTTTCAATGGAACTTTAGCCCTGTATTAGGGTTAGGGGAGTGCACCAGGGTAGGGTTAGGGCAATGGTGTTGAACCTACGGCCCGTTTGCCACAGCGGGCATGCAGAGCCCTCTCTGTCAGCATGCAAGCGAAGTCACCCCGGCATTGCCCCAGCATCCGAGCATCTGATAACAAGGCACATGAGGACCTTGCACATGCTCACAAAGTAGTAGCGGCACCAGGCAATGACATCATGAGCTGTGACTCATTAGTTGCGGCTCATCCGAGCTTTCGCATGGCCGATCAGTGCGCTGCCAAGGATATATATATATATATTTGCTTGGACTGGCTGCGAGTTGTTTTTTCTAAACTAAAACCTCAGTATTCAGGTTTTATTGCAGTGTTGGCACTTTGTGATAAACAAGTGGGTTTTGGGTTGCAGTCTGGGCACTCGGTCTCTAAAATTTGCACTGTCACTGCGTGTAGGATGCTGGAGACCAAGATCCAACCTCAGAAGCCATGGATGTTGTGCCCCTTGCCAAGCCATTCTGAGCTGCTGAGGAAAGCACAGTGGCTCCCGCTCCTGAGGTTAAGGCACTAATCTTGGAAAGGGAGAACCTGGCTATGGGCTGCAGTGTCAGGAGGTGAGATATCGCAGATCTGCTGGATTCAGTGGCCTCTCAGCCGTGCGCAGTGCAAGCAAGCTAAAGGGGTATAATACCCATCTAACAAAGTATGGAGGGGTAAAAATAACCTTCTCCCAGGTTTGCATGGACAGAAAGCTCCAGGATCAAAACCCTCCATATGGGCTTGGCACCCAAACAACTGAGCCGCCCTGAGACGCTTTCACATATAGGGCGGGGTATAAATATTTTAAATAAATAAATAATTGTTCTCTCACTCGCCTATCTTTAAAATTAAAACATTTTGGAGCAGTATGCAAACTATTCTACGACATAAATTGGGGAACGGGAAAGGGTTTTCTACCACCACCTCTCTGTTAATAGAATCACTTACTTTTTGTTTGCAATTACATAAATACAAGGATTATAGAATGTAGATGACTTAGCAAATAGTGGTGCTATGATCGCCATGGCAGGGGAAATGTTCTTTGGGTCTCCAAAGGAAGACCACAAACACACAATAGAGTATGGAGACCAAGCGAGCAGGAACATTAGAATCATGACAACAGACATCTGTAAAGGAAGATAAACATGTTAGGCCATGAAATGTTTGTAGATTTATATCAACTTCTTTCTATCAGTCCCTCAAGCCTTTGTAAGACATATCAGCCCAGACTTTCAGATCATCTTCAGCAGTCCTTCAGAAGCCCCAGCTCACATTCCTTGGATGGGCTCCTAGAAAAGGAAGCCGCATCACAAGCGAGAGAGAGACATGGGGCAGTGCAAAGAACCCGTAGAGTAATGCAGGTATGAGCTAGAAAAGCATCAAGGGCCAACTAGAGTGCAGGTAAAGGCAATGAGACTACAGAAATCTCCCAAAAGGAACTACCTGTTTTTTCTCACTTAAGTCAGCCAGTTATCTTCTGATTGCCTCACAACATACAGAGAGTGAAAGCGCACAAATTGTCTATATTCTTTTACTGTTCCACTCAGGACCTTAATGTGCAAAATGCACTGAAACAGAAAAAGAAAGATGCATCGCCATGGTTTCCACTGATTCCCTAGGTGGAAGCACTTCAGACTTTTGCCTATATTTTTATTAACAAAGACCTTGTTCCAGTGGACCTTAGCGCCTGTAGAGTCATAAGATACTTCAGCTTCCCAGATCCAAGGTCCAAGATAGTGCTCTAACCTCAGAACTGAGAATCCCATGCCTTTGCAGCGAGTGTGCAAACATGCTTCCTGTTCTTCAAAGTCAAGAAAGTAACCTCAGTGAAGGGTAAAAGGAGGTGGAGAAGGGAAGAGACTACAGAGGCCAGGCTATGAGGTGACCTGCAGTCCCAGCATCCTTCTCCCGCCCCCTTCTCAGGTGCTCCTGCTAAATGGGTGAAAAAGAATGTCTAGCAGAAAATGGAGGGTGGGTGGGTGGGAAAAGGAATATTTTCTTTTTCTGCAGAAGAGCATCTGAATTCAGGGACTTATAGGCATCACAACAGGATTGCACCCTAATACATATACAAACACAACATAATACACACTCACAAATGTTCCTTTTATATACTGTATAGTATTTTTTTCTTTTATTAAATGTCAAGCTACTGCTAAGGTGGTCTTACTGTGGATGTTCTAGTAACATATTGTTGATAGACTAAGAACTATAATTAGAAAACACTTTTGTTTTTTTAGTGATCTTGATTTACTATTCCACGTGCTCTTTTCCATCTTTTTGTTGCCTTTCTTTTGTTAATTTTATTAAAATCACTTTTCATGATTACAAGAAGGGACTCTGTCAAAATGATCATACCTTTGTTACATCCACTTGGTCAGACCAGTCTATATTGATGCTCTCGAGACATCCATTTTTGGTGTACCGCTTCATAGTTCGTGAAACATTGTAGTAACAGTAAAACATGACCGATAGAGGGAGGACAAAATTAACAGCAATTACAGACATTGTATATGAAACAAAGGATCTGAAAGTGAAAAATACAAAGAAGGTGACTTAAAAAACACTTCCCATTCCGCTTGCATTGTCAGTTTAGAGCATGCTCAAACATTTTAAGATGTTCCAAACACATTTCAAACTTAGGATGCTGCATTCCAGGACAGGAACCACATTTTGGTTCAGTTTAGATTATCTGATGTATTGCAGTTGTTTTGAACTACAACTCCCAGCATTCTTGACCATTAGTGATGCTAATCTGGGGTGATGGGAATTAAAGTCCAAAACATATGAAGGGTGCCACGCATTCTTGGAGGAGAAAGCAAACTAGAAGTATTTCTCACAGTTCATCTCTTTGCTCTTCTACCCTGCTACCCAGACCACCTTCTCAACACTTGTCCTATTCATCACAAAGGTTCACTGAGACATGTCACATGGTGAGCTCCATGGCTGAGCAGGGACCAGAATCCAGGTCTCCTGAGGCCCAGTCTCACCACTAAGCCACACTACTTTCTGAACGTACATATGCTATTCCACCATTAAAAACATACATGTCATTCTTCCTCCAGTTTACAGTACAGGTGGCTCCAGTTGGATCAGGGGCATAGCTTGCCCAGCCCATAACAGGCATGGAGGCCCAGAAGACTGCATTGATCCAGGCAGCAAGAATCAGGGCTGTATAGTTGACGGTAGTAAGTCTGCTTCCTACGGACAAGGACAAAATGTTACTGCTGTTATCATTGCACACCCTTGACAGTCTGCTTTGAAGCATGCACAGAATTAATCCTAATGATAAAAATGTGTCCATAAGCCAGGAGTGTTAAAATGTAGGTGCATGGGGGAAAAATCTGCCCCATTTGGAGATCCCAATCTGACTCTCTGAGGTCCACTAGATGACCAGGCCCCCTTCCCCAATTCCATTTCCAAAGGCTCAAAACCCTCTCTAAGGCTCAGCTACTCAGTTTTAAGCTAAAACTTGCTGGGACTTTAGATATTCTGCCCTATCCCCTTTGCATCTGGTCCCAACACTTTGGGCTTTGGTCTGATCCAGCACAGGGATGGAATTCAGCTGTTATGTGGAAAGAGGTTCTCAGACCATTTTAAGAGGACAAATACATTTTCTGAGGCTCAGCTATTGGCAGGAAGAGTTTTAAGCCAAGTATTCAAGCTGGTATTGGGGGCCCTGCCCTTTTGCCAAGCGAAGCGGCAGTCTGCGAACACCCATGGAATGAAGGTTGCACAGCTGGCAAACTTCTACTGCCTCATATGCAGCAGGACAAAGGCCGCTGCACGTGATGCAGAAGCTGGAAACCACCAGCATTGTGCTCACATGGGACATGATTCAAGAACAAATAACCCAAATTTAGTTTGGATAAATATCAAAAATAATCCTGGATTGCATAAATGTGAAACAATAGATTTCTATGCAAGAATATGAAATGCCATACCTATATGGGGCTTGCAGATTGTCAGGTAACGATCAATTGCAACAACAGTCAGCAAACCAATACTTGCCATTCCAAAGAAGATATTTAGAGCAGCATAGATCTGAAATTTGAGAAACGATATTATTATTTTAAAGTATTGGTTTAAAGGTTTGGAATCCAGCTCCTATTTACCGTTGCCAAGCATTTCTGCTGACTGCACCTAGCTGTGTATTACAAGAGCGTTTTGTTTAATGCACTATGAACAATGTCTAACAAGTCAGAAATGCCAGATGATGATGAACTGGTAAGATCTCAAGGATGGGACAGTTGCCAAGGAGCCATTTATGTTCATACAGGCACAAAAGAGCTTCTTAAACTTGTCTGCAAAACTAACCAAAAGGGCCTACTCGGCCTGCCTGAGGAACACTTTTGCCAGAGACACTCTGGCACCGGCATTTATACTGTGCTACTTTCAGTACCAGATGAAGAACTTTTCATTTTCCCATATCTTTCAGCTGTAAAAAGTTTAGTGCTTTTAGATGTTTTGCACCACTGCTAGGAATTTAAAAGATTGTTCAGGTCTATATGACAGAAATCCATATAAAAATCTGCATATACTCATGTAGATTTTATATACAAATTTAGAAAGATCAACTAGGAAGAGTTCTTAAATTTCACAGGAGAAAAACCAGCCAATTAATATCCCATCCAAGTGACCTGAAACATTTTTTTTTTCAGTTGATGTGTGCCTTGACACAAATAAGGTCAAACCAGTCACAAACTCTCCCCTCCCAGCTTCCTTGCCATGCAGGAGGAAATGTGTGGAGTGGTGGATGATGCTACAGCCCATGGAAAGGAGAGGGCTAACAGTCCTTTTCCCTCACTGTATATTTTTTTCCCCTGCACAGAAAGCAATGAAGTTGCAGGAAAATCTTCCGTTGGCAGATTTTTGGAATTCCTTCACTCAGAAATTCCCATCTAGTCACAGGCCAGCTAAATTCACTCAATATCTCTCACAGACCCTGGCCTCCTTCCGAGCCACATTTTTGCACTATGCAAAGTCAGGCAATTTTTAGCCCAGTATCTTGTGCAGCATAGTTCTGGCCTATGATCACCGACTACCTGGTCCTTTTAACCAGAGATCCTGGAGTGTTACTTTGCAAAATGAGGGCATTCAAGGGTTACCGTTCTGTGTCCTTCTCCCCATCAGGTCCTCCAGCTACTGTACAGTAAGGCAGTGTCCTAGCTTTGGCACTATCTACTCAAGGCAGCCACCTGGTGGCCAAACTGGTTCAGTCCGTTTCTTAACTTGCATGAAAGACGCTCAGTTCAAACTTCTAGAAGGGTAGATGCGCCATGCTGGGAGAATTGCCATCTGAAAGACTAACAGATCTACTGTGTCATAAACTTTGGTGGACTAGACCTCACTTCATCAGCTGTTGACTTCAAGAGCATGCTACTTTATGCAGTTCTGGTTCAGAGTGCTTTGATACTCAAGTGGAGGTTCAGCAAATAATATATAAGGCTGTTCAGGGCTGTAGGACATCTGCTCTGCCACTAGTTCTCTCCTACTTGTGGAGCAACACAACTGGACGAAACCTAATGAGTTCAATGGGAATTAGTCTCAGGTTAAATGTGTATAGCCCTAGGCTGCGGTTCTATATTCAGTTTCCTGAAGATAAGATCCACTGAGAGGGGTAGAGGATTCCACTGTTATTATGGTTAGAGCCTGTGGTATACCTACTCGTAAAACTGAAAATCCACACCTGGATCTCTGGCGTTTTAAAATGTAGGCCTTGCCTGGCATAAGTGAACTTGCGTTGCCTTGCTTATGTTAACAGAACAACGGAGCTTTAGTTACTAACTTCCTGGCCACCTCTGCCAGGGGAGGTTGCCAAAGAAATGGATCAAAGGAGTACACATGTAGGTACACGCACACACACAGCTGTGTTCCCTCCATTGGCCATACTCCTTGTCAGCCCAGTACAATCATGCCCTCAGACCTGAGGTAGTCATGAGCCTCTGCCTGTAGGACTGCACTATCACTGTGGCACTTTCAAGCAGGGAAGAGACATTGGCAAGACTGGCAGAGATACTCATCATTTAGCTCATTGTGCATTATTATTAGCACCCGCCTAAGTAATCATTGTACTCCTATGTTATGATTGTAACATAACGTAGGTTTGTATGCATGCACCCTGCTTTGAATCATGTAACTTATTTAAGTTCACCATTTTCTTTGTGCTTTTGTTTGGACTTTCGTGGTGACCCGGCTGCCCATCCGTTCCCATCGACTGGGGGTTCGCTTGCATGCTATCTGTGCTGTGCACGTAAGTGTTACTGCTAAAGCCTTTGAAACTTAGCTAGTGCTTGGTGCACTGCAGAACAATAAACTGTTTTGATCATCACAGGACATTAAGCTGTTTGGCCAAGTTTGTTGTGTCATTGCAGAATGTAAAACTGTTTTGACAGTCACCAGGAAGTAAAGCTGTTTCGTTCATCACCAAGATGTTAAATTGGATCAGTGTCTAGTTAATGAGACTGCTGGGTAGTGTCACTGAACAACACCCAGCTTTTAGCTGGCAAACCCAGAGGCGGCCTCTCTCTTCCTGGGAACTGCCTCACCCATAGCCAGGCCTCAAGGTGATAGAAAGCCAGGGAATTAATTTGCCAGAGCTATTTTCATAATGACTATTATCATACTGCAAGTGATAATCAACTGACCAATGCAAGGATGCTGGTGTTATCACCTATCAGCTTTTACTAATCACCATGGTCTGTACTTTCTGCATTCTGCTGCCCACTGAACTCACTGTTTACAATGCACAAATAGACTTGTAACTCAATATTGTACCATCATCATCTGATGAAAAGACTGCAGTCCATGAAAGCTTATGCCAAAAAAAATTTTGTTAGCATTTGAGGTGTCACAAGACTCTTGGTTCCAAGTACCTAACACTAATGTCCAAACAGACGTGAACAATCAACATTAAGAACAAACATGTGCTTTAAAGTTTTGCTCTGTGGTCTCTTCTCTCTATATAGCTAAAATCCAGCAAATTTTAGGGCAGATTTTGTACCAGCACCAAAGCATGCAGTAAAGCTCTTGTGTACATTTGACGTGCCAGTTTGCACAGAATTGTTCTGGGGTGACTGCCATGCCATTGGTGTAACAGATCAAGTAGTTCTCAGGACTGTAGCAATTGGAGGCAATTATTGCTATTGTCCAAACTCAGAGGATAGTATCTGTTGGAAAAGCCTAAGGACCACTCACAGCAGATTCATTCAGTTTCTGTACCCTCTAAAGAGAGCTAACCATAATATACTTTGTTCTTTCATTTCTACAGTCCAAGTACCTGGCAGCCTGTGTAGCCAAATTTCCAGCTTCCATGAAGATCTGAAGCCGCGGACATTGGGTAACCGATCCCACTTACTCCAATATCGGTAAAAGCCAGATTAATAATGATCGCATTGGTTGCAGTCCGAAGCTCCTTATATTTAACAAAGATGCCTAGTACAACTATGTTACTGAGAAGACTTATGACTCCTGTCAAAAGAGGAAAAGGGAAAAACTAAACAATGAAAGGAATTATTAATGCTATGCATTTGTTCAGAAAAATCACGTTATGAATTTCCATTGGCTTTGGGCCAAACTGGAGTCCCATATTATTTGCAAAAGGATTACTAATTCACTGAACTCATCATCCATCTCTCAACAAGATTTTCTTCTAACATTGCTACAAAACTTCAAGATCCAATAAGAAATGCATTTATAGAGGCATACTGATGTGAATCTTGTTACCACAGCATTAGATATTTGCTGATGTCTATGGAATGCTGTTGTTTCTGCTTTGAAAATGAATAAAACAGCTGACTAGGTTTTCCTTCTCCCTGTCAAACATTTTAAAAACTTGGGAAAAATTGAACACATTATCCATATTTTGTAAACATTACACAAATAATCCATATTATATAGTACATGCCCTCTTGAATTACGGCCATATACTCTATGTGAGGCAGCCATCAGAAATGTTTGGAACCTACACCTTGTTTTCAGCACACTCAAAATTAATCATGGCCCATGGGTAAGCAAGATGTTCCTGAAACATCAAGAACAATACGTTCCTGAAACATCAAGAACAATACCAAATAGCTGAACAACTTTGTCACCAAGATCCATTTACAGTAGCAAAAAAAAAAAAAAATGAAGCTGCAGTAAAAACACCTGCAATTCTCTTAAGAGGAAAAGCTACGATCTCAATGAGAAACTTCTCTGCTTTTCACCAGACTACAATTTCCTGAATTCTTCAGTGTGAGAAGCCATGAAAACTAACCTGGCATAAAACCAATTTAAGCTTGTAGTGCAGCTAGAACCTGTGTCTTTCTCTTTCTCCTACTTTTTCACTTCTCATAAGCTTCTTTCAAATTGTAATAGGGAAATTAGATTGTCATCTCCCAACCCCTACACATTCATAAAATTCCTGTACACATGACTTTCTCCAAGATATTAAGACCATGTAAAAATCATCCCATGTTAGGTGAAAAAGAAATCAATTATGGATCCACGATCTACCAGCTGAAGCCCAGCTTTGGGAAATATCCCTGGAGTTTGCATAAAGGAACTGGAACTGTGGTGAACAAGAGTTTATGCTGTGAGCTGACTGGGGTACAATTTTGTTTAAAAAAAGAAAACAAAACACCAAACTGGTATTGAAATAAGGCGGGGGCGGGGGGTTCACCTCACAGGCAAATTGATAACACAGAAAACTAACTCACAGGCAAATATTAACGTGTCAGAGAAAATACTAGGACACAGTGTTAAGATATGCCATGAAGGAGTTGCAGTCCAGTCATTTCTCTGAAAACTGCTATCAGCATTTTGTATCTAAGTCAATAAGGCCTGGTACAAACACAGAAAAAGCCCCATTAATTTTTCACCGTCATCTATCTTATTCTTTATTATAAGCTGCTCAGGCTTTCAGCAGATAACCATCCATTTATTCTCATCCTGTGTCAAATGTCTTAAAGAGAACACAGAAGGTGTTTTGTCTTGCAAACAGAGATTCAAACAATGGTGCAATTAAGCAGTAAATCCTCCAATGTTGCTGCTCCTGTTCAATTTGAAAGGTGAAAGCAATAATGATTTGACATAGAGCAGAACACTCAGCAGCAGTGGGTCTCAAAGGAACATTAAGTCCTAGATTGTTTCAAATCTTTTATGAGAGCCTTCACCTAGAAGGAAATTCTCTAACCAGGAAGAGTCCTGCCTTTAAGAAAGCCCCTACTTAATGGATTGTGTAAGACTGCTGGAGCAAGGCATCCCTCTGATGACTTTTGAAGCATTTTTGATCTTGTTCTTGTGAAGGAAAGCATCAACAGAAGCTCATATTATTCATAGAGTCAAAACGACATTTTCCTGGGAACACTTTAAAATAGCGGAAATTAAACTGGTCTATCTAATTTGCTATTTTAAAAAAACCTATTCACATCTAGTCTCAGAATTCTGAATGTTAATTTGGTAATATAAGGAAAGCTGTGGGAACAAGCAGGAAGCTCTTGCTACTTCAATCTCATCTGGTAATTTCTAAAGATACTACCCGAAACAAAGCCCTGGGCCTTCCAAGAGACAGTTCTACTCTAACATGGTATCCCTCAAGCTGGAGTTCTCCAAATATTGTCAGTTTGGGTCTGTTGGCCATGCTGGCTCAGAATAATGGGAGTTGTACTCCAACCCATCCGGAAGATACCAGTTCTGGAAAAGTTCCTGTAGACATTTAAAGGCCAACAACATAATCCTATGCATGGCTCCTCAAACCTAATTCTTAACGGCATCCAACAAAGCTTACTTCCCATTAAGTACGTGTAGGATTGTAGTCTAGTTGAGCTTTTATAGATAACAGGCTACCTCGGAAGCAAGACCATATGCCAATGCCCCAATAAATTGGTCAGTCTTCAAAGTAGCAAAGTACTCTGTCTTCTTACTCTCACAGAATGCCACTATTACCTGTCTGGATGAGCACAACTGATCTTTTTCAAAATGTTGCATATAGAAATTCCAAAATCTTTTATTAGTGAAACATATAGCTGAAACAGGAATCTACAGCATGGGCATCTTTTTTTTAGCAGTTCTAATTACTTCTCTTAAAATGCATATAATATTAGGTAGCAGTCAACGGCAACCAAAGTACAAAGTACAGCCATATGCAAAGCTATTTTTTAAAAAAATGATCCTGGAAACAAGGAAAGACTGATGTCCAGGAGAACACAACTAGTGAAAGGAACACTAAAAACCTGTATTCTTGATACTGAAGAATACAGTTCTGATGTTCTCCTACTTAAATTATCTTTTGAATGGAGCCAATTGTGGATGGAGCAGACAATAGCAAAAGCAAGGCAGAGAGTGTTGCAAAATTGAAGAACTATCTCCAAGTTATCACAGTATTTTTATTCAGAGTTAGTAAAAAGACACTTGATAGGAAGACCAGAACAGACATAGGACAGAGAGCCAGTACTCATTCTGTTTATCCCTGGAAGTTACATTTTTGGGGAAAGGGCTCTCAGAAGAATAAAGCATGAATAAATATTAATTCGAGTCTTTCATCCAGGATATCTTTCCTTTGAAGTTAACATCTCTAAGAGTAAAACCTATACATGTAAGCTTGTAAGTCCTACTATGTTCAATAGGGATTGTTCATAGATGAGGATTGGGCCTAAGAGTGCAATCCAATGCATGTTTACTCAAAAGAAAATCCTACTGAACTCAATGGGACTTACAAGTAAGTGTGTACAGAATTGTGGCAGCACTACAGTGCATCACTTGCGCAAGACTACAGCTTTAGATTACATTTTCACAATTTCACACTTGATTTTTCTAATTTACCTACATTTAGATAAAACCGAAGGAGCATCCATTTTGACCACTCTTTCTGTGCATTACTCACTGCCCCCATTCACATCCTAAATCCTGTTTTATTTTTCAATCCACATTCATACCTGCTGTTATCAAATAAGCTGCAACTATGTTGTGTTCAGTCTGCGAAAAGGCCGGATGAGGTTCATTCTCACTTTCTGAAGAATTTGAAGAATCATTCAGAAACATTGCAGTGGGGGGAATTGAGAAATACCCTCCAGAGCTTTCCTGCAAAAAGCCATTCACCAATAAAAATAAAATACAGCAAGCCTTTTCATGCAAATTCGTGACCTGTAAAATTTCTGTACTGAAAGGGTCCCAACAGGATTTCAATTAAAGAGCAAAGGGGTTTACATTCCCAGCCTTTGGAAGAGGACGGCTTGTTAGTTCAACAAAGAACAGCACAGAGCTGTGTGTGTATTTTCAACAAGATGCTTATGTTTCCTGGCCTCATGACTAGAGAGATTAACAGTCTCCTTGGTCACACTTTATAATTCAAACTTCTTTTCTTAGTTCTTTTCTTTGTCTTTGCAGAAAAAATGGTCAAGTGTTGCTTGAGAATTCTGAACAAATAAAAAGCAATCAACAAGATGCACAGAGTAAGTCCCAAGATGCAGAAGCAAAAGTCTTGTTTTAATATTCAAAAGCAAAATGCTTCACAATGACAAGCAAAATGAGGTTTCTCTCTATTCAAGTAAAAAAAAAAAATTCTGAGGATTTTTGTTGTGAAGCCGCAATTTCAAATCACATCTTGGGTTGTCCACTTGTGAACTAGGGAAGAGAAGGAGGAAGATGGAAGAAAGAGGTCATGCATCATCAAAGAAGAGGTCAAAACAGAGCACCTACTTGCTTATGCTTATGTATATGCATAACTGCGCATTTAGAAAGCATAATTTCTAATACTATATAATCATTATAAATTTTAACTTCATGTAACAGAAATACAGAATGTCTCACCAAATGCGGAAGACAGTGATCAGGTGACCTGTGTACCTTTGCTCACTCTGCAGTTCAGGTGCTGTTGATGGAGAAGCTTAAGGTCCAGCTCTTCCTTCTGATGGTTCTTGAATTTTACATTAGGCTTGGCCTGATAAAGCCCTTCATACAAGGGAAACCTCCAAAGCAAAGAACAGTTCTCAGGCAGTCCTTCCAACAGAAGGCTGCCCTCTCTAAAAAGGACCACCACATCCATTTAGAAAACCAGAAAGCTGCCTTCCACTCTAGCTCAGCTGACTTGTCCATCAATCTTAACCTTGTTTACTCCACCAGCAGTACTTCTGCAGAGTTTGATCCTTTTAAGTGGAGATGCTGAAGCCAGAAGCTGGGACCCTATGCGGGCAAAGTGTGTGCTTACAGAAGTCCACAAGCACCCCTCCATTCCTAGGCAGTAAACAAGATAAAATGCATTAAAATACCAACCCTGTGCTTCCCTTTCATGACACTCAAATTCAGTGGCTTGAGCCAGCCACCTCACTTTGCCCAACAGTTGGGATGGCCTACAAAAAATGATGCGTTTTACTCTTGCTGGAGAACAGATATTCGTCAGGCATGACATCGTTTCACCCACTTTCTCCCGCTCCTCTGCATGCAAATGCTCTGGGTCCACAACCACAGCCTGAGAGCACTGGCATTTCTAAGCTTCCTTCAATAGTTCACTGTACTGGGAACCCCTTTCAGCACTTCAAACATGCTTGCATGTTTGTTTGCTGTGTGTTGTTTTCGCTTTTCCATTGGTCCACATGCAACAAGATGAATAACACAGCTATCTCCTGTTTCCCGACTTTGAGATGCTCTGACCACTTAAGTCACACACAGGCCAGACACATTATACTTTCTGATCTCCTTCACTGTCTTTTTACACCCTAAACTCCCCAAGATTCTAGCATTACAGCCATCACTTGAGACTATTTGCTTCAAAATTGTAAAGGTACTGTTTTCTCCTGTTCTAAAACCTAGATGGAACATTGTGCAGAGGTTGGGTAGAACCAAGCCTGAATCGTGAACACTTGCAAACTGACCTGGCTTCACATGGGTCAGAAGAGCCCTTGCTCTGATACACCAAAGCCTTCACACATACTTAAACATTGGTCATATGTTGTCAAACATTGGACATAAGCAGCCCAGGCAGAGTGCCTGCCAGCAGCCCTATGAAGGCCTCCTCCTATGGTGCACCCCTACAGCTCCCTGAGGGAGAGGTCCATCCACTCCTTTCCCGAGAAAGGGCTGTGTGAGGATGCAGCAAGCATATAACTCTGTCCCTCATCCTAATCTTCCCTGGCTTCAAATTGTATCAGCGGCAATGATTAGGGAAGTGTGCTCCTAAGGGCTGAAGCTACTACTGCAGGCTGTAACTGCATGGTTTTCAAAATAAAAAAGACATAACCTCAGGTACACACTCGTGAGACTTCCTTAGCAGGCATACCAAGTCTCAAGTGTCTTGGCACCATGGCACCAATGGACAGACAGACAGACAGAGGATAATGCCTGATAGCAAACTTAACTGTTCCAGTCTGTTTGAACTACTACTAGAGAGCTTTGGCTATGAACTCTCATAGAAATGAAAGAGATGGTGATAATGCAAGGCTTTGTCAAGCTGATTTTAACATTTATATGCAAGATTCGATTTAACTTGCATACAGTTTGTTTTTGTTCTGTAATTCACTAATGCCTTACACCAGCAGAAGGGTAGGCAGAAGGCAATTTGGGATTACTGACAGATCCTTGGGTGACTTGTGAGGGACTGGCAAGGATTTTTTAATTCCTATTGTTAAACTACAGCAACAAATGACTCACAAAGACATGCACAAAATAGATCTGTGTTGAAACAAAGCTTGAAGTGCCCGAGAACAGCAGTATGCTCAACTGTAGCACTTCACTCCTATGCTATGCAGCTTCTCAAAATCACTAGGTTCTTTCAATTCTTATTGTCCATCTTTTGCACCTGGTTCCAGCAAAACACAAGGCAGATCCCGCAACTCTCAAGGCTGAGTTTCCAGGCCTTAGTGTAGTGTTCTTCACTGAAAGGTCTACGGGCCACTGGTTGCTTCCAACCACCTTGAGTGCAGTTCTCTGCTCATCCCTTTTGGCAGGAGCTGCTAACTCCCAGGAGGGGCTTTCCAGCGTTTCCTTGTTTGCTTCAGTGGCAGGCCAGCTGCTCTGATCTGGGCTACCAGAGCTAGTTTGCGGGTAGGGAATCAGAACAGCTTGCCATTAATCGGTTGTAAGGTAGCCGCAGGTGGGAGAAGACAGTCCAGGAGTGACTGGGCAAGGAGCTATGATGGAGGAGCACCCAACAGGCAAACAGTGACCTGGTCAGCCAATGACAGCACACTGCACAAGCTCTCAAGTAGCCTCAGCAGCAGTGCCCGGAGTTCCCACTGGAAAGTAGTTAAGATCACTGCTCTAATGTAACCCAGCCTAAGTATATGCAATTAAACTAGCTGCAAGAGAGACTCATGCAACTACCAGCCAGAGTGGTGTAGTGGTTACGAGTATGGGACTGGGACTCAGGCGAGTTCTAGTCCCTGCACAGCCACGGAGCCAACTGGGTGACTTTGGGTCAGAGATATTCAGCACAACCTACCTCACAGGGTTGTTGTTGTGGGGAGAAGACTGAGAGGAGAATGATGTAACCTGCTTTCTTTAAAAATGAAAAAGGTAGGATATAAATCTAATAAATAAACTCTCACCCACTTCATCAGCTACACAGAGTATTACAGACTCAGCTTTGTATGTAGTATATCCTTCCTGTCTAAGCCCTGCCTCAAATTCCCTTCCTACGCTTCATCTCTGCCACACGCGCTCCCTCACCACTCCATTTCAGGCAGCTTCCTTTCTGCTTTTTCTTTTTTATTCCTGTCACTGGTCTTGTTATCTGAAAATTTACTTCTGAGTAAACTTAGATTGCTTTGTAAATTATTTTTCATCAATATGGCAGAGCTTCCATTGTACAGAAGTCATATTCAAAAAAGTTTTATTTCTTTGAAAAGACAGCATTAAAAACTGGGATTCAGCACATGAGATTCCTTATCTGCATGTGGAAATCCATTCCCTTCTCATATATACAAGCAACAAGGTGCACACACTAAAGATGGAGAAACATTCAGCTTGCATATAAATCTCTTGGCAGAGCCTGGACCCACACATGTACAAGTTTAATATTTTGTTTACTGTCATAGAAACATCTTCAGGATGCTACAAGTAACACCTATGAACTGTGATATATATACCAAAACCCCAAAATCAGGCGCATCTTACTAAGTGCCCCCTCTCTCAAGAAATGGAAGAACAAATTTAACTAGCTGCCTATTGCAACAATCCTCCTAAATTGACAGCTTCACAAGTTAGAAGCAATCAATATGGGAGTTCAGTGCTGTTCTTCATTTCTTTCATAAAGCCTGCTAAATAAATTCCCAAGCCTCTGATATGCATCAAACAGCATACTGTTCACCAACCAGGGTTGAACATGGCCTAAGGCACCACAAGTCCAGTTTTAGAGCTCTGTGCTATTGCTTTCAAAATACATTCCTTACTTGGGTATATTATTCACAGAGAGCTTAAATTAAATGTTATTCTGAAATCATATTCAAGTTTTTTGAGACCTTTGTCCATGAACTTGCAAATCACTATTCTAAAAGTAACAAAACCAAAATTCAAAGACTCGGGAGAAAAAAAATCCAAAAGATTTGTGCAATGTTATTTGGGCCTGCAACATGTTATTAAATTGTTATTTAGAGGTTCAATGGTTTCCAAGCTTCAAGATGAAGTTTTGATTTTAAAATAGCATTAAAAAGTTGTACAAACATTTTGTATAATGTCTGCTAAAGACCAAGTATCTGCAGTCTTCTTAAATTGTCCCAGCTTAGCAGAAATTCATGACCAACACAGGCGATAGCAATTCAGTCCTTTGGACAACAGCACAATTAAGTTGTCCACTGTGCAGCATTCAATTTCATTAGAAATCCTTTCATTGTGTTTTGTCATGAAACCTTAAACGTGGTGTTTCCCAGAGTTTCACTTAACGTCCTCTGCCTAATTGAAAGAAAAACACAAATTAGATGAACAATCTCTAGGACAGGATTTAATGGTGTTATCCCATAAATCTAAATAGCATTGGTGTATAACACTGACTCTTTCTCTTCTACAACTGCTTGGACAAACAAAACTAGCTGGATTCTCTGATGGCACCCTGTTAAGAACCTAGTCTCCACTACTACAATCTCATTTTCATGAACATAGTGATGCAGTTGGAAACTGTCCCTAGACTGAAAAAAGTGTTGGTATATCCCATGGTTGGGTGCAGACATGCTTTCTATCTCACATTTGCATTTATGACTTTCACATTCTTTTGAAACACCAAACAAAACATTGGTAAAATTAGGCTGGGTCCTTTACTCAAGGGTGCTTCCAGCCATAAAGCCCCCATCCTCATCCCACACTCAATGCCCCGACAGCTGAGGAGACTATTGCTGGTTCTTGCTTACATAGCATCAGCAAGATCTGCAGCAGCACTGGTGAACCTCTTGATATTTTGACACAGCATCTCTCCAGGACATCATGAGAATGTCAACTGGGTTGCTTCCTAACTGCCCACAGAAGTAAAGTGAGGTAATAATAATGAAGGGACCCAGGCCAAGCACAGTGGCCTCTTGGGGCACTGGATCCCAACAGCTGCCCAAGTATGCCAGGTGCTCCAACCAGCCCTGGCTCCAGTTTTCAAGCTTCCTAGCATTATGGAATCATTTCCAGGGTGACTTTTCTGCAAATGACTGCCTGTGCCAATTGTTCCACGGGATTTTTCGGTGTTTCCCGTTCATCCTCTGAGTTGCAGCTGCTCTGCATCAACTGACTGCAAAGCACAGAACACGCCCAAGCTTCTCTTGAGGTTGCACAATGCATGGGGAAACACTACTAGTTCTGGACCAGCTGTCCACTAAGGGAGACATCTCCCAGAACTGATGAGGAACCTCTCACAATTTCTAAGGAAATGTACACTTTCCTGGAACATTCCCAAAGCTATCATTCAACTACATCAAAGAAATTAATAGCAAAATATTGCAGGTATCTTAGTAAATATGCACCACAGACTATTCATTCTAAAGAGAACTGTGTTTGATTGAACTCCAACCTGCCCCATTAGCCACACATCTCCCATTAGCCACACATTATTAACTTAAGCAGATACATGAATATACTTACCTCTAAATCCTCGACCACCACCTCCACCTCGTCCTCCTCTGAAGCCTCCACCACCTCTGCCGCCTCTGAAACCACCTATAAATAAGTAGGGAGGTAGATCAGATTCTTACGGTGGCAAATAAGAATGGCCATCAAATATGATTTTGGAAATCTAAGCAAAATTATGCGCTAAATTCTCGGGAACATCTTGCTTGCAGAAATGAGGTTTTGCTATTTCCCAGATGTTGCAAAACTGCACTCTCGACTGCCTTATTACATGCAGCTAGACCCACCTTGCAAGACAAACGCCACCTACCTCCTCCTCTGCCACCTCCTCTTCCTCCACGACCACCTCCTCTACCACCTCTTGGAGCTCCTTTCTCTCCTGGAGGTCTTGGCAAAAACCTTTGCAGAGGTAGCAGTTTTGCAGGATCAATGTAAAACTGTTAAAAAAAAACAGTGGTGTTAGGCTTTGCCAAACAGTTTTCTCTCCCACTTGCATACCGAAGTTAAGAGATTAAGGATGCAATTCTATGCGTATTTAGACCTTAAAAGTCCTTGCTGGCTGGGCAATGCTGGGAGCTGTAAGATTTTCTCTGGCTCAACAAGCATAGGATTTGATATGAGATATGACTTGGTATGAGACAGCACCTAATTTTCAATGCAAGACTTTCCTAAATAGTAACACTTTTCCTGATTCAGTTCGAGTGAGCCACAACCAAGTCACATGAAACAAGGGCAACACATTAGCCACAGCTACTCAAATGCACTGCTTTCAATCGGACATCCTAAATATGTTTCCTCAGAGCTTGGTCCCAATGTGCTCGACAGGACTGCTGCCTAAGTCATGATTATAGTTTGGTCAGTGAGGGAAAGTAAACACGATGCATAAGAGAACATAATACCCACATACCCTCTTGCTTATTGGTTAAAACACTAATATTAAATTAGCAAGCCTAACACTGCGACTATGCTAGAATTTCTGCAAATGGCCTGTACTTGTCTAATGAGCAATATTTAAATAGCATATGCATTTAAGAAGCCATGCTTATATTACATCCAACGGTGTAAGATATTTGTGCAACTTATTCAGCTTCATATTTAAAAGAAGCTTGCTGTTTCGTGTTTCACAGGAGGAACTACATGTTATATTGATTGACCATTACAAAAGCTTACCTTCTGCAGCTTTTTGAAGGAAGAAGCCTTCATATTTTCTGACAGTTTGACTGAAAAATACTATTAGCATTGTTTGAGGAAGATAACACCAAATGCATTTCTCATTCTTCTCAAACATATTAATGGTGCTGCATATACAATGCTCTCACTGCTTTAGAATTTATATTAGAAAATAATCCCTAGAATATTGGAAGAATCAGGGAACCAATTAGCTTCCTTTCCTTTATGCATTTCGGGCCCATTTATCACAAATCCCATTCCTTAAAATTTAGCACAGAAAAGATGTAGTTATGGTACCCAAAAGATGCAGCATACACAAAATAGTCACCATGAAAACACTTCCCTTTTAGAAACATTGAATGTCACAAGTCAGAGTCACACATGAGAAATCCTGCCTCTGAGATAGCAGTAAGCTTTACAGCCCACTTGACTCCTCTTTTTAATTAAGTAATTTCATCCCAAGTGGTAGAAACATTTCTTACCTAATCACTAAAGACTTTTAAAGTTCAATTAGAGCTCTTTAATTTTCTTAGCTAAACCATAAAAACAGATCAGTTCTAGCTAGAAGGATGTTGACAAAAACATTCCCTTTTCCATCCAGATCATAAACTCGAAAAGTTTTAATTCTGCTAATCAAAATACCCTGTGCCCATAATCTTAAGAACTCCTGCATCAAGTAGGACAAACAGCTTGCAAACTGAATCAGAAAACTTGAGATGTATTTTAGATATTGGTAGTGATGTCCTGGTCACTCAACTTACCCTAAGCATACACTTAAAAAGGCATTTTAAAAAGAAGCCAGCTTAGGCAATTCTTCTGTCTGAACATGTATAGCATTGTGCCCTGAAGGCTCTATCATTCAAGTCAGTATATTCGCTGATATTTCTTCCACTCACTCAGCAATGGACCTTGTGTACCAAACACAAAGTAGAACTAACTACCAGGTCCCCTTTGGTGGAATGCCTTCCTGAAGAAGATATGATTAGTGTGGACTTTTCTTTTGGGCACTCAATTTGGGACTGAGGTGGAGGTAAAAGCCTGCACAGTTTAGCCATCTGGAAGCTGCCATCAGGACAAACCTCATTATATTAAGTGCCAGAAACCGGATCACTTGCATTAAGCTTTATTTACTGCACCAGTTCAAAAGGTTTCACTTCCAACACTGCAGATGAGCAAGCAAGCAAAACCACATATTTCCATTGTACAACCTACTACCAGAATAATGAATTCTTCCCACAACAAATCTGTGTGGCATGGAATAGCTGGAGAAAGAAATCGTAACATTTGTGAAACTAAACAACCAGCAAAATAACACAGATCTATAAATATCTATTCAGAAATCCCACTGAGTTCAATCTGTGTTACTGCCAGGCAGTTTGCAGCCCAGTGGTTGAATCTGAACAACTACTATTACTACTACTACTAGGTTCATGGAAAGGGGGCACCAGAAGTTTTTCATCCCAACTGAAAAAGTATGTGTGATTGTGCCTATTATCAAGTGGAAAGCAACAGATACAACGGGAATGGTTTCCCAGCATCTGCACTGATACAAAGGTCCTGTCAATCAGCTTGCTTAGGCCAAATGCCAATTAAGAGCCAGTTCATCCTCAATCACAGGGATAAGCAACTTCTGATCCTCCAGATGTTTCATCCCACAACTCCCACCAAGCCTATCCAGTACAACCAATAGTGATGGATAGTAAGAGTTGTAGGACAAAACATCTGGAAGATCACAAGTTGCTTACTCTTGCTCTGGTTAGTAAATGGATAGAACAGCAAAAGCTGCTGAAACTAAGTACAGTTCTGATCTGTTCTTTTACCTCTCTTTAGCTTGTTCAAACACAAAAAAGCAATCATAGAATAAAAATAAGAAAATAAAAAGTAGAAGAGACTGTTAGTCATTTTTTCTTAAGGAAACTTCAGATGTACATACAAAGGATACAAAGTCTCTGAGCTGCCCAAATATTTCATCCACTTTCCCAATCTGCTCTTTATTTTCTAAATAGACTGGGGCATTAAAATAAGGTACTTTGTTTTCCTGAGTGACACATTTGCAAACAATGTCATCTTCACAAGGGTGCAGAAATTCTCCAAGGACTACAAATAAGAAAAGAAATGTATCAAAACTAGCATGTCACTATCCAAACATTTTTTAAAGTTTCCATTAGAAACTAAATATGACTTACTGACTACGCTTTCAGGCGGTCCTTGATCATATCCTCCTCTGTTGAAGCCTCCTCGTCCTCCTCCACGGCCAAATCCACCTCTTCCACCACCACGTCCTCCTCTATTGAATCCTCCACCGCCCCGATTGAATCCACCTCCTCCACGGTTGAATCCACCTCCTCCACGGTTGAAACCTCCGCCACGATTGCCACCACCTCTTCCTCCAAATGACATGTCTCCCTTCTGTTCAGAAAAGCATCCCCAAAAGTTAGTCGCAATTCCAGCAAGTTGTGAAACTTGGGTCATTCCACACAATATTGTGTTATTCATGCTGCTGTACACATTAACGAAGGCTATGACCAGCCCATATACTCTTATGAAGTAAACTACAGGTAGCAACTTTTAAGCCTCTTCAAAAGAACGATTACCTTGAAATAATAATTTAAAATTTACTGAAATTTAACCAAAACAATGTGTACATAATTTCTGTCAAATTCCTGCAGGAAGATTATTTATTCTTCACATAAAATCCACCATTTCAAACCTCATCATTTTGCAATGACCATTTCATAACAGGACAAACAGATCTTGTATTTTGGATTAGTTAGTTAATAGATTTATGTTCTGTCACATCTATAATGTAAGAAACAGATTTTTGTATCTTGAGGCAACAAAACCTACCATTCAGGAGCTGAAGGAGAAAGGGCATAAGGGTTCTAGTTTACCTACTGTCTACATCAATTCCAAGAAAAACCAATAAAAGAAATAATTTCTTCCTACATTCCACTTCAGTTATATGGCAAAATCAGTTTTACTGCAGCAGCAAAAGGTTAGGCTTAGAAGAAACTGGATGTTATTCAACAGAGCAGTGAACAAAACCTTATTGCACCATAATTCTTTAAAACACTATAACAAGCATATCACAAGCACAGTTTTAAAAAAAGAAAGGGAAAAAATGTTTGCTACTTCCACAACGTATTTGCCTCTGTAATAACCCAATGCCTTAAATTGGGCTCAGAAGTTATTTCAGGAACCATGCATGAACATCTCCAGTGTTTGGACACAGTGGAATTAGCACTTGATTTAGATTCCTTGCAAAGGAGGAAATAAATTATGTTCTCTTTAGCAATAAGCATCCATGAAACTTAATTATTTCGTTTCATTTTTATTCCATGGCAACAAATGAAGGCAGGGAGGCAGTAACAGTGATTTAATGTATCTGTTCCTCACCATAGGCCTCCTGCTGCTCCAATGTTCCATGGGTAACATAAGGAAAGCCCACCCAGTCTTTACCTGTCTGCACAGCTACATTCAGCTAGCATGTCAAGGCACTGTTGCTTAGCAGGACGGCACATGCTTGCAGTCAGATGGGTGAACACATGTAGAAACAAAGCAGGGGATTGGGCTTGATGGGCGTATAGGCCCCTTCCAACTCTCCCACTATTTGACCATTCTATTCTATCTACTGGCTCCTCCCAGTGGCAAGAATGACCGATCATGATACCTGAGGGGCACGGGGTAAAACAGCCTTCCCCAACCTGGTGTCCTCAAGAAATTCTGGAGTATAATGTCCATAATCTCTGACCATTGAAATTACAGCCCAAAATGCAGAGCACTACCTGACTTAGACTTAGGTAAACGTCTACTTTCCAAGTCGTTTTAGTTGCTCATCTACAGTATCTCCTCTAGGATTGTTTTCCTTCACTCACTTTATTTCTCAAAATGCACCCCCCGCCCCCCAAAAAAACCCACCTACACCTGCCATAAACCCTTTCAGTCACTCTTCCAGTAAATCATTTGGAACCATGCCAAAACCCACAGGAAAAGGAATCCTAAAAGCATGATCAAATGCGTCTCCTCAGAAGTCAGCTCCACTGAATTCAATAGGCCGTACCCACCCCCACCCCCACCATAAGGGATTGCTAAGAACAACCAGTTACATATACAGGTAATTAAATTTAAATTTTAGGTGGGCGCGCGCACCCTCGTCTGATCCATGAACGACTTCACGGCTGAGGAAAATGCTAGCCCTGCAGCTGGACCACAACCTCCATTAACCCCAGTTAGCATGGCCACTGATGAGGGATAATGGGAGTTCCAGTAGAACTACAAGATCCCTAAAAGATACCGTGAATGGCCCAAAGCCGGGGAGAAAGAGAACCAGGGAATATGCGACGCCACAAAAAGCTCCCCAACCGGGGCTGAGGAAGCTACAACGACCCGACACCATCACGACGCCCCAAGACCGCAGAAGCGCCCGCGCTGGCTCCCCCACCTAACTGAGAGCGCCCCGCTCTTCTTTCCCACGTGGCCGCTCCTCTTACTCAAAGGACCCGCATGCCGCCACTTCCGATGACGTCAACAAACAGCGCTTGCCGCCCGACCAATCCCGTCCATGCCGTAAAAGACACTGTCCAGAGAGCGCCACGATTCGCTTTACGGTTGTTTGGAAACAGAAGGCGTAACCATAGAGACAGCGCTTTGCGAGTCTATGGTTTTCAAATGTCAAGGAGATAAGAAACAGAGTCAGGCAAAGAAAAAACATCCGGTATTCAAGGCGCTACTGAATAACTTTTCCTTAAAGAGTAATCCCAAATTGAGTGGGACTTGCTCTTGATTAATATGTATCGAACTGCAGCCTTACCTAATTAATTACTAAACAGTGTTAGTTTATTGACGTATTTATATCCTACCAGGTAGATATTTCGTTCAAACTCTGAATGTTATCTGCCTTTATTAAGTTATTGTAAGCTACTTGTCTTAAAAGTGGGATATAAATAAATTTTGAAAGCAATGATTAAACAACAATTTTATAAAAAGTAGTTTAACTGTAATTGCTAGAATGCAGCAGCAAAGGCTAAAAATAAACTGAAAGCACGATCCTGTGCATGGTTAGATAGAAAAAGGACTGCAATTCTCAGCATGCCCCAGCAACGTAATCTTTCTGTTTAAACTGGCATCTGTTGGACCCTAAATCTTTCCATTTTAGTGTGTGTGTGTGTGTGTGTGTGTGTAAAAAGATAATACTTTTTGCAGTGAAATGAATCATGAAAACTCATGCTACAACACAGTTGTTCATTTTCAAGATAATAAAGGAGTTTGTAAGAACCCGAAATCTTGTTCACGTTGTGTCATTTTGGACAATGCAAAGCTATTAAAATAGTTTCTCTAAACCTTTCCTCCCTCTCTTGTATGCACATATTAACATGTTGAAGATTGATGCTTCCAGCAGGCCAGATTCCTCACTAGTCTGGTCTCTTAGCAGGATTCCCCCAAAGCCAAATGTTCAAAGGGGAGATCCCAGATTTCAAATGGTGACAGGACAGAGAAACTCTTGAAGGGTACTGGGCAGAAGCAGCACTTGAAGGAAACAACAGGTGGAGGTTCTTTTGCAGACAATGGCAGTGACAGTGTAGACAGTGTAAATGTGGTTAAGGTAAAGGTAAAGGTTTCCCCTTGACATTAAGTCCAGTCATGCCTGACTCTAGGGGGTGGTGCTCATCTCCGTTTCCTAGCCGAGGGAGCCAGCGTTTGTCCACAGACAGTCTCCGTGGTCATGTGGCCGGCATGACTAAACACCGAAGTGCACGGAACGCTGTTACCTGCCCACTGAAGTGGTACCTTTTTATCCACTTGCATTTGCATGCTTTTGAACTGCAAGGTTGGCAGGCAGGAGCTGGGATGGAGCAACGGGAACTCACCCCGTTGTGCAGATTCGAACCGGCGACCTTTCGATCAACCAGCACAGCAGCACAGCGGTTTAAACCACTGCGCCACCTGCAGTCCTGCACAAAAGAAAGCAACAGTAAACAACTTCTGAATCTTCTTACCTTGAAAACCCAATGATGAAGCAATCCAAACTGAAGCAAGAGATAGTGCTGGATGATAAGACTCCTGGGTTGGAAAGAATTCAACTAGCTAATGGGGGAGAACAAAGAACATGCATGGACTGTGCTGTTCCTAATGTCAAAACTAGTTCAAAGCCAAGGAAATCTAGTGGCTGACATGCACAGAGGTGAAAGGAAAGTCCAGTATTGCAGAACACATACAATTAAAACATGGAATGTGAGAGCTATGAATCAATAAATCATTGAACAAGAAATGGAACAGTTAAACATTGCATGGAAATCACCATATGGCCAATACAAAAATCAAATAGGGTACTTAAATCAAAGTAGACAATGAAGTATTGGCATTCTTGCTGCCAAAACAAGACCATGAACAGATTGTTCTAGTGCCCATGCACTGTGTATATCAAAAATCCAGGTAATGCTGAAAAATAACTAACAAAGGGATAGTGCCAAAATATGACTTAAATAGCATTTCTGAGGAATTTCAAGTCCACATAAAAGTTGTTTTACTGAATTCAATTGACCATGAACCAGAAGAACTGTGAAGTGAAACCAGGGACATTGTTAGGGAAGGATGCAAAAAAGCCATTCCTGCAACAAAAAGAAAGACTAGGGCTAGATGGGAAAATCCAGATGAATTTTTATAGGAAAAGGTTGCTTATAGGTACCCTTATGATATAAAATCAAACCTGCAGTATCCCTACTCCTCTTGCCCAGAAGGAACCAGAATGCCAAGCCAGATTTTCTTTGATTCCCTGAAGTGTTATCACTGACCCATTCCTTTAAGGAACTGGAACTATTCCCAGTCTGAGGTGGCAGCTACATTTAGTGGCAAAAGCCTTTGCAGAACGGGACTCTCAAGGAAAGCTAATCATGTCTATTCTTTTGCTGATAGCAGTACAGCTAATAAAGCTGTCAGACTAGTTTTTCTAGCAGTATTGCAATTACTCTCATTTACATGTTGAAACTCACAGCCAAGACCCACAATGATTCCTGATTGTCATGCCACTATCCTGTAATCACCATTACTTGCTACACTATTGTATTAAGTTCCCTCTGCAGATTTCTCACATTCTTTTTGACTATGTTCCCATTATTTTGTTATCATCTGCCCTGCTCCTGTGTATATGTTGTAAAAGCTGGTACTTTGTTGCAGACCTCTATCTGGCAGTGCTGTGGTAAGTTTGCACTCTGCAGAGGATTTACCCGGGTCATTCTCACCAATAAAACTGCTGAGGTTCAAGGTGCAAGATGCTTCCCTGTGGATCTGAGAGTTCATTCTCGCACTGGTATTCTGAGACTTCCTGAAGATAGATGAAAGAAGAAACACTCACCATTGCTAAGGACAGGCTAGAAGCAAAAGTAAGAGAATACAAGGAGCATCAGAAATCTGCAACTTTCTGAGACTGGAAGAACTCTTACAAGATCAGTGCAAAGAAATAGAACAAGAAAAGGGGGGGAACAAGAGAGTTTTTCCAGCAGTTCGAAGAAATCAAACAGAAATTCAAATGGAGAAGAAAGTACTATTGCCAAAATCTTACTCCCTTTATACAAATCCTTGATACAACCATACTTACAATATTGGATTCAGCTCTGGTCACTCTAGCTGAAAAAGGACATTATTAAGTTGGGAAAAAGTACAGAGAAGGGCAACCAAAATTATCAGTGTGGTGGAGCAACTCTCCTGTGAGGAGCAGCTAGAACTGGGACTGTTCAGTTTAAGGGGGGGAAAGCAAGTAAGGGGAGACATGGTAGCGATGTTTTAAATAATGCATGGTGTAGGTAAAGGAGAAAGGGAGACATTTTTCTCCCTCTCCCATAACTCTTGAACCTGAGGTCATTCCATGAAGTTTGGGAGGTTTGGGACAGATAAAAGGAAGTAGTTCTTCACATAGCATATAGTTAAACTATACAATTAGCTGCCACAGGAAGTGGTGATGGCCACCACTTTGAATGGCTTTAAAGGAGATTGGACAGATTCATGAGGGAATGGGCCTGGAAGACATGGATGTGCCTCAGCACTGGGTTGCCCTGGCAGGGACAAGCGTGTATTTTATCTCCTTATCTGTTCAGTCTGTACACAGAACATATCACAAGGAAAGCTGGATTAAGATTAGAAGACAAAGGAGTGAAAACTGGTGGAAGATAGATCAGTAATTTAAGATTTGCCGTTGATACCATATCACTGGCAGACAGCAGTGACTTGAAACAGCTCCTGATAAAAGTAAGAGAAGGAAGTGCAAAAGCAGGACTGCAGCTGAACATTAAGAAAACAGATATCCTGACTACAAAACAATTGTGCAACTTTAAGGTTAACAATGAAGAAACTAAAATTGTGAAAGACTTTGTCTATGGATCAGTCATCAGTCCAAAGGGAGACTGCAGCCAAGAAAATAGAAGATCCGGACTTGGAAAAGCAGCTATGAAGGAACTAGAAAAGATCGTCAAATGTAAGGAAGTTTCACTGGAGACCAAGGCCAAGATCATCCACACAACTGTATTCCTGAGCACTATGTATAGGTGTGAAAGCTGGACAGTAAGATTTGTTTGAAACAAGGTCCTGGTGAAGAGCTTTGAAACTTCCCTGAACTGACAGAAGGATACAAGTAGACCTAAAATTCATCCAGAACTTTCCCTGGAAGCCAACAACTGAAACTGTTCTACTCTGGGCACATCATGAAAAGGCAAGACTCACTGCAGAAGGCTGGGGAAAAACAAAGGCAGAAGAAGAGGAGGAAGACCAGCTATGAGATGGATCAATCCTGAAAGGAACTAGAGTACAGAAGAGCTGAGCTGGGCTGTCAAGGGCAGGGCATTTTGGGGGGGCTTTCATTCATAGGGTTGCAGACAGTCTGATGACATGCAACAACAACCAACCTTAACTAAAATACTCATGTTAGCCTTGTACAGCTATTTCAGCTTCTCATATTTAATGGATTTTCCACAATAGGAAAAAAGGACAGGAAAGTGGAAGTGCTACAGATGGAAAATGACTTCATCCAGAACCCCCATAAAATTCCATGAAGGTCTTGAAGCACCCAGCATCCAAGGAAACACAGGCCTCCTTAGCTGTCCAGTTTTTACATTCCAGTAGAGCCTAGAAAAGGGTATTGAGGAGAAGGTTGGACATGGAAAACCGTCTGTGGCTTTTGCATGAGTGAAGGAGGTACCCTGGCTCACAACATGTAGGAGGGAGGGGGTCCTCAGTGTAAGAAAACCAGTCCTTTCAGTATGCACCTTTTCTGCCTCTGCAGGTGTGTAAATGTTTTCTGTTTACTATTGGAGCAACTATCCTTCCTGCTCATCAGCTGCTTTTACTTCAAAATCAAAGAGGCAGTGTTAAGCACACTTTATGGTTTCATGCAAGCAGGTTGCAAACATGTAGCCCTACAAGAGAGTGCCTTGCCTGTAGGAAAGAAGGCTCCCTGTGATCCACACTCTGTGACCACCCTGCCCCCCCCCACACACACACATGACAACTTACAGACCTGTCCTATGGTGCTTGCCCTCACTACCTGCCTAAAAGGTCACTCAAGTTTTTCCACAATCTCACCCTGCAATATATTCTGTTTTCATGGATTATGTGATTGTTTTTATCTGTTTCTCCTATTGCATCGTTATTGCGATGTAAATGTTGTCCATTACCACTGTGGCATTTTTGTTCATCAATATAAACATCTATGCCAATAAAACAATAAACGAACAAGTACCGTTATTGGGAAACATGGTCCCATCCCGCCCAGGTTTCCTCAAAAGTAAGCACCTCTGTGCTCAGGACAGGAATCTTTCTGTGAAACAAGACAGAAAGTTTGTGTTAGGGATACATTAGCTGATTTCTCTGCAGTTCTTCTTTCCAGTTTGGTTTGGAAACAAGGAAGTATGCAGCAAAATAGGTCTGCTGATACTGATCTTTTTTTGTTTGTTTGTTCTGAACAAAGTCCCAGGAATAAAATCCAGACTCAAGAGAAATGTCAATACCATCAAGAACCTTTAAGCTCAAACACTAGTCTTAAAACAATTCTGAGTGTAAACTCCAAAATAACTGTAGAAGTCTGTGCCAGTCATTCTTATTCTTCCTGCTACAGTTAATATAATTTTATTTCATGATGATTTACTATATGATGCTGCCAGGATACACTGAAAGAATGTAGAGGAGGGGATTCTTCTGTACGTACAACATTATTTATTTATTTATTTATTTATTTAAAACATTTTTACGCCACCCCCTTCGCAACCAAGCCTCGGGGCGGCTCACTACAGGATGTTTAATGTTTCTGAGGATGTATTTTGGTACCAGTTTTCATCCATCTTTTTTCCAGGCATAGATATCCTATGCATGTCCTTGCAGAAGTAAGTTCCAATGATTTCAGTGAAACTTATCCTAGGTTGCAATTCTAATTGCACTTTACTGAGAATAAGTCTCACTGATTTTGGTGGAACTTACTTCTGAGCAGACATGTATTGGATTTCAATGTAGGTACACTGACTGTAGAGAAAATCTCACCAAGGGGGTTGGACTTAACAGTATTTGCATTTATCTTACACTGGTTTCCTAGGAGTGCAGGTTTCCCTGAGGCAGTTAGTGTCCTGAACTTGAGTTTGTCAACACCAGACAATATCTTTTCACTGAAATTCAGTGTTAGGCCATTCCTCCCCCCCCCCCCCCGTCTTTTGAAATATCTCAAAGAGCAAAAGACATTCAGTTGAGAATGAAGAAATCTGCGTATTTGCATGAAGAGACAATGCTGTTGGACAGAAACTTGGAGCCTATGCTGTGGCACATGCCACCTTTAATCACCTACAGCAGCCTCAGGTTGTTGAGTTGTCTGAATCCAGCAGCATGGCTTGCTTGAAGGGGAAACAATCCTCAAATAACCCAGGGATTGTTTTGGGTTATTTGAAAGTTGTCTCACACTCAAACAAGCCATGTAGTCTGAGATCAGATGATACTAGAAGTTGAAGCCAGGTGTGTAACTGTGCAAATCGCATCTGCTAAGGACCATGATTTGTTTATGATAGTCTGAACCAGGCCTCATCTGAGTTTCTCTTGTCAGACACTTCCAGTAACATAAGAGTGGTGGCTGTCTAGAAGATTTGGTGTGGGTGGAGTAGATTTTGTTTGACTGTTGGAGTGTTTAAACTGTGTCTGCCCTATGCACTACCCTGTATTTGTGGGGGAAAAAACCACAAATGTTACAAAATGACCAGAGGCCTTCTTTCCAAAGGAAGCCAATCTTTTCTCAGTGCTGGGTCCCCTGAAGTCTCACAGATCAAAGAAGCGGAATAATGTATCTATGTTATAAACAGTGACAGGCATGGACAGCTTTATCCAGTGCATCCATGCATTTCAGCATGCTTCATCCTTTGATTTTGGAGAAAAAGTAAGTTAGGAGAAAAAGTTTGCATTTTGGTAAGTTGGTAAGTTTTTGGAAGTTTGGAGCACCTAGCTCCACAGGATCAACCATGCAAGACCAGTGTCCATGGGCAAATTTAGTACCATACCAGTACTGTTTAGTTTCATTGCCATTATACAAACAGCCATGCATTCTAGCCGCTCAGCAAACAAGGTTATTTTCCAGAAAAGATCCAATATTGGAAAACAGATATTTTATTTTTCAATTCCTATACAGTCCAACTACCCCTTTCTAATTCTTCTCACGGGCCTCTCTCCTAATCCTAAAATCTACTTCTCACACCAGTTTGTATGTTATGTGTAACAACACAGGTGTGAGATGTTCCTAGGTTGTTTTACTTCTCTCACTTGTGGAAGGAATGGTAAGGTAAGAGGAACCAGCACACTCATTTGCTTCTGGTTCATTCCCCCTCAAACCAAACAAACAAACCTAGATTGTTGTGTGAACCAGGTCACTACTGTAAATCAGGATCATTGTAAACTGAATCTGAACTTTAAATTGTTGTACACTTTGTGAAAGAAAGCTTTGACTATGGGACAGTATAGAAATGCAATGAAGAAATGGACTGGATCTTCCAGGTATGTCCTTTGTTCATATTTCTTCTACTATAGATGCAAGCTCTCAATCAGCATCTTGATCACTCCCCTGCCTCATACTACTGACCTTATGATCTTGAATAAAAGGGTAAAAAAGGAAACATAGCTGCTAGATACATGTCTGAAGTAATGTTTTCTGCTTTCAAGATGCATATGTTGCTCCAGACCCTGTTCTTAAGACCAAATACAGTGAAAACATGAGGACTAGAAGCACTGTACATCCACCCCTCTCCATTATCCTAGGCATCAACCTGTTCATGCAAAGGGCAGTGATCCAAAGAGGAGGTCCTGCTGTATCCGTAGAGGGTCTCCATATGCTTTAGAACCCTGGGAATGTAGAGTGATTGCTCCTTGGATTCCAGAGATGGTCCTCTTTACCCTCTGCATATACAAGGTGACAATGCAACAATGGAGCAAGGTAGGGCTGCAATACTTCTCCACACATGTTGACTGGATCTAGCAAGAATGTAAATAGAGCTAGTGTCTCTGCAAAGACCCAACAAACAAAATCTGTCTACAAGTTTAAAGAGAAAAGCTTATAACCACAACCGAACAGCAATCATGAAGACATGATCTCATTATGCTTGGTTGATGGCTTCACATTTCGGACATGGTCATTCTCTGCAATGAACTCTTCCATTTGGGGAGCATGTCCAGGTTGGTTTTCCATATCTCAAGGACCCCTTGTCCAACCTCGTGAGGTTCATAAAGGACAGCTTTTCATCAGTTTCCTTCTCCAGTTAGAAGTTTGACTGAATCTAAGCAATGCTGCCTTGTGCTGACACCCTCACACCCTTATCATTTTGGAGCGTGAGTTTTACGTCATCTCTTTCTGCTCTTCTGAAAAGCATGGTAGCCAATGGTGTGGTAGGCTCACAAATCAGCTTTTGCCGGCTTGTGTGTCTCTTTCGTATTCATGGGAACATTGTTTATTTGAATGAGGAGGTACAGCTCCATACTTTTTGATCAGATCTACATTCACTTTCTGCCCTTTATTCACGTGAAAAGAGAGCAAGGGCATACAATGACATCCCAATGTATAAGAGATCTCTTTGGTAGATCATGTTTCACTCTGTTTCTCACTTGCATGCACATGTGTTTATCATTCTTCCTTTTTGCTTGTTAAATAAAGTGATACGATCCATGTATAATGCCTCATTTCTTAAATAAACTTGCTAGATTTCATTGTGTTATTCTGTTGGCCCTGGAAACTGTCACTCTCAGAACTCAGCACACAATCTTTAATCCATTTTCCAAAGAATTGAGCAACTGACCAAACATAACCTTGAAAACCCAGCCCCTCTCAGTCAAATATGCAAACCAGAGCCAGTTTTCATTTTGATTTAATGACTGCTCCAAAGAATTAGGTACAGGGAGTAGCTACCGAATAATGTGAATGTAAGAGTAAGACAAGGTATGTAAGAGTTAAGCACAGAATAGTACATTCCTTTTGGTTTCTTGTTTCTTACTGGTTTGCTTATGTTTTCTTGCAGTTAGAGTGAGGCAGGAGTATCTTCACAAGGGGTTGGAACCATCAAACACATGTGGCTCCTTGCACTGATTTCATAATCATCTTTTTAAATATTAGCAGTCAGTTAAAAATTAAACACAAGCTGCAGACAGAAAAGAAATCTGGAAAAGAAATTCTACATGTACAGACAACTCTCCACCATGAAACTATTAATAGCTTTTGCATTTAGTTTAAGCCTATCACTTTCTATTTTTGGAATCAAGGTAAGATTTTAGTTTACATAAACTAACTGGTGTAACAAGGAAGCACATTTTATTTCTTGAATTTTAAGTTGCTATTTGTCTTTTTAAAATGTGTCTGTCACTGATCTGTGTTTGTTTAAAAAATCTGACATGTTATATGTTATTCAGTAATATTTCTTTTTCTAGCAAGACTCATATCTGATAGAAGACTGTGTAAACCAGAAGTATACTCACAATTCTTGTGAAAAAGTTTTTTGCGAGCCATGGCAGAAATGTGTACGGGGTGCCTGTGTCTGTAAGCTACCCTATCAGTGTCCCAAAAATGGCACTATGGTTTGTTCTTCTGACCGTATGAAGTTTCCAAATTACTGTTCTCAAAAGAGCTTTGAATGCAGACATCGAAGGAGCAAATTTGTGCACAGAGGCATTTGTAATGAGCAAGGTAAAAAATATTTTTAGGCTCCTTTTCTGCTTCTGAACTATGCATCGCAGTGAGAAGGGCCACTTTTAAGGATGGAGGGTATTCCAGCATTGATGTGCTCTCCTAGAGATTCTGTGACATTTGGGGCCAAACTAGCAGTTTCACAGGGTGCTCACCATTACCAAGTTGTTACTTTCCTTTCCTTTTACAACTAGCTAGCATGTGCAGGAAAGAGCCAGAAAAAACTGGGGGGGGGGGCATTAGCTCTGCTATGGTCCCCATTGGGGTGGGGGCATGCCAGCTTTGCAATGGAAGGAAAGGTCCCTTTGGCTCTATATTTGATTTTATGTAGAAATTGATTCATAAGGCTCTTTGGTTTAACAAGGTATTGAAAATGAGGTAAGTTAACTATTGATTAGAAATACTTTTGCACTGCCCTCATTTGCAAGTATCTTAAAACAGTTTATAGCAACAACATGAAACAGTAAAACTATCCAATCAAAACATTTCTCATACTCCACTCCTATAACCTCAGGGATGTTGCCTCAGTATGTACTATATCATAACCCATTAAGTTCAGAGCTAGCAGGTTTTATTCACATAACTGCATTTTGTACAATGAATGGACATGCACATGAGATTTTGCTTGGTTTTCTAGAGAGTTTTCACATTTTCTTGGATTCTGGAAATGCATCATTTGAGGGAAGTGGATTTAAACCATCAGAGGGAATGGTTCAAGTCAAAGTGAATCAGTTCCAGAAGACATTTCTCTGTGGACATGGATGGACTATAAATGAAGCTAATGTAGCCTGCAGAGACCTTGGTTTTCCAGCGTAAGAGATTGTGGGGTAGAATGAAGAGTCTTTCATGCTAATATATTTGATATTTAAAGGATGGTGCCAGCACTAATTAGCAAAGTCCCAGCATATTCTTAGACTCCTTCATTATAAATTAGAAGGTCAGGGCCAGAGGTCTGTGGTGGAACATGTGCTTTGCATGCCGAAGGTTTTAAATTCAGTCCCTGGAGCTTCTCGTAATACTAATAGGTTTCAAGAGCACCTCAGGAAACAATGCCTTCTTGTTGGGAAAAGCCTTGTCTTGGATTCACAGCTACTGCAAGGATTCTACTCTCTTTTTATTTTTTGCTTTGCCTTAATGTTAGTACTACATTTTAAAATATTGTACACTGCTTGGAGAACGTTGGCTCCTGGGCAGCTTACAAGTATGATAACTAAACAGATAAATACTCAGCAGGAACAGGACATCTTGGGTGGGGAATTCTAGCTAATAAAGTGTCAGCTGCCCCTAGCTTCACTATCGCTCCTCAGACCAGAATTACCCTGTTCCAGCTCAGTGTTATCTCTACTCTGACTGGCAATGGCTCTCCAGCGGTCTCAAGTAAATAATCCCCCCTTCATACAGGAAGCTGCCCTATGCCATATTTGGTTTCTCTAGCTCAGTGCAATCTCAGCATGGATGGAAAATCAGCTCTCCAGGGTACCCTGCAGGTCTCTTTCCTGGCCCTGCCTAGAGATGCTGAGGCCTGACTTTGGGACCTTCTGCAAACAAAGCCTGTGGTCTCCCAGTGTGCACAAGGGTTCAAGTGCTGGACTGGGAGGCAGGAAACCTGCGTTCTGGGCCCGGCTCTTCCTAGAAGCTCACAGAGTGATTCTGGGCAATCGCCAACTCTCAGCCGAACGTGCCCCCGGTGAGCCGCCATCTCTCATCCTAACCTACACTGTGAGGATAAAATGGAGTGGAAGAAGATTATGTGAACCACCTTGGGTTCCTTGCAGGGGGGGAAGATGAGATAGAAATGTAACAAAAATACACTACAGCACCTCCTGATGTAAGGCAGCATTCCTGTTTTAAGGGAGATGAGTTGTCCTACTAAGCAACACTGGGAAACACTTATTTATATATTACACCTTTCCTTTCACAAGCTCAAGGCAGCACACATGGTTCTCCTCTGCACACACCCCATTTTCTTCTCTCAACAACCCCGTGAGGTAGGTTAGATGAAAGATGGTGGCTCACCTAAGCAGCATTTCATGGCTGATGGGCAATTTGAAACTGGGTCTTCCCAATCCTACTCCAATACCAAGCACTACACCACACTGATGAGATTCTTGGTGTTTTTAATTAAAATATCACACTCTGAGTCACTGTTATAGTCACAGATTTGCAGTGGTATAATCTTACTATCCTATGCATGTGTCTTGTTTGGAAATGCAAATTGGTTCTATTGCAGTGAAATCACCACAATTTTACTTGTTTACTTTATTAATGTACAGCTTTATTCCTTTAGTTCTACTCTACAGCATCCTTTAAAACTCTTCAGCATAACTTACTTAAACTTCAGTTAATTCTGTTAATTAGAAAACATAACATAAAATCAATGCCATACAAGAATATCAATTAGAGATAAAAACAAGTACAAGTTGCCATTAGAAATCCATTATAGCAGTTGTTGAAATACAGTAGCACAAATCTAGAACATTTCCCAAATGCTTGCCAGAACAAGATGGTCTTCAAAAACTTGTCAAAATCAAAAGTAGGCAGGTCTGTTGAACTGAGTTTCACAACAGAGACATAATTCCTGGCATTTGAAGCAAAGTTCCTCCCGCTGACCCAAATGCATGGGGAGGTTCACAAAGGAGATCTTCTCTGAGATTCCATCACATCAATCTACCCTGGCCATTTGCTCCTTTTTGTGTCCAACTTGGCCCTGTAAAGACCCACACTTTACTCCTTATCTGTTGGGAAAATTACAATACAACATAAATAAAATGTGGCTCTCAGGACAGTGAAAGTCCATCATGCAATTTTTTGTTGTTGTTGCATTGCACAGAGGGGCTGTTTCCACGGAGGCGGTTGTGCCATCCAATCTCTCCTCAGAATGCATTACAGCAACGTGCCGAGGGATAGAGATGACCCTAGCCGAATGTGCTTTAACTAGACTGAATCAGACCAGCCTGCCCTTGGCAAAGGTGGTGTGCCACCAATCCAATAGAGGTAGGTAAAGTATGTCTTATGGGGAAACTGTGAACCATCAGACATTATAGTTTAATGATGGAATTGCCAAGTAGGGCCTACAATGGATTGTTGGAGCACAAGTGAATCATCTTCCAGAATACCCCTTTCCATAACACCACCCCCTGCCCTGTATGGGGGACCTACTACAGACATGCCACACTCTTCAGCTACTAAGCATGGTCAGACCTCACAGGGTGCTTTCACATTAAGATGCTTCCTTCAAAGGCTTTTTTTCCCCTACTGCTGCAAACCTTGGGGTCCCCCTTGGCAATTTCTTTTCCAGCCATAGCCCCAATATGGGTGCATAGCTGGTATAGCTCAGCAGTATCTGAGCTCACTACTAGGATGCAGATAAGCTTGCTTGCTCCACAAGTGCCCAACTGGGTAGTTCTAACAGGAAAGTGAACCATTTCAGACTCAGAGAGGTGCTGCACTGTATCTTGGCCACAACTTGACTGGTTGCAGCTTGTACTGATTGCATGGCATATAATAGCATCCCTTAATCGGCCAGGCCACCTGCTGCCCAGTCTGCACCCCAACCTGCATCCTGGGTGGCCTCTTAGCAAAAGGAAGTTTTGCCAGAACTTGAGTAGATCTGGCTACAGGAGGCCCCATTTCCATGGCCCCCTGCTTCCCAGAAGTGGTGCTGGCAGACAGCCTCAGGCTGGGCTGCAGCCCTGTGGACCCACCCCCAGGAACAACCTTGGTCCCTGTTTCTTTTGGGGGGGAGGGGGGCTTCCTTTCCCATTGATTTGGCTCCAAGCCAGTGCCAACAAGCTATGATAATTCTGCCTGGCCATTAACTTCCTACCCATTGGCATCACTTCAGGAAAGGCAAAACCCCAGTGAGCCTGGCCAGTGAGGGAGAGAAGCCAAGCCAAGGCTGCAGCTCCCTTAAGCCTTCTCTGATGTGCGGACTGAAGGAAAGTCTCTCCAGGCTGCGCCCATCATGTGTCCTTCAGCTGGGTGCAGCGGGAAACTGGACGAGCAAACCCACGACTGCCTCCCCTTTCCCTGCACTGACACCTTTGCCTCTGCACAAGCCAAAGCTCCCAGGGCAGCCAGGGAACCAAGCCTGTTATTTTCTGTGGCTGTGAATATAGCCAGGCAATGCCTACTCTCTGTTTTAGGTCTTTTGTTGCTATTTGTGTGCTTTCTATGCTTGTGAATTAAAGTTTTTCATTTTCCTTTTGTTAGGATTGTTACTGATAGAGAGGGAGCATTGCCTTGCTGTTTATAGCAATAACAGAGACAGCCAAATATGAAAAACATTAAGACTCCAAGCCTTGGGGTCACCAGTGCTATTGTGAATTTATTCTAGAATTTGTTTGGGGGCGGGGGGGGGGGACTTCCAGGGATCAGGACAGCATATTAGCCTCTGGACCCCAGAGCCTGCTGCACTTCTGAAATTCACTGGCACACCAGCAGGGGAAATAAGCCCCCTTTAAACAGGAAAATGGATAGTTTGCTGCTGAATTTCAGAAGTATGGCAATGGCTGCAAGAGGGAGCATTTTTTTGTTTTGTTTTGTTGAAATGGACTCATCTACTGCCGCTGCCACCATACCACCAAAATTTAGCAGCAAACTATTGATCTCCTTTTTAAAAGTCTATTTTAATATTTTTTTCCAAAGTGTTTTAATATTTTTCCAAAGTATTATTTCTCATCCTCATTGACAGAGTGCTTCCCTGGAGAATTCCTTTGCGTCAATAGAAAATGTATCCCTTCAGAGAAAACATGTGATGGGATCGATGACTGTGGAGACTTAAGTGATGAAGTCTGCTGCAGAGGTACGCTAAATAGGACCATTCTTCTTTCACATGTTCTCAATTGTATACAAATGAACAAGTCTCAAAAGATGATTCCAGGCTTGGGGCTGCCAAGCAAATTCATAAAGTACAGTCTAATTAAGCTGAGTTTATGAATTAGAAGATATTTCATATTTCCTGGGACAAGCTAGGTATTAAATCTATATATTGCTTTTAAATCAAAATGCTCACAGAACTTTACAAAAGAATCCAATTAATAAAACAACAATAACACAAAATTGATTTAAGCATTGCAACCCATATCTTAATCACATAAAACAGATACCAGAAAGAAAGAAAGAAAGAAAGAAAGAAAGAAAGAAAGAAAGAAAGAAAGAAAGTCTATCATAAAATGCAATAAACATAAAGTTCAGTCCCTTACTTAAGGCCCCATTGGTGAAGGTGTTCTAAGATAGGCTGGACATGCACATGGTGGGTGTGTCGTGAGTGGAGCCGGCTGGTGCTGGAGGTCAGACTAGATGGCCCGGGAGACCCCTTCTGACTCGCTCTGTTTCTGTGTTAATCTCTAGCATAGAATTGGCTTCTCAGTGAAGCCCAACCATTTGAAAATATTCCCTTTTTATTTTCAAGTTGAGGATGCATTTAAACATCTTCCCAGTCTATGTAAAAGCCATTCATCTACAAAAGATCCTGGCTGGAGGCTGCATTTAAAAGGTTTTAGTCACATAGAGAGCGCTTATGTCCATATATGCTCTCCTGCCCCCTGAGATCAGCGGGAGAGGCTCTTCTCCAGAAACCCTCCATGAAGGAAATTAGGAGGGTAAGTACTCGGAGGAAGGCTTTCTCTGCGGTGGTGCCCAATCTATGGGACCTCCCCAGAGAGGTCCGCCTGGCAGCAGCATTATTTGGTTTTCGGCACCAGGCAAAGACCTTTTTATTTAAACACCATTTTAATTGCTAATATTATTTATTCATTTTACTTCTCTGGCCAGGACGTCTCCAATTATATTGTTTTTATATTGTTATTATTTATTTATTGTTGTGAGCCGCCCTGAGGCTTCGGCGAATGGGGCGGCATAGAAGCTTTCTAAATTAGTAAATAAAATAAACTGTTGTATTGGCATTTCTTGCAGGAATCTGCACGCACTTCCCAGGGACATGGCAGTTTTTTGACCAGCCTCCACATGATGGGGCTCTTTATACACAGTGGGCAGGCTTTATTTATTTATTTATTTAAAATATTTCTATGCCGCCCCATCGCAATAAGCCTCAGGGCAGCTCAAAACATCAAAAAAGTTAACCATACATTAAAACCCCAATACAATAAACCCCCAATACCATAAAACCTCAATAAAACCTCAGTGCATTCTCGGCTAAAAAAAAAAAAAAAACCCTAGTTAAATAAACAATTAACAATTAAAATAAGTTTTAAATAAAAAGGTCTTGGCCTGGCGCTGAAAAGCAAACAACGACGGCGCCAGGCAGACCTCTCTGGGGACCGCATTCCATAAATGGGGCGCCACCACCGAGAAAGCCCTCCTCCGGGTACTCACCCTCCTGATGTCATTCACAGATGGTTCCTGGAGAAGGGCATCTGCTGCTGACCTCAAGGGGCAGGAGGGCATATATGGGAGCAAGCGTTCCTTTAAGTATCCAGGTCCCAAGCCATTTAGGCCTTTATAGGTCATAACCAACACCTTGAATCGGGCCTGGACTTCAATCGGGAGCCAGTGGAGCTGACGGAGAACTGGGGTTATATGAGAACAACGCCCAGTCCCCGTCAGCAACCTGGCAGCTCTATTTTGAACCAATTGGAGTATCCGGACTGTCTTCAAGGGTAGCCCCATGTAGAACGCGTTACAGAAATCTAATCGGGTTTGCATGACATGAGAAGCCATGATGAAGTCTTACCATTGTGTGTCTTTTGTGTCAATGGGATCCATTTTCAGAGCTCCTGCTTGGTAGTTTTCTGAAACTATACAATCTGTTCTAGTGTTTCCACCCTTCACTGCAGCTTTTCCAGTTGTCCAGACCTGGGATTGTCATTTGATATGGAAATACCATAGAGTCTCCTAGTAAGAGTGGCCACAAAAGTGGCCACCTCTAGCCTTCAACTGTTGCTACTCTCAGCTCCCTAGTAGCAGACATGTTTGGAGGGGGAAGGGGGAACCCACCTCAAGACCACAGTGCACAGGAGGCTGCAGTGATCCATAGGCAAAAATAGGAAAAGGATGGGCATTTTGCTTCTGGGGACTGCTTCAATTCATGGTGAAGCCAGAAGGGTAGAGTGGGGACAGAGACACCATGCTACCCCAGTAACCATGTGACCATATGACTTGTAAATTTGAGCAAAAATCATTGGATTGTGCATTTTTGGAGACAGTACAGGGTTGCCTGCCATGTCACGTGAACCCAGCTAGATTCTAATCACATGGCGCCCACTCGTTTATAAGCAACTCCCATACCATTGACAAAAAAGCTTAAAGACCACCTCATATAGGAGTAAAATTCATTAAACCAAAAGCTATAACTAGTAATAGTTAAGTATTACTAAATTATTTACTCTTAAAATAGTATGTACTATTACTACCATAGTAATAGTAAAAGGGAAGTAAGTTCCACTGCTCCACATACAATTATAAGAATTGCATACAATTCTTGGGAATGGGTTAGGAATGACAACTCTTCCATGCCTTTGTGTGTGTGTGTGTGTGTGTGTGTGTGTGTGTGAGAGAGAGAGAGAGAGAGAGAGAGAGAGCGAGAGAGAGAGAGAGAGCGAGCGAGAGCGCCTGCAGTGACTAGAGGTGTCTTGCTCACCAACTTTACCCATACTTTATTTACATCCTTACATAGAAGAACACAGAAAAGTTTCCATTCCCAAGAAGAATATATACAATTTTATCTTTCCTTTTTACACTGTGTGTGCAATACACATGCTCACCTGCACACTTGAATCTGATGTATTATACATTTGATATATTCTTGTGCTGTTCAGGAATTCATATCTTATATAAGGCAAACGGTTTCTTTTTAATAGCATGTCGGGCAGGCAGCTTTCACTGCCACTCAGATGTCTGCATTCCAGAGTCCTACCGCTGCAACAACGAAAAAGACTGCCTAACAGGAGAAGATGAAAGTCGCCGATTTTGTAAGCACACACTTTTAATTATCTGTAGTTAGAACCAGAGAATCATTTTCTCCCTGTGCAAATGGATCTATACATTTCTGCCTAAAGAAAGCTGTGATGGCAGCTGAGCCCATCACAAAGTGGGGATCTTCACAGAACCTAACTGGATTCCCACCATGTGGCAACTGGGTGTGACCAAGGAGCATGACAGGGGCTCGGCACAACCCTTGTTGTGAAGGATGGCTGCACCACAATGCTTAACCACTCTATCAGCTGGGCCTGTCCCACTCCTGCAAGAGTGCCGCCACCCTCCGACTCACCCTTTCGAATACCTAGCGGGATGGGCACCAGAGCTCCATCCTGGGAGACTGAGGCAGAAAGAGGAGAGCTAGGCACACTCGCCATCCTAGCACCTCCATCTCAGTCTAAGAAAACCAGATATCCAGCTACTAGGCCTGAGCACTGGACTTGGCATTGACTCGCCCACCCCCCCTTGAAAGCTACATAACTAGGACAAGAGCCATGTTTATTTTCAAAAAGGGCCAAGGCGAGTAATACAAAAGCACTAGATTGAAAGTGAAAAAGACAAGGAACAAAAGATAAAAAGAGCAAACAAAATCCTGATTTTCCAAGCACACACATAAACTTCTAGTGCATTACCTGGAAAAGAAAATAACCAGTGGCCTTTCCAGAGCAGAAGCCTAGCAGCAGTTGGTTAGCAAGGCACTTCCAGTCAGTTGCGTGCTAGGAGGGAGACAAAATGCCCTTTTTAAATTCTCCCCTCCTGCCCTGACAACAGTTGCTCCTCAGCCTGGGATCTTCCTAGGCGTCCATTGCCAAGGACTCCGACCCAGCGGCAGGCAATTGAACAAAGTTTGGGCTTAGCAGGAAGACAAGCCTGTTGGCCTTGGGAGTGGAGCTGCCCACATTCTCCTGATAAGCCCGGGAAGTAAATCAATTGAGAACCACTGCTCATCACTGGACTTCAGCATCCTTGTCTTGCCTCAGACTGTCCCCTGTAAAAGCTCCAATGGCTCCTATCAGCAGTCAAACAATGCTCAAACCTAGGCAGTGCCCTAACCGTGAGATGTTTATCATTATTAGGTAGATCACTGAATCTGAAGTTTGTTCTTCAGGTATAACATTTCCAACAACATTTTTTGTTCTTGTGACTTTTTAATATACAGGCAGTCCCACTAAATGGGCTACGGAAGCTCAACCTTCTTAGAATAGCTCGATGAGGCAGACAGCATTCTTTCCAATGGAGCTCAAGCTGGTGGACTTCAAACTAAACCCTTAATTCTGATAATGGAAGCTAAAACAATTTTGCAAGCCTTTCCATAAAGTTTCTCAGCAGAGGGGCTTGTCCTCATTCGGGATATAGATACTAACTATATTTTACTACCTGTTAATAATGAAGAGTCCAAGCCAAATGATATTTTTATGTTTTTTATGAGCTGCTTTGCAATCTCATCCAGAAAATCACCTTCAAACACATTTTCTGTTATATAAATACATTTAAAGCTAGCTTTATCCCACAACATGCATTTGTAATTTTTGTATATTTTTCATATCTTTTAGTTTTGCATAAATATGTTTCTTTTAAATAGGTGATACCAGACCTAAGGGAAGGGAAATAGGTAAGATTTCATGTTTTTATGTTATTTTATTCCCATTTATTTATGGATCCATATTTAAAGGCAGGAGGCTCCCAATGTTTATGTAACCTTCACAGAGGCACTTAGCATTGTGTCTAGTTTGGTCTTAAGATTAATTGACTGAACGTCTTACATATGGAGCTCTGGGCCACGCCAGCAATATCTCCACGGGGCAGTGACTCCCACCTAGCTGTTGTGAACAATATTTCTAGATAACGTAGAATGTTTGTGGTGGATGGCAACATCCATCAGGATAATGCTAAAGAATATTCTGAGTGCTAGTCATTAACTTAAGTTAACTGGACCAAAAAAGATGTTTTGATTTGTTTTTGAGCCTTTAAAAGCAGATTTAGCATGGAGGCATTAGCAGGTCAAACTTTCCACAAAACTGCGGAGGAAAAAATTATGACCTGCTATCAAAGCCAAAGAACTATTAAAGGTCAGATGCAAGGAATAATGCAAGAGTTGGCAACTTTGTGTCCTTCCAGGGGGAAAACTGGCAACACTGGGATATTCCCTACAGTAATAACATAATGTTCCCCAGTCAGAAAGCACTTCCGAACAATACTACCTTTGCCTCCTTAATAGATGTTATTCTAGTATGAAAAAAGATGGAAGAAGTTGTGAGGCAACAGGGGAGAGTGACAACTGATGGAGGATGTCACCTGCATCCTGCTGAAATTGTGTGACTGAAGCCCCTTAGTAACCAAGGGGATTGAAACAAACACTTGAATCTACAATTGCAGCTACACCAACTTAAAGCTAGTTGTACATTCTTGTTTTACTGCAGAAGTAACAAAAGAAGCTGAGCAGTCCATGGATGAAGGTAAATGTGCACTTCATCACAGCACAAATAGAACAGGTGGTATGCGCTTAGATTACTTTCAGAAAGGCTTAACAGCCTAGTCTTATTTACTCACAAGCAAGTACGCACAAGACAGGAACCTAAAGCTGATTTCACACATACAGTCACTGATCACCCTTGAAAATGCCTCTTCACTGGATAAAAAGCTTGCATATACCACTGTCTGCATGCATGAATCAGTCCAAACAGTGTGTGTGCTTGTTTGCATCACTGTCCTTTTTTCAAAACCTTGAAACCCCTGGGACAGTTATATTACTACCCCACCTTCTTTCCTGCAAGGAACCCGAGGCAGCTTACATCATCTTCCTCCTCCTTTCCCTCCTCTTCTCCATTTGAATCTTATGGCAGCCCTTTGAAGTAGGTTAGGCTGAGAGTCAGTGACTAACCTAAATCCAGTGCAATTCATGGTGGAGTGATGACCAGAACCTGGAACTTCCAAATCCCAGACATTCCCAAGGAAATTTTATGCCTCAGTGGGATGGAAATTCAAAGTCAATTGCTTAAACCAAAATATTGTTCATGATGAAATATGGCCCAAATGTCTCCGAACCATAACATCTCTAATCCCACTCACCTGTCATTAAAAAGACTTTCCACGGGAACTGGGTTTGGCAAAAAACCTCAGCAGTACAAGTAGGTCTATTGCTATGCTTAAAACAAACTTAGTGGCAACCTGGGACTGAACCCAAGATCTGAATGTTCCTTGATGGCTTTCACTTTTGGGAAGTCCTGTAGCCCATCAAAGGCTGAGGAGGGCAGAGAAACAAATGGTAGAAGGGGGAGCTAGGCCAGGCAGAGGTAGGAGGTTTTGCCAATTGAATGTAGATGCACAGAATTGTAAATCAGTTTTAAGTGAAGCAGTGGGGCTGCTGTCTTTGGGACTGTGCTGCAGGCGTAGCAGTGTTGCTTGCTTTAGGAGTCTTCCTTGTTTCCATTTCCACATTCGGAAACGAACTGGTGCGACACAGATGCCATATATCTCTACAGTACTCTCTCACCCAGAACAAAGTGTAGTAGCGCTGTTTCATAATTCCTCACCACTCGGGAATTGAGAAGAACGTGACAGTACGCTATGGCCAAATTTGCCCTTCAAATACAATCATGAAGTGTTATTGTTTTAAAACACAAATATAAAAATATAAGTGAGCATATATTACAGGCATAACCCTGCAAATCTGTTTTCTTAAAGAAAGAAGAAAGTTTAAAACATTTTTACCTCAGCTACACTGCGGCATTTTAAACCGCACAGTTACTCGTCGGAAACGAATCCTAGGTGGATTTACTGCAGAAAAGGTAAATGGAAAAAAGCAGGTGAAATGGTTACTGTACTGGTCTCTATCTTTGGGCTTAAGGCAGAGCCTCGACAGGCATGGGATAATTCAGTCTCAGTTCCAATCTCAGAAATTTGCTCTGAGGTCAGAGCTGGGACTCAGAAGTTTGAACGCCTTCCTCGTGCCCTTGCAGCCAGTGAAGAAAGAACTGTGCCAGTTGTGGACAAATTAATGGAAGAGAAGACTGTCCGTGCCTACTAGTTCTGATGGCAGTATGCTTCCTGCAGTATCGGAGGTGCTATGCTTTATGCCCACACAGGCAAGCACATGGTTTTCCCTCCAGCTTCCATGGCTTCCAAGCTTTGGCTACAGAGGAAGGCAATCCTTCCATGTCCAAGGGAGACAGTTGCTAGGGACCTTCAGCAGGACAGTGCTGCCCTACTTGTGGGATCCTGTAGGGACCTGGCTGGCTGCTGTATGGTTTGTCTGATCTGGTATGGCTTTTCTTAGGTTCTTATGTACTCATGGCTCCAACCTCAGAGACATGCTCTTTGGGGTGGGGGGAACTGAAAGGGCAGCAGACAGCCTCTGAGGCACCTCCCATCATGCATAGGATGTCCATAATCCTGTGAATTTGGACAGTTACAAGCAGTCTCATTGGATTGCACTGTTAATATATTTATAGTCATGGAGAAGTTGTAATAATGATCAAGTAATCCATGATCCAGTATAATGCTCTGAAAGCGATAAACATAAGAAGCTGGGGGTTCATTTTTAAATTATTGTCTTAAATGTAACACAGAAACCTTGTTCCTCTTTCTCACTTCTCAGTTCCTTCTTACCTCATTCATAAAGTAGGAAGTCAGAATGGACAGTAGGGAAAACTAATGTAAGCCTTTAGTTACTGGATTGGACTGGTTCAGTAAGCCAAAGTTAGGTACAATAACAATAACAAAAGTTGTGTTGTTGTTTCTAGGCTTTTGGGGTCCCTGGCCCAAATCTATTCCCCTGAACCCTTGATATATTTATTAGAGCTATGAGTTTTCACTGGTGCCAGCAGATTATTATTTTTTAATTGCTGTTCAGGCACAAATTTTTAAGGGGGAGAGAAAGGGTAATTTTACCTTCCCTTCATGTTGCAACACCACCATTACCGCAAAAAATCTCTCCCTGCATACCAATTCAGCTGGGGAAAATGTTTTCAGTTGGCTTGGGATAATCAGGGGCAAGGTGAAAATCAGTTGAAGGATTTGTTTTATTTGAGATGTTTTGATGAGAAATTGTTTGGCTGGCTCAGCCTGCAGTGAATTTGTCCTAGCAATTATCAATGAATTTGTGGTTGTAGATATAAATATGAATATGTATGTACAGATTTATGAAGAATTTTGTCTTATGAGACTGGTCCCTGCATCTTTAAAAGATGGAGCAATGCCCCGATCAACAGCAACAATTTGGTCTATATGCAAGTAATATGACTAAGAAGACAATTCTGTTAAAATACTGTAGTCCCTGTGCATAAAAAGAGGTTTGGGATGACTTAATCCACTTTTTTGCAGGATGAATTTCCATGGCAAGTAGCAATTAGAAGTGAAACACAAAAAGTGAGCTGTGGTGGAGTTTATATTGGTGGCTGTTGGATTTTGACTGCTGCTCACTGTGTCAGGTAATTGATTTGGGGGTTTCTGAATGTTGTTGTTAAATGTACGTGATAGTTATCCATACATTTCAGGTGAGATGAACAGAACAAAAGCAATAGTTTAAAATAAATTGCAAATCCTTAGTAGAATAAAATGAAAAGAAACAGTGAAATAGAAGTATTTCAAAAAGTTATGGGACAGCACCAGTGTTGTCGCTCTGCTTACACATCTGAAGTAGCAATAGTGACTTCCAGTGCTCAGGAAGTAGTGTTAGCTGGCACGACTGGTTTCCCCAGAAACCAGTTGCACCATCTTATACTACTGGCATATTCCAGAGGTTGTTTGTGTTAGTTTTCCAGACAAAGTAGCAAGTACTGTGTTGTACTTTTGGAAGTCAGTGTGTTAGATTTTCATCAGCAGTTTCCAACAAGCTACATTAGCTACCTTTTCCCAATTTGTGTCAAGTAATAGTTGGTTGGCCTGGAATATGTTTCCATTTTTCTTTTATCTTATCTTATCTTATCTATTTATTTATACATACATACATTTATAGGCTGCCTATAACTGCTGAGGCCTTCCTAGGTGGCTTATAATACATTAAAACCTTAAAGCCAAGAAGCTTGCTCTCCTCTTAATCTATAGTTAGACTTGGGCTCAGACAACACCCCAAGCTATCATGGGTGAAACTGCTCCTAGAATAAGTCCTGGGTTTGGTTTAGTTTTTGTCTCATGTGAAGCTGTCCTGCAGGAAACGGTCCAGGTTAGCAAGAAAGCTTGCCATCCATGTTGGGCTGTGGTGTCCTGGGAGCATAGTCATGTGGTATCTTAGATGTAGTTGCCCTCAAAAATTTGGCAAAATACTGTCTCTGAAAGTTTTCATTGATAGCAACCATTTGACTGATTAGCTGGCAGCTGGAAATTTATCCTGAATCAAAGTTTACATTTTAACTATGTTATACTTTTCTAAAAAGAAAAAAAAATCTTCTTTGCAGGTCAAGCCGCAGGCATCTTTATCGGATATGGACTGGAATGCTAAACACGGTGGAGATGAATACTGGAATAGATACATTTCTTTTAGATGACATAATAGTCCATGAAAATTATAATTCCAAAACATATGAAAATGACATTGCTTTGCTGAAGCTGACACCTAAGAACACCAACCCTCCATGTACTCCACCTGGTTCCGTCCCAGTATGCATTCCCTGGTCAAAATACATGTTCAAAGGTGGTTCCAAGTGCAAAGTGTCTGGCTTTGGACTTGCTGAAGGTAATTAGAATTTGATGATTGTTTATGTTCTCAGAGCCAGAATGAGAGAAAAGTGAATGAGGAGGTTGCAACCATGGAGAGCACATCCACAGGTTCTCAGTTAACCCCTGCAGGGGTGTGTGCCTATGCTTGACGTTGGCCCTGGAAAGAGACATCAAATGCATTTCCACATCATGGCAATAAGCCATGGTAGATTAGTTGTTATGCAAACCTCCTGCAGTGTGCCTGACAAATGATCAGGCTCACTATGGGTTGTTTCTCCATCCCTCTTTCTCCTTCTCCCTCAGTCCTCCCACAAGTATCCCAGAAGACTCTGCAGAGGACTGATTTCCTTGCTCCTTTCTCCCACCATGGCTTTTTGTGGCTTTTTTGTAACTTTAACCATCACTCCCCCGTAGAAGATCATGATCTCCAGTTTTTGTAATTTCCAGATTGATAGCCAAAGCGATCAAGTGCCCAAGTGGCACATTAAAAGGGCTGTCAGTGGATAGCAACCATTTTTTAAAATGTGCAAACAATGTATGCAAATATTTTTGCTTTTCTTTTAAAAAGCAAATCAGTCATACTTGCATACCTGTACAGGTGCACAGTTCTGCAAGTACAGAAATAGGGAGTTTTGGATGGGCAATGTTGGAGAAGCAGGACACCTGCTGTCAAAGTTCAGTGGGTTCCAGTCCTGGTCATTGACTCAAAGAAGGGCCAAATAAAGTTTTCCCTCACTTCCTCCTGAGGACTATGAAAAGGTGAACTGCCAAGGGGAAACAAAGGCATGAAAGCAAAATGCTTATACAGCCAAATGCTTATGTCCCTGTCAAAAAAGTGTCCATTGCACTGTCAAAACCACATTTCAAAGGGAACCCAAAGTTTTGGCAATGAGCTTTCAAAATTCCTTTTCCATCAAAGGGGGGGGGGGGTGGAATGCACTTTTGCACTTTTCTGAGAAGCCAGAGTCTCAGAAAAAAAGTGAAAAATACTCGGTACCCTAAGAACAGTTGGGGCAATAAAGCAGCAGCAGCAATAATGAGGATCTCACTGAAAAAAGGAGGTAACTCTCACCACCCCTTTTTGGAAACAAAGATCCCTCATTATTCGTTTTCCTTCAGCAGCTTACCTTTTGACAGAGGTCAAGAGAAAGCAAAATACAGAGAATGCTACCTGCTGCATTTCAACATTGCAGAGTTGAGGCTCCCTCATTCTGTACTCACAGAACACCTTCACAGTAGATATTAAAAATAGTAAAAGAAATGCCTAAAGAAATTATTTACCAACCATTGTTTATGTGCTTTGAAGGAGCGCTCAATGGTTTTCAAAACACCGACTGCCAAAAAAACGACTGTCAAGCAAGGTATCCTGATGTTGGAGGGTGGGGCTAAAGAGTTAAAAAAAACTGGCAGCCATGACATGGAATACCCAGCCAATGCCAGTTACCCCAAAGTGTGATTTGCATACTTGGGTGGCTGGCACTGATGATGGCCCAGGTGAATTTGGCAAGTGTGGCAGGAAGTTCTTGCCATTTCTGCCAGACACTTTGCTGGCCAGTTCCAGCTACCCATAATGGGGTCAGTTACCTAGGTTCAAATGATGTGAAAGCCCATTGTGGATAAAACAACCCCTTTGTTTCCTTTCCATAAGCTACCCTGCAGGAAATGGTCCAGGATTACATGATACAATACACCATGGCTTGTCACTTACAATGGGGTTGTTGAGTCATTCTGACCCCCTTCACCCCACATCATATATAACAAATAGTCATGATGTCATAGTATCATGACTAACTATTATTGCAAATCATGCAGCCAGAAATGTAAAGAGACTGAACAAATGAAATGAAAGATGTGGCAGAGCACTGACCAACCTTCCAAATCTTCAAATAAGAAGGGGCTGGTGATATAAGTTTGTTGCTTATACTTGACTAAATGCTTTCACAATGCCTGCCATTTTCCTCTACTACCTTACAAAGTTGCCCACTACAGCTGAATTTGAGAGTCTCCTCACCTTCTCCATCAGCACTAGCATAACCTCTTTAGATACAGAAGCATCCATAAAAGCATTGCAAACTTTTTGCAATATTGTTTGAGTAGGCCTTCATAACCCTTCTTGGTCACTGGTTTGCAGTAAAATTGTGAAACTGATGTAACAGTTTGGGAAGCTGATTCTTGCTGGCAATTTGCATCTCACACCTTTTATATATGTATGTTATAATCAGCTTAAGACACAATGCATGTCTTGTTCAGACAGAAAAAGGTCCTACAGATGCCAGCATTCTACCAGCAATATACTTATGATTGTACTATTGGCCTTTAATATGAAGAAGGCTATGACTTGGCAGAGAAGGCTACTCAATCTAGACACTAGGGATCTGGGATGGCTTTTTGATCAACTAAAATCTTGGTGGGACATGGTCACATATTGGATGCCTAAAGGTAAGATAGCAAAGCTCAATGGCAAGAAAAAAATGTACTAAATTGTTTGTCTTGCCTTTTTGTTTTCTTGGCCACTTGTTTTTTCTTCAGGTTTTACAAAACAATTTGCCCTTAAGTGGGGCCGCATTTCTATAATGGAGAACTGTTCTGATATCTACAAGGGCCGGTATTTTGAAGGAATGGAATGTGCAGGTGAGCATGCATTTTGATATACCTGTCTGGATGTAAATTTGTAAACTATTATTGCAACTGCCCTCTCTACTTTCTGGCACTCCCTACAGTGGCAACACTGTGCAAAACAATGTGTAGCACAATCCTATGGCCACTAGCTCCTTTCTAAATGCTCTCATGGTACAGCTGGGACTTCACTGTCAGGGCGCTCCCCTTCTGCCCATGGCTGGTTCCCAAAGAATGGCACTGGCTGCTTCTCCAAGGTTGCAAAAACAACTTTGGATGGGGTGTTGCTTGGCTATGCTGGGAGGCTGATGGGAGGAGACAGGGATCACCATGCTATGAAGTTTCCTGGTGGTGCCTCAGCCTCTCTGGCTCTGAAGTGGCTGAAATCACTGGCTAGCTGAGTTGCCAGGTAGGAGCAGCAAGGAGGCAACCTCACCTCTGCGCGCCTCTTGCCTTCCATAGGATGCCTGTCATCCTCCAGGCATCCTGATTGGATTGCACCCTGAAGGCTTCTGAATCTGCTGCAGGAAAAATACAGGCAATTCAGTCATAAGCCTGGTCTTACTATTCATGGAATTTTAGGGGCAGGGGTGGGGAGTGGAATCTGGACTACAGAGAGATAAATCGGTCCATTCTACTTTGTCCCATATTCAGATGTTTTTAACCTCATGTTCTTTTCATCACATACATGAAGACATTACAGTAGATTGTTAGTGAGCAGTGAACCAAACCAAATTCTCACCAATCTGCACTGGCTAAACGCCATGTTCTCCATGGAGAGGATAGTCCTCTTACCTGCCATTCAGAATTAAAGATGAGGAATCCATTGGGAAAAAAAGAGATAGCAGCCCTAATTCAGCACACAGGCATTTACGATGAATGACTCTGTCAGATTCACATTCTCCCACATTCAAAACTTTTTAATCTCAAATTCCTTCTATCCCACTAATGAAAAAAAGTTACGTATGTTGGAAAGTTCTTATCAAACCAGGAACCCAATGGAATTCTCAACCATCCCTTCTCCAGATACGGTTATCATCCACTTCTAATCCCTCTACTCCATTTTCTCCCACTTCTTCCATCATGTTTTCTTTGTAAAGAAGAATCTGTTCTGGTGAAAAACACAGTTGATTGGTAGCACTAGGTATGTTCTGTCTGGAAACATCCCTCATCTACCTGCACTTTGGGTTGTCTACAAAAAGTTTTCTTCATCGTCTTTACTGGCATCCATATCAAGATTGTTACAGTGGTTTAAGTGAGAATGAAACTGGCAGTTATAGTAGGAGAATCAACCTTTGCTTTGTCTCTTTTCAGGTACATATGATGGCTCTGTAGATTCCTGTAAAGGTGACTCAGGAGGACCTTTGGTTTGTTTTGACGCCGATAATGTAGGATACCTTTGGGGTATTGTGAGCTGGGGTGAAAACTGTGGTGAAAGAGGACACCCTGGAGTTTATACAAAAGTGGCCAATTATTTTTCTTGGATTAGCCATCACACTAAACTGAATTTCTTGCCTTGACAGAATGTCTGAGTTTTGGAATGGAAATATTCCTTCTTTCTGCCTTGTAATAACACCATATAATGATTGGCTAGAAAACTAGGAGCTCCATCCAGCCAAAGTTAAACATTTTAAATCTCATTAGTTGTGATAGGAGCAATGTTCATTGCAATCCTAAGCATGTTCCCAAAGTAAGTCATGGTGAATTCAGTGGGGCTTTCCTTCAAGTAAGGGTATATTGTATTGGAGCCTTAAGCTAGTTGAAATCCATGGTACTTACCTCTATCTGAATTATGCCTTGGAGGATCAGCACTTAGTTAGGACTTGCAAAATTTTGCATTTCAATAGTTTGAAAATTCTGTTGGTCTTTTATGCACAGCTCTTGTATGTTTCCTTGTACTTAGACAATATGCACAAATAAAAGCGATCTTCCCATCAAATCATTTGTTTTCTATAATTGGGCTTTTATTGAGATTTGATCAGCTTGCTACACTGTTGGGTAGATGACAGAATGATGAACAGAGAATGTTCTATCATCTTAGCAAGCAAAACTAGAATCCTACTATTTCCTTCATTTCAGAGCAACTCAGATGCCTCAAAACTCGAAGTAATTAATGCACAGCAAGCAACACAAACATTTTCTTCTGTAGGAACAAAGGATACACAAAATCATAAATAAGCCTCTGTTGTGGACCTAAGAACATGGGAAACACCTTCCACTGAGTCAGACCGTTGGTCCATCCAGCTCAGTTTTGTTGACACTGTCTGGCAGCCACGCTTTAGGGCATGGGTCCTCAAACTACGGCCCGCGGGCCAGATCCGGCCCACCATGCCCATTTATCTGGCCCACCTCAGAGGTTTTGAACTCCCTGTGCCTGCCCCCACCGCTGCCTCGCCGCACGGGTGGCAAGGCAGTGGCTTGCTCGCTCGGAGATCGTTTTGGACTCGCTCGGAGATCTTGCCGCACACGTGCACGCCTGCCACCGCCTCACCAGCCCTTGCCCGTGGGCACCCCCACCTCACAAGAAGTGTATTTGTCTGTGTATTTTATTAATGGTGTGATATATTTGTAGAACATAATCATATTCCATTCTAGTCCATTCTTTCGATTTCTTTCAGAAGACACCAATTCCCTTCCCATGTGCCTGTAAAGAGAAAAATGCTTGTTTCTGAGATGAAACCTCACACTTTTTCTAATCACTCTGTCCCCTTATTCATGTTATGAACACTAAAAAGGAAGAAAACATGCCACACAAACTTGTAGACAAGTATCTCTTGTTCAGATCTTTTCCATTCCTTTTCAATAAACCTTTTTATTTTCCCATTATTTTAAGGCTTGAGTGTGATTTTATTGTGGGGTTTTATTGTATAGAAAATCATTCTGAATGCTGTGCTCAACTCTGTTGTGCTGTAAGACTGTCTCGAGACCTTGGAAGCGGACGGTATATAAAAGTTTCAAATAAATAAATAAATATGCACTGTAGGAAAATGTCACTGCACTCCCTTTATTGCTAAATAAAGAAGATATACTCTAATAATAATAATACTTGTTGATGTTTTATTAATCTGTTGTTCCTAGAAACTGACATTTGGAGAGTGGACCATGCCAACACTCTTTCATGTTCAGTCCTATGCATCTTTGCAATACACCAAGAAACAACATACTATTGCTGGGACATTTCATTCTCCCTCCCCGCAGCTACTCTGTAGATTATAGTTAGAGGGAACAGGGAATCTTGAGTGGGGTGGCTGGCAGGTGATGGCAGCATCCGTGCTAAAAAAAAGTGCCAGCACTGCATCCCTGCAAGCCCTGGCTCCACTACACTGCTGATTCCTTGAGCACTGAAGGACGAAACAACCATTTCTCTTCTCCCTACAACCCCCACCTTTCCTGCTTCATAGCCACTTCTACATTACTGATATTTCAGAGCAAGAACCCAACAAAAGCCTGTTTGCCAGCCCTGATAAAAGAAAGGAATCCTCTGCGCATTTGCAGCTGCACCTTTCACACTTGGAACAAAACAGCACTGGGATGCCGTGGAATAAAATGGCGTTACCTTCTGATGCCGTCATGCCGAACACAAATACTTGGAAATTTAAAATCAGAAAGCTCTGGGCATCTTGTACATGCCCAGTTGGCTGCTCTCAGACTATTCTATTTTATTTTTAAGGAAGGAAGGAAGCTGCTACAGCAAGCTCTCTATTATCCCCACTCAATCCGAGAGGGCGGGTTGGACTGTTGGTCTATGGACTTTGGCAGACCAAGGACTGTGAACTTGGGTCCAGCCCTAATTAGATTATTATTATCATCATCATCATCATCATCATCATCATTATTTATTAAGTTTCTATCCCGCCAAGTGTCTAACCCATTAGCCAAGATGACTCTCTGAGTGGATACCAAATCACAGGTTAAAACCACCACTTTAAGTTGAGCTCAGAAACAAATAAGCAGCCAAGTGGAATGATGTAAGACCAGAGTTACAGCTCTGTTCTCTGGATTTTAGATAGTAACCTGGATGCCAAACTGCAAACCAATGAAACTTTTCAGCCTTTAAAATCAGCCCAAAGGGAGCATTGTACTAATTCAATTTTGAGGTAAAAGGGACATGAATAACTGAGGCCAAGTGTGTGTTCTCCGGATCAGGATGTAGGTATTTTATTCATTCCAAATTCAGCTGGCAAAAAGCCATCAATGCCAACAAAAGAAATCAGGACAAGCAGTGCTCAGATGCTGCATACCTGCTTCTTCAGGATGGAGCAACCAAACTGAGAACAGGCTGGACATGGTGGTTTGACAAATTTCCTGGCCCTTTGCCTTTGTCTGTCCTGGATTACATTTCAGTGTATCACTCCTGTCAACTGCAGATCAGACCCTGATTTGTCACTTCTGCTAAAAGTCCAGATGACCCGCCTCCCATGTGCTGAGATGGTGTGTGGGGTTGTAAAGCTGGGTGGGGCAGCTCCATTGCTAATGCACCCCGAGGCTGAACCCATGCCATTTGCACAGTCAGAGGAGGTCAGAAAAGGCTCCGCATGCATGCAGATCTATAGAGGTCCTCTATGTGAAACGTGATCATGGCCCCATCAGGGCCCCCCTGTAGAGCCCCTTCTGATGTTCTTCATGCACCTGGGCAGCAGGGGTGTGGCCTCTGGTCATGTTGCTGCCATTCATGGGGGCCTTTTAACATGTCAGATTTTTTGACAAGTGGTAGAGGGCCTCAGTCCTCCTTCTGCCTCTCGGGAATCATATCTTGGGAATGAGGTGTACAGCTGAGAATCATCCACGTAGCATTTAGGCCATCAAGTCCAACACTTGGTTCGGAGCAGGACTCCATTTTAAAGCATCCCCAACAGACGCCTTTCCAGTTTCTGCCTGAATACCTCCAGTAACAGAGGGGCCACTACTTTCCTAGTTGTATGGTCTGAAGACTCGGACCATTAGGACCCTTTTTGTGCCACTTCAAACTAAATATCCAACAGTTTCATGAGAATTTAGCTAAGCCTGCCTGGCTGGATGTGCACCATTCCTTCTAGGACCACCTTCTTGTTTCTGAGGTTCTTCAGCCTCTTCCTCTTCCTTTGTTCCTGCCTTCAACCAGCTATCTGGTGATGGCATCTCCCATTCTCCCTTCATGTCTCACTAACTCTTGCATGGTGCTGTCCCACAAAGCAGCCCCTCGCCCTGGTCTTTTCGGAGGCTCTCCAACCTCCACTGTCATCACTGCCCTCTTCCTGCAGTAGCTTTTCTAATTTGTTTCTTCCTGCCCAAAAATCCTATACAAATATAGTCTAAGGAAAGGAGGAGGAGCAAGTTATGAGTGGAGGGGGGGAGGAGGGAGAAAGCTTTAAAGCCACTCCTACTGGTAACAGCTGTAACACTGCTAGGTTGGAACACAGCCATGGGCTCTTCACAAAACACCACAAAGTAGTTTGGGAACAAGGGAATATTGAGTGAATGGTGTGTGTTGCATCCTCCACCCAAGGGCCAGATGTCACAGTACCAAGTGGTCCTGACTATCCAAGAAAGAGAATGCCCTACAAGTCAAGTCCAAAGGATAATGTGTCTGTTGGTATCAAAGGTCACTGAGAGTTTCAGGAGAATCAGTATGTTCACACTAGCTTTCTCCACCTCTCTCTTTCTTTCTTTTCAAGGCGACTTTGTATTTAGATCTGTAAAACCACTGCATTGTTGACATTTTGCCCAGAGCTACATGGAAAGGAAATTTCAGCCTGTTAATTTGCACCTCAATCCGAATCAAACCAACAACATAAAATAGTCTTTACTTGTTTTAATTTGAATGATTTTGATTTTAGGAATGTATTTGAATGATTTGATTTTAGGAATGTATTTTGTTATCCCTTTATCTGATATGTTTGTTTAATGTTCCAGTTTTTGTGATGTTGAGCTGTAGTTCCCAAAAGTGGCACACCCACAGCTGAACACACAGTACTCCCCCCCCCCCCCTTTAATCTATTTGCCAAGGAATTGGTAACTGGCCAAACAGAACCTTGAAATCTGAGATGTCTATTAGTTAAATTTGCGAACCACCAACAGTTATCATTTGTGCTTTACAACTGTTCCAAAGAAGTAGATAGAAGAAGCAGCCATCAGCTAATGTGAAACTGTAGAGACAAGATATGTGAAAGTTTAGCACAGAACAGTAGATTTTATTGGGATCTTTCAGTTTTTTCCATCTTTACTTTTCTTACTTGCTTGCCATTGGAGTAAAATTGAGACAGGGAGACCTCCTCTAAACGTTTAGAATCCTCAATACCCATAGAAGTTCTTGCACTGATTTCAAAATATCTTTTAAAAATATTTGCTAGTAGTTAAAAATTACCCAAGAACAGAAATCGGAGGCTGGGGGAGGAGGGATTTGGCAATGAAAATATTCTTCATGGTGAAACTATTATCAGCGTTTATGTTTATTGCACTTGTGCTCTCTTACATTTTGGGACAAAAGGTAAGGTTGTCTTTTGAAAAAATTATTGGGGTGATAGAGGAACACACTTTTATGTATAATATTTAAGGGGTGTGCCTACGTGTGTTTTAATATACTTATGAAACAGTAAGTATTCAGGATAGGCAATACTTTGGGTCCTTTGGACCCATTTGAAAGTTTGAAAGGCTGCCATGAGTGCCACCACAAAATGACTGCAGTAGAAAGTCTGGCTAGTCACAAAGAGAAAGAAATTGGTCTTCCTAGGAATCGTCTGCCTGGTGGACACATATGGGGTACTTGTGATGAAGAGGTTCTAGCAGTAGTAATCAGAAGGCCTGGGGCCCTATCCTGTCCTTCCTACCTACTTGGAATTTGTGTGGTAGGGGGACAGATGAAGCTGTGGAAAAACACTGGAAAGTTGCAAGTGGACAATAATATCCTGAGACAAGGTAAAGCTGCAATAAAAGCTTCACCTGGAAACATTCTTAGGGAGCCTGTCAGCTCCAAACACAGAGGCTTGTGGGCATTCAGTGCAGTGTGGGAGAAGTGGTAGAGGCTATCTTTACCTCCCCTCTCTCTCATGCTGTGTTCTTGTTCATGCATTTTCAGTCAAATGCATTTTGGAAGGGGAGGGAGGAGGCCACGAAACACCCCCCTTTAACTTCTCTCTGAGGTTGGGAGCTGGAGTGATTCTTTCTAGGTGGATGCAGCAGGGGACAGTGGAGGGACCACAGAGTGCAGATTCCCATCTGGAAGGTCAGATCACTGTCTCCAGCCTCGGAACTAGGAATCCAAACCATATTGAAGGGCAACTGGAGCATTCACTTAGAGTGAAACATAGGAAACATTGATCTGTGTGGAAATTCTTGTGGTAAAATGTCTTCTTTAAACATATTTGCAGGTAGTTAAAAATTAACAAAGGCAAAGGTCAAAGGCAAAGGAATGCAAGGGAAATTATATGAAAAGAAAATCTCTTAATACACAGACAAATACTCTTCATCATGAAGCTATTATCAGTGCTTGGGCTTAATTTATGCTTATCCCTTATTTTGGCACAAAAGGTAAGGTTTCAGCTTAAATAAAATGTTTGTAAGTTTCTACACTTTATTTGTAGGATTCTTAAGCCTGTCCTCATTTTTTAAACATGTGTTTTTATCATAAATGTGAGCTGTAAAACCTCCCATTTTATCTGGTTTATGTCATGTGTTACTCCTTTTTCTAGCAACAGACATTCCTGATTGAAGAATGTTTAAAGCACAGCTATACTCAGAATTCCTGTGAGAAGGTTTTTTGCCTGCCATGGCAGAGGTGTGTGGGTGGTTCCTGTATGTGTAAGATACCCTACCAGTGCCCAAGAAATGGCACCTCAGTTTGTTCCACTGACAAGAAGACTTTCCAAAATTACTGCCAACTAAAGAGCTTAGAATGCCAAAGGAACAGGGGAAAATTTATGAATAGAGGAAACTGCAACCCTCAAGGTATTAACTTGTTACATCTCCTTTTCTGCTTCATCGGTTGTGAGAAGGAGCAAGGAAGGGTAGTTGGGGCATTAGCCTAGTTTGCCCAGAATGCTAACTCATGGTATGGGTTGTGTAATTCTGCATTGTTGTTCTGTGTGAATGCAGCTCTGCTAAGAAACCATGGTTTGTTAACTATGAGCAAACCAGAAAAAGAAAATGTGGATTCTTGGCATTTTTTCTCTCTCCCATAATACTAGAACTTGGGGTCATCCCATAAAGCTTACGGATGGGAGATTTAGGACAGATAAAGGGAAATGCTTCTTCAGATAACACACAGTTAAACTATGGAATTCACTGCTTCTGGAAGTAGTGATGATCACCAATGTGAATGGCTTTAAGAGGACAAGCCCATGATAGGGCAACCAGCTATGGATTAAATAAACTACACATCTGGATTACGTAGAAAGGAAACCAGAACAGTGTGGCATTAACTGTGCCTACCAGGAATTCTGGGTGCGTGCATCTACACTAGTACATCTCTCTGGAATTACAATCTGCTGTCCACGCACCTTTGTGGAGTACCCAGATGGCATTTTTCTTCATTCACACCATGATGTTGCTTTCAGAATAACTGTCCCATGTATTTTTAGACCTCTGATTTTGCCAGCATTGTGCTAAAACCCAGTGATACTATGAGCCTGTCTACTGTAGTCAGACCAGCTGTTATTTTCAGGGATCCTATGCCTGAGCAGGGAGATGTGCTAGATGGTTCATAAGCCCATCTGATACTTTCTGATTCCAACACTTGGTCATCGCCCATTTGGCCCATTTAATTGCTACCAGTTGACCCAAGCTATGGGAATAAACTTCTCTACAGTTTTTCTTCCACCTGTGAGGAAGCGTTGATTAGTATTTTTTCTCCTCTGCAATTATGGTTAAGCCCCCACCAGCTCTCCATAGCTACAGGGCCAATTAGAATTTAAGCATTAATAATCCCACAATCTAATCAACACAAAGCAATAATACATGGAGAACCTGCAAACAGGGACATTTCAATTACTATTAGGCAGGTTCCTTGTTGAACAGAACTTGTAATCAGTAGATATAATAAAAAGACCCTGGCCACAGGGAAGTGGGTATAATGCGAGATAAAAGAACATTGCATAAATGCGAGTTATGCAGCACATGTGTTGCTCTGGGCTATGCTGCATGGCCGCAAGCACATTCAGGGACTGCATCACCTATGTTTGGACAGCACCTGTTATGGCTCTTGGCTTTGACTTTTTGCAGGTTTAAATAGAAGCATACACAGCAGATCCTATCCAATGCCTAAGACATAATACAAATCAATAACAGGATGCCTACTCAGAGGTAACTCCCCCTGAGTTGAATGGGGCTTACTCCCAGGTAAATGGATATAGGATTGCAATCTAAACACACTAGGCCATCTGGGCTGAAATTCCGCTACTATGCAATTGTTCCATGTCTCCTGAGGTATCTGGGCTGCAGTGCATTTAGTATCATTAGCATATAACTGAAGTGATGTAAATGTCAGCAGAATTTGTTTTGTCTTCTAGACAGTTTCCATTTATCGTTGGCCTCTGGGAATACATCATCCGAAGGAATTGTTGAAGCTGAAATTAATCATGGGCAGAAGATCTTTTATTGTGGACGTGGATGGGGCATGAAAGAAGCAAACGTGGCCTGCAGAAATCTTGGTTTTCCAGAGTAAGAGGCTCTGGACAGAATGGAGAACCTGAAATCATAAGCCATGTGATATTTAAAGGAGGCTGCCAGAGTCTAGCAGCTTCCCTAACTTATTTCCGGGGTGCTGCCAGGATTGAGGGGAACATGGGCAAGATGCCCTGTGGAGGCCCCCGCTGCTTTGGCTCTTTGCTGACCAGCCCACGCTCCCATTGCCCTGGTCATTCACTCTCTCCCCACTACCTTTACAAGGCAGCAGGAAAGGCCCATGCAGTTCAGCTCCACTTTTCCATCCCTCCTCCTCCTCCACCCTCCACCACCAACTTCTTACAGAGGTAGACCAGTATGCTGGGCAGGTCAACAAACTGGGTAAAGAATTATTTTAGAAGATAGAAAATGAACTATTCCTACTACCCAGTTGTTCTCCCTCCCTGCTCACATCCATCACCTTCTCAGTTTCTGTCTATTTAACTAGGTGGTGGCTACAAATAGTTCAAATGCAGATTTGATCAATTACATGGGTGGTGGGAAGGCCAGTGTGAGATAAGGTCCTCCCTCCTGTGAAAACCTGGTGATTTGGTCTCTCCAGCTCATTTTTTGTTCTTTAAGAGTGTTTATGCAAGTTCTTTGGTACACTTTGTAGCCCAACTATCTCTGTATAAATACTGTAAAAGCCAGAAAAGAGCCTTGAACCGTTACTTTCCCAGCACTTGACCATCGTCGCCCCCTGGTCACTCAGCCTCCACACATTCTTGACCCCTCACTTACCATGTGGTGGCCGTGATGTGTATCTCATGAGACCCAGAGAAACTGTAGGCCAGTGAAGATGGTGGACGCTAGTGGAGCGTTGCTAGGAATTGCTAGTTTCTGCTAGTATTTTCTAGGAAAGATAATGGAAAACATCACCACTTGCTCTCACTGTCATTTGAGGACTCTCAGGGCTGTGAACCTCTGGTTCAGTGCCTTGTATCTTTCGGTCCCCGGTAGCTCAGGAATGCTGGGAGTTGTAGTCCAAAGTATCTGGAATGTACCAGGTTGGGGAAGACTGCTCCACATTGTTGTCAGCAGGACGGAATCAGTACCTGCAATTAATTATGGAAAGTCAGTCCTCAGAGCTGCTCTCTGTGATTCACTCTGCTCCCAGAATATAGCCTGGGGCATTTGTTCAAAAGAGCCCTTTCTCCTTGGTGGCGGGAGGGAGGAGTCAGATGTAGGGAAGATTGCTGGTGTTCAGGGCAGTGATAATGTACTGTGCGGTTTTGGGTTGCTTTGGACAGAGGGGCTGATTCCACAGAGCTGGTGGAACCAGATGGTGTTTCACGGACGCTGGAATGCCTGTCAGCGAATTGCAGGGGGACAGAGACCAGCCTGGCTGAATGTGCTGTAATTCGACTGGTCCCAAGGAATGAGAAGCTGGCTAAGGTGGTGTGCCACGAACACCACAGAGGTTCGTACACTGTGTGTCGTGTGTCTGCTTAATAACTCTGGGCTGAACATCTGGCTCTATAGTTGGGCAAGAGATAAGCTGCCTCCAGATAAGATCATCAGAGTCCCATGTCTTTGGGTCACTGTTGCTATTCACTGAAATCTAGAGTGAAAATATCCTGTGAAGACAATCTTGGGGAGTAATGACAGGATTAAGGGAAGCAAAGAGAAGCGAAAGGCCATACTGCAGTCGCACAGGTGATGCTCTGTTTGTAGAGGGTTGGCCGCCCAACCAACTTCTGCCTAAAATCCTGGAGAGCTTCTTCCAGTCAGTATCAACAGTGCTGGGCTGCCTGCTCCACTGGTCTGACTCATTGTAAGGCATCTTCCTTTCTATTCCTTTTTCTGTAGCACAGTGTTTTTACCAAAATATTGTTTTTCATCCTCACTGACAGTGTGCTCCCCTGGAGAATTCTTTTGTGTCAATGGAAAATGTATCCCTTCAGAGAAAACATGCAATGGGATCGATGACTGTGGAGACTTAAGTGATGAAGTCTGCTGCAGAGGTACACTAGGCTGGATCCTTCTTATTTGTACATTGGCTGGATTCAGACCCCACGACAAACCGTGTGGTTTTTTCTTTTTCGATCTGTCGTGGGATCTGAACCCATTTACTGTATTTCACCATGATGAGTTTGGTCTTTAGAAACCATGAAAAGAACCAACCATTTGTTCTGTGGTTTCTCCATGTGTTTTCTGAACCCAAGCTCATAGTGTCCATGCTCCTGGCATGCAACTACCAGAGTCTTCTAGAAAGAGTGGCAACTGCAGAAACCAGTCCAGTCATCCACCCTCTATATATGAACTAATGAAGAAGAAGCACATGATATAGGCAGGGGATGATGCATCTCAGGATTGGGTTTCAGGCACAGTGGCTAATGGAATATGTGCCAATAGTGGGAGGACCGAGCAGGAAGGATGTAAACCAGGATAATGTAGAAACTCCTTGATCAAGCAGATCATGATTTAAAAGACTGTGAACCATGGTAACTATGCCAGGTTGCTTGCTGTGTTGTGCTCAGTTCTATACTATTGAATGATTTTTAAAGATGCTTCAAACACTTTTGACTCTCAGACAAATGCTTATTTATAGAGGGTATCCTAATTGGTGTTCCATTAATTCAGGGAAGGAATCCTTCCCCTGGAGAGAAGACCATCAAATCTTTCAGAGTCCTTTTTCTTTAGTAAGAAAGGTGGAAAACTTCATTGACTCCCCACAATATCTATTCTGCTACCTCTTGTGCTGTTATGGAATGTCTCCCAGTCCTTTGGCACACATGGGGAAAGCATTCCAGGTGATACAGCAAGGAGAAATGGGCAAAAATCACACCCCCTTCCACTTGTGAGTGGTGGGAATCAAGATCAACAGTCAGTTTATGTTCCCTTGAGGAGGACATATGAAAAGATGTCATGTTTCTTGAAACACATCAGATATTAATTATCCATCTCAGCAGTCAATATTGCAAGGAGGTTATCATATGCAACTTAACACACACACATGCATGTAGACACATGCACAAAGTTGATATTCCCAATAAGAATATATAGAGTTTCCAGTTGCAATGCATAGATTGTTTTCCTTGAATGAGATATACTGAGTGTTTGGTATAATCTTGTCCTACTGATGCACTCTTGTTTTTTAAATCTCTTTCCAATAGCATGCAGGGCAGGCAGCTTCCACTGCAAGTCAGATGTGTGTATTCCCAAGGAGTACCTCTGTAACAACGAAATCGATTGCCTAACAGGAGAAGATGAAAGTCAGCAATTGTGTAAGCATAGGCTTTGTGGTTATCTATGGCTGGATTCAGGCAGTCATTTTCACCCTGTGAAAATGGATTTGGACATTTCAACCTTCTGGCTAACTAAAATTGGAATGGCTTCTGAGTCTAGCACACAATGGAAGTCTTCACACAACTTAGATTTCCACAAAGAGTATCATAACATAGTGCACCTGTCTTACAATCTGTGGAAGATATGCATGTTCTAATCTAACCATTGACAATTTGGGTTTGCAAGCCAGTTACAGACATAAAGTTTCCAACTGGCTTTTCATTCTTGTTAGAAATGCAAGGTGTACCATCCAAGTGGCTGTAGCAGTGGGGAAAAGATTTAGTACAGCTCAAGCAAAACATCAACGCACATTTCAGTGGGATGTGCAAAGGATATACCCCATGTGCTTTACTCCCTGAACAATTTTTAAAATCAAAACCTTAAGCCTTATAATGAAAGACGAAGAAGTTTTTCAAACCCAGTAATAGTAGTAATAGAAGCAATAGCCACAGCAGCACATCCCCATTCAATATGATGATGCAGAAATTCACAGCCTCTTATCTACCTCTAATTTGAAGTTCGAACCCATAACGAATCATTATTTTTCAAAGTTCTGTTAGTGTTAGTTTTAAATTATTCTTTTAGCTTCTCAGTAGTATAAGCAAGGAAATTTTCCTGCAATAAGAATACATATAGAGCAAGGCAAACTTGCTCACAATCCAGTGTCATTTGGTAGTTTTATGTGTCAACCATACTTACCTTATGAGTGATTTATTTTTATGCAAATGTGTGTTCATTTTACATAGGTGATAAAAAAGCAGAGGGAAATGCAAGAGGTAATATTCTATGTTTCTTTATTGCTCTCTTAGTTTTATCACTCATCTTTCAAAGTGATCGTCTTAAAAGTCTCCTGCTTAATAATGCCCTGCTGATTATTAAGGAGCCCAGATGATGGTGTACTCTTGACTTCCGAGGTTTCATTCCATCAAAGCTTCCTCAGCTTCTTGCTTGTTGGGCAGAAGGAATTTCAGAAGCATTATTTTCTTTTGAAAGGGTAAAGTCTCTTAGTGGGCCTCAGAGTTTTTCCTCTGTGCTGGGGGCCGGGAGAATCATCTAAGCATGGCTGAGTTGGCTCTTGTCATTAGCAGCAGATGTGTTATGCAGAAATTATGAAGGAAACAGCTTTTCTCCACATGGAAATATATGTCATCTACACCACTAAAGCCCAAGCTACAGGGACCAGAGTCTTGAATCTATAGTTTCAATTGCAAGAATTTAAATAAGCTGTAAACACTTGGGTTTTTTTTTTTTCACCGCAGAAAGAGCACAAGCTTCTGAGTCCATGGATGAAGGTAAATACACTGTATCATGGAGTAAATATGATGAGACCTGCTTAGATAGCTTCCAGGAACACAAAATGAGCCCAGTCCTGTGACTATTTATTTATTAAAAGCTTTTCTATCCTGTCCCCTACAAACATCTCATTTTAAAGTCTTCTTTGCGTACTGGGAATTGCTATCATTAAGTGTGCAGTAACTAACTAGATTGTAAAAATACACGTGTTGAAGGCCATTCTGCACTGCAAGCCCTTCATATGGAACAATTGCCTGAGTGCTGCCAGTGACTTTCACAATGCTGTTGTGTATTCTCTCTGATGACTCGTACACTAAATTGCCAGAACTTGTATGGGAACTTGTTTTTACCTGATAAACAGTATGTAAAGTCAATAATCATTGGACGAAAGGGTGCAACAGAAGCTCTGGATTTTTCTCAGTTTGCATTTAACATCCTAAGCATGCTTGAAGAGGATCTTGGGTTACCTGCCGCTCAGATACTCGGAAACTCACAGGCTTTCAAGATTCCTGTACCTTTCCAGGCTGAAGCCACAACGGCAGGAGGTTCAGAGGGCAACCTTTACCTCCCTTCTCCTGCAAACTCCTTCCTTTTTCCTAGATGGACTTTTCAGCCCATTTCATGACGATGCTTTGGGGGAAAGAGGAGAGGAAGCTAGAAGGAGCTCAGGATAAATCATAAGCTGACTTCTCTGCTTTTCTCCCCTTTCTGCCTAGAGGATCGCCACTTTTTTGCAAACAGTGCTGTTCCCTGCATGCTGGCTTTGAGATAGTAGGGGTCAGATCTCTTCCAAAGTCAAAAAGCTTCAAAAATCTCCAACTTCAAAAGGTTTCCCAAGCCATCCTAAAGTCCCTGGAATACTCACCCATGACCACGGGATTGTTTTCTTAACATTACTTCTTGCTTTTCCTTTTCAAAATCAGACATATATAAGAATAAAGCAATTTCTTTTAAAATGCTGAGTAGATTGCAAATGCACTGAAACTCCATTCCACTACAAATTAGGCAGGCAGCAACCCTTCTAGTTTTTGCACGCCTCCATGTTAGCATATGCTAATACATATGTTAGCATGCATCACCAGAAATGTACTCTTGTCCCCTGTATATTGACTTGATTTTGTAAATTGCTTTGAATTTCTTTATTATAAGTGACTCTTAAATACTGCTGAATAACAAATAAATATGATATTGCTTATCTATTTTATTAAAGAGAGAAAAAAGATCAAAATGTTATTACCCCAACTACACTGTGGTGTTGCAAATAGCAGAGTTTCTCGACGGAAGCGAATTGTAGGTGGAATTAATGCACAAATGGTAAGGTTACTGAAATTTATTGAAACAGCGGGGCTGTCTTTTCTGTATTTTGTAGTCAAGCAGTAACTGTGACAGTGGGTACAAGAGCTGAGTAAGGTGTGGTGAAATATGAAGATGCAGCAAGAAAGAAGGAAAGAAAAATAAAAAGTAAAGAAGAGAAAGGATTCTATTGGGTTGAGTGGCAGTTTGGTTTGGTTTGGTTTGGTTTTTTTACTGTTGCATTTTTAATAGTGCTTGCTATTTATTTATTTTTTTTACAATCATTTAAATTAAGTTTGTGTGCTAAGCTTGGTTCTGTTGTTAGAGACCTTGAGAAATGTTTTTGTTGACAAACATTGGGGTAGAAATCAACTAAATACATAAATAAGTAATTATATATACATAATATTGGGAGGTTACATTTATCATTGAAGGATGATTACCTAGTGACAGTGACACATGCATTGGTTACTTCCCGGTTGGATTTCTGTAACGTGCTCTATGTGGGGCTGCCCTTGAAGACAGTCCGGATACTTCAGATGGTGCAAAATAGAGCTGCCAGGTTGCTGATGGGAACTGGGCGTTACTCTCATATAATCCCAGTCCTCTACCAGCTTCACTGGCTTCCCATCGAAGTCCGGGCTCAATTCAAGGTGCTGGTTATTACCTACAAAGCCCTTAACGGCTTGGGACCTGGATACCTAAAGGGACGCCTTCTTCTGTATTTGGCCTCCCGCCCCCTGAGATCGGCAGCAGAGGCCCTCCTCTGGGAACCCTCCATGAAAGACATTAGGAGGCAAAGTACCCGGAGGAGGGCTTTCTCTGTGGTGGCGCCCCACCTATGGAATGCGCTCCCCAGAGAGGTCCGCCTGGCGCCGTTGTTATTTGTTTTTGGTGCCAGGCTAAGACCTTTTTATTTCAACAGTATTTTAATAACTTTTAACATCAGCTATATAGGTTTTAATCTGCAGCTAGGGTGGATCTGGATTTTATTTTTATTATGTTTTATTTTATTCTTCTAATTTATGTAAGCCATCCTGAGGCTATGCGATGGGACGGCATAGAAATACTCATATAAATAAATAAATAAAATGCAAACACAAGAAGAGATATTATCTTCCTTTTTAATCAGGGTGAATTTCCATGGCAAGTAGCAATCAGAGACCAAACAGGAAGAATCAACTGTGGTGGAGTTTATATTGGGGGCTGTTGGGTTTTGACTGCTGCACACTGTATTAGGTAAGTGGCTTGAGAGAGTTTTGAAGATGGTTTTGTCCAAGTTGCCCAGTGTGGTGTAGTGGTTAAGAGCATGGGACTGGGACTCAGACGATCCGGGTTCTAGTCCCCGCTCAGCCATGGAGCCAACTGGGTGACTTTGGGCCAGTCACAGACTCTCAGCCCAACCTACCCCACAGGGTTGTTGTTGTGGGGATAAGATAGAGGAGGAGAATAATGCAAGCTGCCTTGAGCCCTTTGTAGGAAAAAGGCAGGATATGAATCGATAAATGAAATGAAAATGAAATGAACAGTTTGCTGGTAGACTTCTCTTGCATCAAGAAGCGGAGCACAGTGGCCTTGTAGGGCCTTTAAATCTGCCTCAAAAACTTTCTTATAGGTGATGTGCAGTCTCTGTTATCTACATCCCAGAAAAGTTAGGATCCCAGTCACACAGTAGTGGTTGAGTTAAAAACTTTTCAACAATAGCAATAAAGCAGGATAGAAACAGAGTCCCTTGCAGCTTAAGAAAAACCTGTGTGAACAAATGTGTCTTCAAGAGAAATGCATGCAGAGAAGATCATAAAGGACTAGATCAGGGGTCGGCAACCCACGGCTCCAGAGCCACATGTGGCTCTTGAATGCCTCTGCTGCGGCTCCGTTGCTTCGCGGCCCATGCCAGCACAGCGCTTGGATAAATCGGAGAAAAGTTCTGAAGAAAACCAAACGTTTAATGATACTTGGGTAGATTCATTTGCGTTTACTGCTGACGAACTTATGGGGTTTGCTGTTTAATGCATGCAGCCCTTTAGCACTGACTTTGTTCAGGAAGCTGTTCTCCTATTCAAAATATATGAAAGGAGTCCTACTAGTTTATAATGTAAGATTAAAAATAACAGTTTTTAGTGACTGAACAAGAGCTGCAGCTAAATCATAATGAAGATAAACACAGCATTAAGGTAAAAAACAATATATGCAGTGTTATGTTCATGTTAGATGTCAAAAGGGTTTTGCGGCTCCTGGTGTTTTCTTTTTTGTGGGAAATGGGTCCAAATGGCTCTTTGAGTGTTAAAGGTTGCCAACCCCTGGTCTAGATTAACGTCTTTCTTGACTGACAGGTCAACAAAGTACATGGAATAGTGCAGGAACCTTTTGCTCTTGCATATTACTTTTGCTCATGCAGATAGATTTTAACATGTGAAAGTGTTTTTGAATGCTGATATAGCCATACAATGAATAAAGATGGGGGTAAATAGAGAACTATGAAAATTTGTGAGTCAGTAGCTCTGCCCAACAGTCTAGGAGAGATTTAGGAAAGCTGATCCAGAGCATAATAGTGCTGCGATGGCTACACCACCTTAAATATGCATGTGGGCAATCCTGTTTTCAAGCATTGCCATATATTAGAATCTACCTGAATGTGCAAAATGAATACATCACAGGCTTCTAGACTATTTGTTGTCCTATGTTGAATGGATTTTTGAGGTGGTAGACAGAAATGTATTATTGTCAGTGCTCTTCCATGCATAAGCTCTTCCCACCTAATTCATTTCAGAACACTCTGGGAATCATAGAGGGTTATTACTTTAACAATACATGTTCCTCTAGATATACTATACAACTAATGGATTTAGTAGGGAATTCATCATGAGTCAAAAAGTGCATTTTCGACTGTACTCTTTAAAACATGTTTCTTTTCCAGACAAAGCCATTTGAAGACATATAGAATATATACAGGACTGCTAAGTGCAGTCATTATGACTGGTCAAATCGATACATATCCTATAGATAAAATTATTATCCATGAAAACTATAATTCTGAAACAAGTGAAAATGGCATTGCTTTGCTGAAGATGGTAGAAAAGCGCATACATTTTGCCTGTTCTTCACCTGGTCTTGTCCCACTGTGCGTCCCCTGGTCAAAATACATGTTCAAAGATGGCCACCGGTGCCAAGTGGCTGGCTGGGGGTTGGATGAAGGTAATGAAAACTTACTAAGTGGTTTACTTTTTCATTCTCTGAATGACTATATTTCTCTTGAACTTTCCTCCACCAGGTCATTGAGCTTGGTAGTTTGCCAAGCTTCAGTTGAGCTCTTTATGATTTCTTTCTATTACTGTGGTTCTGCCTGAGGTGCTTAAGGCTTAATCTTATGCACACTCAGGCAGAAATAGGCCTAAAAGTGTGCCCATTTAGTTTTTCTGTCTAGTCTTGCAGAGGGTTGCATCCTTTAGAGCAGAGAAGTAGTCTTATCATACCATTCAGTCATACCATTTCTCCCCAGCAGCTGAACATCGGGTAACAGTGCACATAGGGGCCATGAGCATGCTTGCAAAGGAGTAGCGGTCCCAAGTGCTGGCGTCACAAGCCACGACTCATTAGCCGTGACTCGTCCAAGCTTTTGCATGGCCGATCAGTGGCTGCCAAGGATATGGTCTGGCTATGAGTTGTTTTTTCTGAACTAAAACCTCAGTTTTCAGGTTTGATCGCAATGTTGGCACTTTGTGATAAATAAGTGGGGTTTGGATTGCAGTTTGGGCACTCGGTCTCCAAAAGGTTCACCATCACTGGGTTAGGGTCAGAAAAACAAGATGTCCTGGTATGATTTTGATGGTTGGAATATGTTGAACTTTGCAGAAAAAGCTACTCAAGGAAGGCTTTTTCAAAATCACTCTCTTTTCAATGGTCTTTTACCCCTATAGTGGGGTTAGGGGATTGCACCCGGGTAGGGTTAGGAGAGTGGTGGCAAACCTATGGCACGCATGCCAGAGCCGGTATGCAGAGCCCTCTCTGTTGGCACGCGAGCCATGTCACCCAGCATTGCCCAGCAGCCGAGCATTGGATAACAGCGGACACAGGGGCCATGCACATGCTCGGAAAGGAGTAGTGCCGCCAGGTGATGACATCACGAGCCGCGACTCATTAGCCATGACTCGTCCGAGGTTTTCCATGGCCGTTCAGTGCGCTGCCATATATATATATATATATATATATATATTTGCTTGGACTAGCTGTGAGTTGTTCTTTCCTAAACTAAAACCTTGGTATTCAGATTTTATTGCAGTGTTGGCACTTTGTGAAAAATAAGTGAGTTTTGGGTTGCAGTTTGGGCTCTTGGTCTCTAAAAGTTCACCACCACTGTCCTATACATTCCCATGATTTGCTATCCCAAAGTTCACACATATTCCCAATTCCACTCTATACCACAGCACCATCTTGTGTTGGGTAATGGAATACATAGAACTATAGAGGAAGTCAGAGAAGGAAAAGCTTACCGAGTGGATGCACTCTTCCTCCTGCAAAGAAAATGGAAGCAGCAGCCTTGGTAAAGCACCGAGTTAAATGTCCTTTGTTGGCCAAAATCAACTGTCTCGTGCTCTGCAGGGGGTAGGGAAGAGCATGGAAACAACCTTCAACTCCATCCCCCTCCTGCCTTCCACAAGATGTCTGCAACCCCAGGTTTGGGGGCTTACAGGCATCTTGGAGTAAGACAGCACTGTAAAACACCACCCAGAGGAATGTATTCTAAATCAGTAATCCTGAAACCATGTACTTGGGAATAAGCACCAGTGAATATTCATAGGATTGTGGTTGAGATAGGAACCACCCCTTCTAACAGATGCCTTTTCTGCCTTAGCGGGAGGGGGCAGGGCTTTTAGCCGACCCCCAAGCTTGCTTTTGCGTGCTTTTGCAACTGCAAGAGTACTCTCCCACCCCTCAGAGAGATCGGACAAACCTCATCTAAATTTGGGGTTCCAATAGGCTGCCTTTGGGCCACAAAGTGCTCCCACTCAACGCCTCTTGTGCCCCCCTGCCTCTTTGCCCCATTTGATTTTCATTTATTTCATAAGGGTTTTTTTTTAAATCAACTTAGAAGCGGTGGGCTGCAAAGTCTAGTACCATCTTTATTTGGATCTGAAAGAATGGTCTTGTGTTTTAAAGCTCAGACTCCCACTTCTGCCTTAGAGTAAAGTACTTTAACAAATTATTTTCTGAGAAATATATATCTTTTTGACTGGCAATGCTTGCTATGCAAGGCATTTTATGAATGGGCACAGTCATCCATGCCCGTCATTTGGTCATTGCCCACAACATTCTCTCAAAATTCCTAATGCACCTGCCATTGAGAAAGCATGGGGACCCCTAACCAAGGTCAAGGGCAATCGTGTTACCTCAGTTTCCCATGCCATGAAATAAAGAAATGAACCTATGAGATCAGCTGCTTCATTGATAGCATTAGAAGTTGTTATAAATGGTTTTTAAAAGTTCGGCCTCTCCAATGTATTATTTTCCCCTTGTTAGCTCTCATCAGATAGAAAAACCATCAGATTATTCCAATTGCAATTGAAATAGGTTGAGTTTCATTCCAAATTAATTGTTAATTAATTGTCCTTAGGGCATCATGCAGTAAGCCTGAAGTGGGACAATTCCTGCAAGAAGATTCATTGTATGTGAACAATTGATAAATTATGTTTGGGGGTCTAAACAGATACATTCATTTCTTCTTTAGGTTCTAGAAGACAATTCAACCTCAAGTGGGGGTATGTTTCTTTGATGGGAAATTGTTCTGACATCTACAGAGAACGGTTTTTTGAAGGAATGGAATGTGCAGGTGAGAAGGAACTTCAAAACAGAAATACATGAGACAGTATCATTCATATTAAGATGATCCAACAAAAATTTTGAAATACATGGCAGTAAAAATGTTTAAGAGTGTAATCATGGGAGTCTGGCTACTCCTATGTCATTGGGGCACCTTATCCATTGCAGTTTTTATTCTGAGCTTTATGGGAACTATCCATGGTACTGAAATCTACCCTCAAAATGGGCTCCCCATAATGAAGCAAATATCTTTAACAAAATACTTTCAATTACTGCAAATTCTTCAATTAAATTGCAACCCACTCTATCATTATAGTTCTTAGGTTGATTTACCCCTCATTAATTTCTCATACAGATTCAAATCAAATTCCCTTTCAGTTATTTACCCCCATTCATCATAGCCCCCCAAATCACCTGAAGGTTTAAGCTGGGAAAAATATGCTATACTGTGGATGGCAGTCAGAAGAACTAATGGCCCTCCAAGCTTGCTCTAAAGGTATGTGTGGGTGTGAGCACAACCCCATCCAGGGCAGGTCAAGAGATTAGGTAAGTGATGTTAGGATTGGTGTCCTATCACTGGGAGCCCTGCATTATATGACAACATGCAGGAGGCCTTTCTTGGCTGTGGAATGTCTTTTCAGCATAGAGGCCTTGCTAGCACTGATGCCCATTTCATTTTGGTGCCCAGCTAAGACCTGGCCATTTATCCACTCTTTGGGCTTGTTTTGGCAGCAGCGCAGATCACCCAGCCTGAAGACTTTCTGAGATTCAGGGCAATCAAAGAGATCTGGTGCACTGCTCCTGTGTGCCTTTTCCATGCCCAGGGCTTCAGGTGGTTAGTTTTTGTAAAGAACAGACACAGCCCTTGATGCACCTTGTTTCAAAATGGGGAAGGAGACTTGAATGCAAAGTAGGGACACAGCCAATCTTCAGATTAAGTCTGAGTGCAGATCAGAGAACTTTGCTTTGAAATTCAACCGAACCAAATTCCTCTCCAGCCCTACCTGGGCTTTTCTACAAAATATGTTCATTAGTCAACATCAGTGACTGTTTTTACAACAGTTTAAAACTGGACTCACATTTACTTTAAGAGGGGAGGGAGGAGAAGGTACACTGCTTAGTACCAAAAGCAGCACATCTAAGAAATTTATTCTGTTCTTCTCCTTTCAGGTACTCATGATGGCTCTGTAGATGCCTGTCAAGGTGACTCAGGGGGACCCTTAATATGTTTTGACTCTAGAAACATTGGATATGTTTGGGGCATTGTAAGCAGAGAACGTTGTGGTAAACGAGGACACCCTAGTATTTACATAAAGGTGGCCAATTATTTTGACTGGATTGGCCATCATACTGGCTTCTCTGTGATTTCACGGCATAATGTGTGATTCTTGTGGTTTAAGTACATGGTTCTTGTTTTTTCTTGTCCTAGCAAAGCAAAATAAAAGTTGGCTAGAAGATTGAGCCCATCCCAATGGTTATTTAACCATTTTAAGCCCCACTGTTTTGATTTGATTTCAATATGCTTTTTAATTTTTTACTCATCTTTTCTATCAGTGGAAACACAAAGTGGTAAACAAGATTGATACGATAATGTATGGAGATCAAACTATTGCAAAAATAAATGGTTGAAGATATTAGCAGCACTTTCAATTGAATTCAGAAATGATTAGGTGGCTAACCTGAACGAAGTGGTATATCTTCTGCTATAATATCTAGGTACCAGACAAGAATCTGGATACCACTTTCTGAACCAGAGGCGATTTATAGAGTGCACTGCAATAATCCCAACTGGAAGTTATCAAGGCATGAATAATGGGGGCTAAGTGTGATTCTCCTAGATAGGGTCACACCTAGCAGAGTAGCCCAAAGAATGGCAAAAAGTGCCATCTGAAAATTCAGGGAAAGCAATGAGCATGTGCAAGCAGCATACCTGCTCCTTCAAGGCCACTGCAACCACACTGAGAACAGGCTGAACTTACCCCTGGGCTGCCAAATCTTCCAACCCAGAGCTTCCATCACACCTGCATTGGGTTAACTTTATCAACTTCTGAACTGAAGCTGCACTGATCTGTCATGTCAATCAAGGGTTCAGTTGGACTTCCTCATTCACTGGAAGAATATGTGAGGCCACAAGAGCCAGCCCCTCTACTAATGCATCCACTAGCTAGATTTCTACCATCTGCACATTCAGAATATATTAGAAGTTCCATGTGAGGAGGGATCATGGCCCAGTCAGGATCTTCCCTTATGTAGAGACGTTCTGATGTGTTCTGTGTACACAACAACAGGAGACATGGCCTCTAAGCACAACAAAAGGTAGACTACCCTGCACTGTTGTCATAGAGTTACTCAGCAACAAGAATAGCCTTACTGCCTCTCTGAAATCAGACACTGAGAATGATAATACTTCAACCCAGACCTCCCACTGATCTCAGTCATCAGTTCCTGGGACATTAAAAGGCTTGGGGATATGATGGCAGTCCATCAGTGGTGCTCCAAAGTTGACAGAAGAGACTGTGCCCACTGCTAAGATCCACCAGTCGGGAAGGAACAGGATCACAGAAACAGAATATCCTGCATTCCCAAGTATCTTAAAAACCACAGAGAGTTCCAAGAAAATCAACATGGCCACACTTAGTCCGGCAATTTCCCAATACAAGTAAATTCAACTCTCTCTTTTGTGTTGCTTTAAGTCCCTGCCCTAGAAAAGAATGGTGCCATCCTAAGAAAAATCCTACAATTCGCAGACTTCTCAGCCTTTGACATGCTGGGACTATAGGACTTGCTGTTCAAACATGTATAGGTTTGCATCATTACACCCTGCTTTTGGCTTTGGGGTTTGCCTTGGTAAAATGATGTTAAATAATCTCGATACGCAACTCCGCCCTCCTCTCAGAGCACAGCCTTACAGTTGCTTATACAGGTGGCTGACTGGGGAATGCAAGAAGCTGTAGGACTCTCTTCTGTCTTAAGAAGGGAGCAAACAGCAGGCACGCTAGCCCCGCTCCACCATTTGCAACTCATGTCGAGCCGACCGAGACAGAGCAGGTGAGGTGCTCGCAGGGGGCTGCCTGCGCGCCCGTCCCTCCGGGGACCGCCGTGGGAAGCCGCAGGCACGCACTGCCCAGGGAGACGGCCCTCGCCGGCTGTCTCTGGGCGACCCAGCGGCTCGGACTTGGGCCCCCTGCTGGGAGAGGCGACAGGGAGGAAGGCTGCCCCGCGGGAAGCAGGTCCCGCACTGCCGCAACCCGGCCCTCCTCTCCTCTCCTCCTGGGAAGCTGCGGAAGCGAGAGAAGCGTGCTCTTGTTGCTTTAAGGCTCCGGAGGAAACCGCCCCTCCGGCCTGCTCCCCGCGACCTTTCCTCTCTGCAAGGCTTGCCGCTGCGCCTCCTTGCGCCCCGGCCGGGACGGGTGGGGCGGGAAGAGGGCGGTTCTGGCTGCCGTTCTGCTGGGGAAGGAGGTCCCGACGTGTGCGCGTCTGGTGACGGGATGGTGGAAGCTGTTGGCGTGAGCTGGCCCAGGAATCGGGGACTCCGCGCGTCCGCTGTGTGCGCTGCGCCGAGGCGGTTGCTTGGCGCGGCGTGTGTGTAATGGGGCTGCTCGGCGCCGCAGGAGCGGGGCCCTAGCCCCAGCTGGTGCGCGCGTCCGCCAGCGCCCTCCGACTTCTGCCCTGCCCGGCGGCGTTCCGGCACCGGAGCCTTCGCGCGTGCCCGTTCTGGAGCTCCGGCCTTGAAGGATGACGATGGGGACCCGGGCCCTGCTGCCGCTTCTCGTGACTTGGGGCTGGCTTGGGAGCCAGCCCCAGACGGGCTGGTGCCAAGAGCCTCACACCCCCGACTGGAAGATGACGCTGAGGACCATCAGGAACGGTGTTCACAAGATCGACACTTACCTGAACGCTGCCTTGGATCTCCTGGGAGGAGAGGACGGTCTCTGCCAGTATAAATGCAGCGATGGTAATACTGAGAACTGCGCCACGAATTGAGGGAGGGTCGCGGGGGTGGGGGTCTGTATCTGCTATGATGGAACCAGATCTCGACAATGCTTTGTTTGTTGCTAGTACATTCCGGTTGAAAATGAATCCTGGGGACTCCTCGTGCACTAATCTTACCAAAAGGTCGGGGGCTGGTCAGGGTCTGCACGGGGGATCTCCTGGAGCCCTTTGTACACCTTGCAGAGCTTCATAATGAAGGAAATGTAGGCGCATCCATGGACTGGATACACGTATTCAGATCCAGAACTACCAACATGATGCTGCTAGTTGAGGCATACAGATAATTGAGGTATGACTCCTGGCAAGGTGGGCAGTGCAATCTCATGCATGCTACTGCAGTCCAGAAGTTACTCCTAATGGAACTTTATCCAGACAAGAGGCCATAGGATTGCCTCTTAAAATATGTTCGTTTCCTTATAGTTGTTGCACCATAAAGAGCCACATACATGCCTGTGTGTCTATAGCTTCCCTTTTGTAACACCACACAACAGTACTTGACAGTGACAATTAACATTTGTAGTTCTGGCTTCTTGCTGTGTGTGATTAACCTGTGCAGTTGTTGTTATCTGTTTTAGCATGACCTCAACCTTGTCTTTTTTCTATTTCAGTTAGTCTTACCTTGTAATGGAGCCAAGGATTGTATTACAGAAGGATTAGGCATTTATTTAAAAAACAAAAAACAAACTTGTGTGCCTAGGCACATGATTTGTTAAGGAGCAGATTGAAAGATTTAGAAATGGGGATAAAAATAACCCATTCTTCTGTCATCAGAATTGAGAAGCTAGGTTAACCAATTGAGGCTTTTTATAAAAATTGCTGCTACTTAATTCTCTTTGGGTGCAATCCTATGCAATTTTAGACTTTAAAGAATCCTACAACTGGCTGGGGCATGCTGGGAGTTGTAGGTCTTTTTCTGTCTCAACATGCATAGAATTGCATCCTAAATTTTACTGGGGTTAACTTACAGTCAGAGTCATTTCTGGTCAAGGAAGAGATGCTTGAATATCAAGAACTTGGTTGTTTTTAACAGTGGCCATTGCTTACAAATACTAATTCATTAACACGGTTGTCCTAAATAGTTAAAGGAGGTTCACATGCAGTTTTTCTATAATGATCACAACAACCCTATAAGGTAGTCCAGCATTAGTCACCATATGCAGTTATGGGGAATGGCAAATGCTTCAAGCTGAAATTTAAACTTAATTTAAATGTACTATTTGACCAATACACCATTTGGATTACAGTTTTAAACCCACTTACTTGGTATTGTGTCCTATAGACACAATCAACATATGTTTGTGTCAGCAGTCTCGCATAGCTCCAGGAAAAAGTTGTTGAATATAAGACTATTGCTTATTCTGATTGTTTCCAAACACAGAAGTGTGTCTGTCTATACTAAATCTGGATTTTGTTGAGCCTATTGAAATTAACTCCATTTGTATGTATTAACATAAAGTAATACATCAATAGCAAGTAGTACTGACTTGAGCTTCTGACCTGAAATACCAGGTAAGGGAAAAACCCAAAGCATTTAAAGCTTTTCATATTTTGCAGGATATAAACCTCTACCCCGGTATGGCTATAAACCGTCACCACCCAATGGATGTGGTTCACCTCTCTTTGGAGTTCATGTAAGTATCTTTGTACTCTAGTGCTTTCTTAAGTACATTGACTTAATTTAAAGTACAGAGTAAGGAAGAATGCTAAAATGGAAAGTGATCTCAGTTTACTTCTTAACACATTTCTTTAAACAGGCATATCCATATTTCTAAGAAGAAAATTAGTATCAGTGTTTTAAGAATAGGGTGCAAAGTCATGCCTGTGGCGTTTAGAAAGCACCGAAGTGCTATTCTATACAAGTCAACTCTGCAGTAAGTCACACTGAGTTCGTTGGGTTACTTCCAGGTAAGTCTGTGTAGGATTGCAGTTGTATAGAACAAGGACATAAATCTCCTATGTGTTTGAGAGCCACATTTGCCATCTAATAGGCAACTGTAATTTTTACCAGAAAAATGCATTTAATTTTATGGAAGAGCAAGTCAGTGGTAGGTCTTTTAGTTAAGTTGTAAAAATACCCCTTGTCATCAACCATCAGCCTACTAAATACTTTCATTAGTAGTTCTGCTATCTTCTGCAAGCTATTCCTTGCAACACGTGTACACACAGTGCAATTCCTAATTATCCACCACTTAATCTCCCTTCCCTAGAGGCAGTGTTTGCCTTCCATAGTCACCTTGCAAATAAAAACATCTGATCCCTCGACCCAGCTGGCCTGAACACCCTTGTTATCCAAAGCTTGCAGTCACTGCTCTCTACTGTTGTTTACGTATTGTGCACAACTCACACTCTTTGACACTACTTTTGCTAATTCAGATGAAATTGGAAGAGAAGCATGCTGGGGATGCAGAAACAGCTCTTTTTGTCAAACATCATGTCCTAGTGTTTGACTGACCTGCTGTGGGTGGCATTGGCGGTCTGATGATAATGTTGCCCCATATGGCTCAACCTTGCAATATGGAAAGTCCATTTACTTACTAGCCAGTGGGCTGCCTGTCAAAATCCATCTCTTATCTCTGAATAGGCAAGTTCTAGACTTCTAGCATCCATGAATACCAAAATGCCATATTTAAATTCTCCAAGCTGTGAAAAAGCAATCCTTTCCTGGCTCCTATAAGAAGCATCAGAAGACAAGTTGCTTTGGTAAACTCACCCAGCTGTTAGAATGAAATATATTTATTTGCTGTTGTGGTTATTCCAGGATGACTGTTTACAGTGTGGTTCTGGTTTTGGTTGGAAAAGGGTCTTTTTCAGACTTCCAGTGTAAATTTCAATGGACAGTCATTTATTGGTTTTGTACCCATGTTATTTTTAAGATGTGATCCTTGTATTATTAATAATAGCATGATGTATATTGTGTATTTGCAGAGTTTAACCCCAAATCCCTCTAGCTCCTTTCAGGTTGCTTTCAAGAGGACTATTTTCATCTTTTCTAAAGTTCTGTTAGCAGCTGATCTCTTAGAATGGTGTGTCTTGCAAGTGTTCTCACAAAACAATAACCATAAGAACTTGTTTCTCAGTTTGACATTGGCATTCCCTCAATGACAAAATGCTGCAATCAACATGACCGGTGTTATGATACCTGTGGCAATAAAAAACACGACTGTGATGAGCAGTTTCAATATTGCCTTTCTAAGATCTGTAGAGACGTGCAGAAGACATTAGGGATACCAGAGAGTGTACAAGGTAAGAGAAGTTCTCTTGTGAGGGATCTTTACAGAGTTTCTATGTCTCTGGAAATTATTTTAATGGCAATTTGAACTAGAGCTCAGATACTGATATGATTTCACTATTGACTTGTTTCCTCATGCATTCAGTGTCTCAGGTATATATGCATGTGTATATATGCATAAAGAAATTATGTTCTAGTATGTAAGGACAACCATTGTTCCTGTGGTGTGCTCTGTGACAGACAAACCCAGACCTTTGGGTTGTTCAGGAGACACAACCTGGAGTTATAACCCCACAACAAACCATGGGTTAGAACTCTGACCTGGTTCACACTCAACAACCCATCGGTTTTAAAACTGATGGATTACTGGGGATTTTCTTTAGCACAGTACCCACAGTTGGCCCCTTTATAGGCTCTGCAGTGGGGATGTCCTAGGCAGCTGTGCTGTAGGGGCTAAAGAAACCCCACTGGCCCAAGCTGCACAGCCTGTATAGGACACCACACTGGGGATGGTCCTTAAGATCTTCTGGGGAGGCCCTTCTTTTGAGACGATCACCAAGAGAAGCACATTTGGAGGCAACACAGGAGAGGGGCTTTTTGATGTCTGCTCTCAGGCTATGAAACTCCCTCCCAAAGGAGGTTAGGTTCCCTCTCTCTTTGCTGTCCTTCTGCTGTCAAGCCAAGTCCACTTTATTCTAGAAGGCCTTTCGCCTGTTAATAGGATGCTGCTTGTATTCTGTAATTGTCCTGTTTTATTGTATTTAATGTGTTTAATTTTTTTTAAATTGCTTTTGTAAGCTACGTAGAGTGTCATTTCTTGATAAAAAGGTAGTTTTTAAAATAGTTTTTAATGCAATTCAATACATATTTAAATTTGTTCTTATATGTCTCTGTGTTATATGAATTATATATCCAATCTTGGCTCAAGGAGAAGCCTGAATAAATCAAATGTCATTGTTTTTCTCTGTAATGATCTTTTTAAACTATTAAAATATGAATGGATTTGTGTTTTCCCCTTCTAGCCTGTGAATCAGCAGTCCAACTAGTATTTGATGCAGTTATACATTTAGGATGCAAACCATACCTTGATAGTCAAAGAGCTGCATGCATGTGCCAGTATGAAGAAAAGAGAGACCTTTAAAGAAGCATATGATCTCCTACAGCTTCCTATATACTAGTAGAAGCCTTTTGTTACAAAGCTGTTCAAACCATGCAGTTGAACAGGAAAATGGTCTGTACTTCTGTTGAAGACACTAATTTTATAAAATTTTGTATAGCATTTCTTCTGTCAGCTTTGCTGATATCTGTGACCTTTTGCATACATCGTATAAATGTTTTGACAAGTGGCCTTTAGAATGGTACATGTATGGATGACTCCTGCTCTAAAAGGAAGGAGGTGAACACTACTAAATACTGCATGGTCTGAAAATTAGGTCAAATTGTGGTTTTACCAACAATCACTATTTCTTCAGTGCCTCAGTAAAAATGCCTGATAAACAGATGTTGCAATCTGACTATCTTAGCATGAGATGTAAGATCTCGGAATAGATTTCTTCTCTGCTTCTGTGATCCTGTGTGTGTTTAATTGGAAGTAAGCCCTGCTGTATCCAGAATTGCAGCCGTATTCTTAAGCAGGAGTAAGTTCCATTGAAAGTGCATTTTGTTTCTGAAAGGACTAATAAATACATTTGCCCTGAATATCTGCCAGTAGTCATAGTATGGCTTCACTTAAAATGGTGAAGTATCTCTACCCATTTATATATCCATGCCTATGAGATTTAAGTGCCTTAAGTGTTTATGAGAATCATAAGAAGATCTTATCAACCCAAAGGAAATACTTGCAATTATTCAGTGTGAGGAAGTTTACTATTAGATCCCTTTGTACTTGTATTTTTAAGGGTCATGGCATGGCTTTGACAGGCCTGCTTTTGATTTGATGTTTAATCATTTTTATCTTCACTTTTCTATTTGACTGTTTATAGAAAATTTTATTGTTTATAGAAAACAATAAAATACTGTTTATAGAAAATTCTTCTCAAAACTCCTATTTTGGTATTGTTAAAAATGAAGTTATTCCTAAGAAACCAGTCCAGTTAAAGTTAATTATGAACGTCCCAGCATAACCTGTGATACTGCTGTCCTATTAATTTAAAAGGACTTGGTCTCAACTATGTTCACTCAGATTGAGACCTACAGATTTTCATTTATTTTCTTTGGGTACTGACACATTTTGTTTCAAAGACATGCAGAGCATGATTCTTCCTGACATATTAGAACACTCAAGCACTGCAAAGTGTTGAATGAAATTACTTGAAAAGTAGTTATATTTTCTTCTGTAGCCTTTGTTGAGGAAACATATTTTAAGAATGTTTTTAAGATGAAAATATTACTATATATGTGGGGGAAAGGGGAAGAAACAAACAAATGAAGGCATCAAAGCTTAATCTGAATCTGTACCATGTAATTTTTTTCTGTTAATAAAATATAACTGCGTCAGACATGACTGTGAGGAAAACTTGTATGATTTATTTAACAAGCTTGTTATTTAGACAGTGTTTGAATGTAACAAACTGTGGTTCATCCTGAAAAAATTAAACTATATCTGGGCCTTATGCTCAAGCATTTTCACCCTCCCCCACTCTTGTACAGATGGAAGTTGATTGAAAACTTTTGCTTCTGCCTCAGACTAATGACAGTTTAGTCTTACAGCTAAATATCAGTTAAGTCTCCTGAAATGAGCCAACTTTAAACCATGGTTAGTGAAGCTGGCTTGTTTCAATAAATCACAACCAAAGATTACCATAGCTTAGGACTGAATCATTAAACTGTGGTTACATGTTAAGCAAAAAGTTCAGATTTCTTGTGCCTATGCTGAAAGAGGAAGCTTAGGCATCTTAGGGTCACCTAGGCTTGCTATCATGATAAACTATAGGCTTATGTGGAAATATTGCCACTGGATCTTTATCAGTGAGAGCTACATAAAGGAACAATGCAAGAACGTGTGTACTTGGCTGTGGAAGCTGACTACTGCTAGGACAAGTCTTAAATGTACAAGGAATGCTGGCTGTAATGTTCCCCGTAGCTCTGATACACAGTCTGGAAATCACGGCACAAATTTTGGGGGGCACATCAAAACACAAACTGGCGATGGTCCCTTCAAAACAGCACTTGGGCATCAGTAAAAAGGGCTGTGACTGGTGGTAGCGATGGGGTTAGCGGCATACTAGCTCATCCCCACAAGCCATGATTAAATTACTTTCCTGGCTTCAGACAAAGCAAGCAACTCATTGTCAGAGGAACAAGTCTAGACAAGCCTTGGATGGTGGTGGCTTGTTCCTGAACCATAGGCCTCTTTTGGGAAGCAGTCTGGGTTCAGATGACTTGACAGCCCTCTGTGGCTGATGACGCTGTAGGTTGTGTTGTGCCAGCCTAGTCTCAGTGCTTTGTGTCACTGGGCGCATTTCACCTCATTAGGCTATTTCTGGCTTTCCCTTCCACTATGGCGTTCCCCAACTCAGAGGTGAGGAACTTCTTTTCAGCCCAAGGGCCAAATCCAATTTCAGAGAAGCTTGTGGCGTTGCATTTCTGGGCTTCACAAGGTCAAATGCAAAAGAAGCAAGAGTCACACATGCAAATAATGCCGGGCTGCTGGTGTTGAAAGCTCTTGCTGTCACTACCTAAGCTTTAGGAGAGGGATTTCAGCCTTTCAAATTAAGAAAACTATAGCAAGACCAGGATACCACAAAATGATGGGTGGTTAGGGAAAAGGGAGGGTGTATAGCTATCTTGGGATTCCAGAGTGCCAGATTTAGCCCCAGGTCCTGAGGTTCTCCACCCAAATCCAGCTGATGCTTCCCAGTGAATATTGTGGCAGCTATTAGCAAATGAAAAAGTGAAAAATTTGTTTGGGCATGTCCGTATTACGGTCTTTCCTGCAAGAAGCATTTATCTCTGTCTTTGTTACTGTACTGTAGTTACATGAAAATAGTGTTACTGGTATATGCAGTAACCCTGGTATATGCATGCCCCAACATGCATAAAATGGGGGAAACACACATTTTTAAACATCTTAGTTCACATGACTGAGTTGTTTGAGCTATTATAGTTGCAAGTAAACCAAGCTTTCAAACATTAGTTTTGTATGGAATTTCTGCTGTAGCCTTTGTACAATAAATTAAGTGCTCCGTGCTAATTTTAAAAATAGCTGCCTGAGTCAGTAGAATGTGCAGCTATAATAACGACTTCTAACATTTTACTTACAGGTAGGCAAATTTGTAGGCTATTAAATTATTCATGCCTCACAGCCACCCTTCCCATTTTTAGATTCACAAGAGTCCTGAGAAGTAGGACTGAGAGAAATCTAGGAAACTGCAAAGTTTTATATTTACTATGAACTGCTAATATAGCTCACAACTATGCATTATACCAACTGCCCAGCCTTAGGAAAACATTCAGGCATCTCAAACACTAAACAGAGAATACTGGGATGGTCCAATGATAAGCCATGGTTGAATGTTAAATACATGGGCAGAATAGCCCTCCTCCTCCCTTCTCCTATATGCCCAGGAAGTGGAATAAACTAGATCCTTCACCTTGTCCAGTTCCTGGCTTGTCATTAGATGTGAACCAGAACAATTAACAAAACAACTTTGTTAAGCAAGCCAGCTAAACAGCCTAGGCTTTGTAGTTCATTTCTTCAGCAGTTGGCTATTTTAAACCACACATGTAATAAGATACTGGGCAGAATCCTGCTTTATTTCTCCTGGTCACATGGGAAAGGGAGACAGTATGTAAGCCCAAAGCTTTGGACAGGCTGTTTTACCTTTCTTCATGTAGTGCTAAATTATGGTTTACTGTTACATGTGAATGCCATGTCCATATGTACAGACTATGTTAAAGAGAGCAAGCCCAATATTACTGCTTCTAATTCATATATTTTGCATGTCAAATTGAAATAGCCTACTATCATAGGTCCTTTTGTTGGCCTTCAAATGTAAACTACAAGCCCACGTAACAGTTTTTGCAGAACATCCATTTTTAGATGAATATTAGCTCTCCAAAATGTCTAATACCAATTTGAGTTTTATATTGTGTAACATGCAGGTGGTTCTTCTAACAGGTGACATGGAAGAGACAGATGTGCAATACTCAATCAGTGGTTTTCAAACTTCTTTCATGGAGTGCTTCAGTCACCCTTTTGGTCTTGCTACCGATCTTGGGTTGCAGAATATTCTGAGGCATGTTCCAAGATGTCTTTTCTGGTATCACTACTGCTACATACAAATGGAGCTATGTGCTGGAAGTAAAACTGCACAGATCAGTGGTAGCACACAAGCCATCTTTCAGGGACACTGTTCTGGCATTACCGATCATGTCACTGAGGAACTGTAAGACCTCCCTAAAATACTTTGTGTATTGAAAACCACGGCATTAAACAATTATAATAATTTTTGAGATGTCACAAAACCATGAATCCAAGTATAATTTGGCGATCTGGGGGAAATCCCCTCTGATTTCTCAGGAAAATTAGTATTTAGCTGCAGGTTTGCTTTAGCTGCATTTTTCACAAATGCTGCAACTCTGGTGGCAAGTATTGTAGACAAAACTGCATGGGAAATGCTGTTTTACAGATTTGTAAGTCAGTCAAATCTGAGAAATGAGATCTTGTTTATTTGAAAAGTGTTCATCATTGTGATTCTACAGAGAATCCAAATACACAATCGCAGAGAAGATAATGAATTTGAGAGTTGCTTTGGCCTGCCAACAGCATGCCCAACCAAGTGACTTAAAGCCAAAAGTTTATATGCATTAGCTTGCTGTAGGTACAAAGTTCAGCAGAAGCAAGTTATGAGAGAAAAACCAAGTTAGAAGAAAGGAAAAGGAAAGCGAAATAATGGCAAGTCAAAAAGGAAAGACTTTCAATTTAGATAGGCTGGAGGCAAAGCAAATCTAAAATCCAGTCTCAAAGCTGCTGCTGCCTTATGGAACATACCTTCTTTGCTTCACACACACAATACCAGTGCACACTTGGGTGGAAACAGATCATGTCTCATGTTGATCATGTCGACCTTTTAGTAATTGGAAAAGTGATGGCCAGTTGCAGAATTCAGAGCTATGTTTCCACTGCATTCACACACAGTGACTGGGATTTTCCCTCCAAACTGCAGAAAGTGTCAGAAATCAAAGTGTCAGGAGCTGTTCACTGACAGAATTTTATATTCCACACAATAGTTAACATCCTGAAAAAACTCACCTTTGTTTATGAAAAGCAAGGTTTCTGCCCTTAGGGTTGTTAAGATCTGCTTGAAAGTGCTGTTTTAGGTGCAGACAGATGACTCTGGCAGCTCTGAGGATAATTTGCAATGGTAACTAAGTTGTTAAGACTTCCATACCCTGTACAGCTCTCATCTCTTCAGATAATTTGGAGATGCAGAAATACAACAAACTGATCATAATAATTTAATGTAATTTGTGGGGGGGGTGTTGTGGGGGAGTTGCTTAGAACTGGTAAAGCTACGATGAACAGAAAAAAACAAAAACTGGATTCTAGTGAATCCAAAGGTGTGACTTGATTAGATTTGGGGATGTTTCCAATATTTCACACAAGTGGTAAACTACATGTATAAAAATGAATATATGACTGGTTGTGCAAAAGCTGGAGGGAGGATATAGCGATGTTAGGTTATGTCACAGATTACATTCTGCATATGCTGTTCATTTTTTCAAATGGAAAAATCAGGAAATACCTTAACAGCCCTAAGTCAAGACAATTCCTCTTCTTGTCGTTCCTCTCTCCTACTGGAGGCTGTATAGCAACATGGCTGGATAATCTTAGGATGCATGTGGAACCAGGATAAATATAATTTTAAAAATATATTATATGGTGGCTTTGCACAGACTTCCACATCACAGATGATGTGATCATAATGGCTACAATCTAGACAATTAAAGAGAGCTAGAATAGCCTTTTATGATAATCACAGAAGGAAGAAAAATACATAAAATATTCATACACCAAGGCTGAAAACTTAAAACGCATTTTCAAAATTCCTTTGTGTGTTCCCTACTTTATAGGGTATAAGTTTAAGATATGGCACACAAGTACTAACAATTTCAGTACTCTTATCCTAGTAATTACATCATGTGATATAGAGGATGGACTATGATACCGATATAACAAAGTGGGCAAAACTTTCAAACAGAGATATATTTTATAAAACCAGTATAGCTTAGCTAATTAATGTTTATGGAATCTTCCAGTAATTCTGAAAGAAATTCTTTGCTGATATCCACTTACACTGTGCGCAGAATAATCATCATGGGAAAATACAGGGTGTTTACAGAATTTCAAGCAGATCTTCATAATACACTTGATTCTACACTGCAGAGTCTACAGAATGGCTATTGGAGCAGCAACTGTTTACACCCTAGCTCTGTGATTTTACAGGCAGGTTTGATTTCATCCTGGGAAAGTAACTCCACCCTGCCCCAGGAGTATGAAATTGC